TGAGCAGTCGAAACTGTCAGGTATGAAAACAAACCCTTGGTCTGAAAAAGAACCTCATAACATAAACAAATAAGAACCTAAATTGCAATAACCTTCATCATTTAAAGTTCTATATTACACAAAATTGACTCTTGTGAGCTTGAAGCCATGTTGTCATGTTGATGCCTTGTCAAAAACATACCCAGAATTGTGTTTTGTTTCATTCATGCATGTTTAAGGAATCCTGTTTACATTTCCAAAGCTCAAAATGCTATGTTCCACCTTGTGACGACATGGAATGGCAGTTTTCAGTTAAACAGCTCCCTTTTACCTTTTGTTCAGTAGAGACTGGTAATACCAGGTCTGAAATTATCCAAATGATTCTAGTAAAGGTTTAAAACACAGTGGAGCACTTCCTGTATTACCACATGACATCACAAGGTGGAACAGAGTTTTTCCTGTTTGAGAGAAGAACTCAGCATAAATATGTAGGGTTTGTGTTTTAAACGTGTGAATGAAACAAAACACAACTCCAGGTGTGTTTCTGATGAGGAAACAACATTATAACATAGATCAGAAAATGGCATATTATGGGACCTTTAAAGGAGAACTTTGTAACATTTCTGGGGAAGGGTCCACCACTTCCATATCTCCAAGTTCCGCAGTATGGCATTAAACCTATAGCTGGAAGCAGGTCATTCTACCAGGCCAGGTTACAGGTGCTCACAACATGAATACAAGTTTACTGGCAATAAAGCTGACATAAAATGGGATTTTTAACATTTAAGGCCATACCGTGGAACCTTCGAGCAAAGCAATCACATCGCCATGGAGACAAGCTGGCGGCAGACCACTTATAACTGCATGTTTTGTTGCAAGGCCAAAAATGTGAAAAATCTGAGTAAGTGGTATTTTTCACACTAGGTGGAGGGCATTAATATTGAAGAAAGAGTTTTGGGTTCAGAAAGTTACGAATAACACAGTAACACTGATCATTTTCACTTCAGTGGTTTTCTATTAGCCTATCCTAGTCAGTAATTCTAGTGGTTACAAAGGTCTTCCCGCAAGCAAGCAAGAAACTTTTATTATTTTATTTCGAACAGAAGACGAGCAGAAGAGACCTCGACATGGTGCGAGTCTCTGCGGTAACGGTCCACTCGGGTGTTTCTATGGTGACCACCAAGAGTTTCTGCTTCAGTCTTTTAACAAGCAGCAGAAGTAAAGGACAGTGACACGAATATGAGAGTTAATATAAATAAATCATGCGAGCGAGTGCAATGAATGCTGTCAAAACGCTGGGCAAAACGTCACTTTTTATGAGAATTTCTTTTTCCTTTGCACTTCAAATTTGCGCTCAAGGTTAAACTCTAGTCTATGAACAGGCAAGCTACTGATACTTGCAGCTGATGTTGTCCACATTCCCTGGGGACGTGTGAAGCTAACTGGGAGCACTACTCTGTCTGAAGCTCTGTCACTCGAGTTAGGCTTAATGTGAGCTTTCTTTTAACTCAATCTGACTAGAAAGAGCTGATTTAGTTGATGTATTCAGTCTCTCACACATAAAATTACAGTCAAAAGTCACATTTACAGTCACATTTTTGTTGAAAACCAAAAAGCTCATAATGATCATAAGCTCCTGAAAATGTGCTGTTTAAATCCATGTTGTATTTTTTTCTCAAGTTTTCAAACTATCTAATCCGTGCATTGTGTCACCATGGTAACTGCTGAACACTACGCCAATAAAGATGCATTGTAGAACAGCCCCAGTGTGTAGGTGTACGCCAATATAAGACACTACTGATCTCAATCTCAATCTCTCCCATCTCTAGCTTCTGAAATGTTCTGAAAAACTGAAATATAAGCACTTTATCATAAGTAGGCATGTAACAATAACCAAAATATTGGGATATTGTATCGTCGAAAGTCTCACAATAATATCGTAAACCATCATAATATCAAATTAGAAGTTTCTTTGCTTAAATTTAAATTTATGGTGCAGGAATAGCTTAAAAAAAAACAAACTGAGAACTACATAAACCATGATCCTTTGGTGTTGTCAATAGAGACTTAACATTAATAACACTTTTAACAACATCAACAGTATCAATGTTTTTTAAAGAAGTAAGTACCATATTCACAGTTTTGTTAGCCTTCACAAATGGTGAGATATATAGTTACATTCCTCATCACAAGTAATAGGTTGTCGGATCAATGGGGAGACACAGTTAGGGTGTTGGTCCATAGAGATGTTATCACTTTGCCTTGAAATTTCCACAGTATGGCATTAAATGTATATATGTTCATGGACGCCAGCAGCTACAGGTAAGATCTGTGAAGTTTCAAATCTGCTCACAGTAAGAAGTTTGCTCTTTTTTTTTTTTTTAATCTATAACAATATCTGTATAAAAAGCAGAAAATATATATATTTTTTTTTTACATTTTTGAACTTTCTATGCAAAACAAAACATTGTCAGGGAGACAACAGGCAGACTACTGTCAAACATATCATCACATTTTTATATCTTATCCCTTTTTTTTATATAATATATCCTGTTAAGATTGTAAATGGATTTTAAAGCTGCAATATGGAACTATATGTGATTAAAGTTTAGCAAGCAAAAATAAATGACTAGTTAGATGCATGACAAAGTATTATTCGTGTTCAGGAGTTACCATGGTGACACAATGCAACATAAGTAATAATATTAAAAGTTTTAAGCTAGTCTGAAAACTGAAGAAAAACAGGTAGGAGATATGTGAGTTTTTTCATGTTTTGGGGCCATAACAAAACCTGTATAAAAAACACAAGCCAGATTTAATGTTTTTACATTTAATACCATACTTTGGAACCTTCTAGGCAAAACAAAACATCGCTATGGAAACAAGCAGGTAGGAGACCTCTTATCCTCCCACATAGTGCACCCAAAAATAACTGTTGTTCAAAAATGGGAGAAGGTGGTATTTTTCACACTCGGCTGAGGCCATTAAAAGTGAACAAAGTTTGGTGAGTCGAGTTCGGTCCTGATGTTCTCTTTAATACGATCCTCTTCTTGTCCTTGGTTTAGTCCTGGTCTAGTCCAGGTTTAGTTTCAGATTTAGTCCTAGCTGTGGTGTTGTGTGGAACCTTTAAAAATTCTAAAACAAAAAAAAAAAATCTGTCATTGAGGGAGCTGGACGCAAAAGTCAAGTGGAATATAATGTGATTTCAATAAAAAAAATTGGAATTAATCACAAAATATCACAAAATATGAAAAATCACGGGAAAATGAAATCCACTCAGATACACGAGAGTGATATCAAAGCCAAGTTTAAAACCATTTACAATTGTGTTTTTCATTATTTGTTCATTTAAGAAGAGGTTATAATACCCACTAAGCATTTTTGACAAAGGAAGAATCTTAGTTTTTACTGGACAAATCTTCACAAAAATGTTGAGACCACAAATTTCATCATAAATTATACTTTTTGTGAAGCTCAAACAAGATTTTGAGGTTAGAACATTTTATTTTTCCATCCTTCTTAACAGAGAAGCAAATTATCTAATATGTGTACCCTCAAAATCCAAAATTGCAGTTTATTTTTTGTTATAATATTTTAAAACCATGAAAATATATTGTGTCTGCTTTACTTTGCCTCCAGTTTTCTCCATTCCAGATTTAAGAACATTCTGGTGACTAAGATTTTATAGGGTCTATATGGTCAAGTCTGAACACTGTAGAGTCTCTATTATTTCTAAGGCAAAGCTCGGCTCCAGACTAGTCGCTGAACCTGTTCATTTTGGATGTGGCATCACAGCTCCTCACATTTCCCCAGTGAATAAAATAACTTTTGTTTTTTGAAGTTCCAAAAAGTCTAGACAACAGACAATGCTCGAAACTTTTGAAACTTTGACTTTACTCTTGCCTCTGTAAGTATTCATCAATAAACTAGAAAATAATGAGGCCATACAAAAATTTAAACAAAACTGAATCCTGACTCATGTATAGAAATAAGAACTGAATCGTGACACAACAGAATCAGAACTGCTATGGTCTATTGTTCATGCAAATAAAGGTTCTGAGCATTATTTATATAATTATGCCTTACCGGACACCTGACTCTTGCTATATTTTTGCTACTTATTTAGAATTTATTACTACCATTTATATTTTTTACTCATTGCTATTACATTATATTGTGATGTGTGAGCTGCTGTGTCCAAATAATTTCCCTTGTGGATCAATAAAGTTTGTCTAAGTCTAATTAATCACAGTGACGTTATTATTATTTATTTATTAAATATTAACCATATATATTGTGCTTTAAGGTAAGACATTTTGTTAATTTAAGGACGCTATGAATAAAAATAGAAATAAAAGAGTCTAAAATTGAGAATCGAATCATGACTTCAATGAATTGTCACATTCCTAGTATTGATCAATAAACGAGGAAATGCCCAGGCAAACCAATTCCTTTCTACTGTAGTTAACAAGAATAACTCAGAACTGACTTTTTCTAATCCTTTTTTAATAATACATTCTGTTAAGACTGGAAGTATATAGATTTTAAAGCTGCACTATGGAACTTTTATGGCAGAAGTCAGCAAACAAACAAATGACTGGTTAGATGCATGAAAAAGTATAATTCTTGTTCAAGAGTTACCATGGCGACACAATGCACACTGCACTACCAATAAAGGAAAATAAATAAAATAAAATAAAGATGGATTTAACCAGCACATTTTCAGGAGCCTGTGATCAATACAAGTGTTCATGGTCCTGTTTAGGTGCTTGATTTTCAACAAAAACTTGAGAGTGACTAAACCAGTTGTGTTAAAACAAAGCTCAGATTGAAGAAAAATTGAGTAAAAGAGCTTCTGACAGAGTAGTGCATTCAGTTAGTATTATACCCCCGGGACAAGTTCAAGGTTGATTTTTATTTCCCACACTGCGTTATACTATTGCTATACCGTGACCTCTTTCTCTGCTTCCTCCGCTTGTGTGTTCACAGAAGATTACCCATGAGCCTTTGCAGTGACCCACCTGTCTTCTCCACCTCCATGGGCTCTGGCTCCGCTCGCTCTATGGGCAGCCCGTCCAGGTGTGTGAACGTAAAGGGTTTCTCAGAGGCCAGCATCAGCCCGGTCCCGTGGGGCTCTAGTGCGGCGTAGTGGGGCACGGTTTTTCCTCTCAATGACCTCCTCTTCCTCAGTGAGTAAGACTTCTCCTGACCTGAACAAAAACCAGAGAGAGACGGGCACAAAGGCCAAGGTGATTCACTGTGCGGAGATATTCAGGAAATACTCAGAGGAATAAACATACACTACAAACATAAGAAAAAACATGCACATGAACGTAAAGCTGGAATAATAATTTCTCCATCTTCCCTTCTTTTTATTGATACTTTGCAGTTACATCGCGCTGGGGGTGTTCTACAAGCAGGGTTCCCACTCTATTTCACTGACAAAATTTCAAACCATGACTTTTTCATGACCTAAAGTGAATTTTCCATGACTTTATAGCACCTACATGTGTAGAATTGATCAGACTTTTAGGGCTAAATATGAAACGTTAACCCTTTCCACTCACCTTATGGTTTGGTATTATAATTTTTTAACATTCAAAATACTGTCAGTGCATTCATTGTCGTCTCTTTTAAACAAAAGGTGCAGTCATTCGGAAATAACCATAATGAACACTGTAGTTGTGTGAAAGAGATACTAAAATTCCATGACTTTTCCAGGTATAGGAAATTATATTTTCAATTTCCCTGACTTTTCCAGGATTTCCATGACCATGGGAACCCTGTACATTTATGTGTATTGGCGGAATGTTCATTGTTCACCAGTTACCATGAAGACACAATGCACATATTCGCAAACACTGCCAAAAAAGGTCTTAATATAGTCTGAAAACCCATGAAAAATACAAAATGCATTTAAACAACACAACTTCAGAAGCCTCAGACAGAGCAGTGCTTACAGTTAGCATCACACGCTCAGAGAATGTTGATGACTTCAGTTGCAACGTATCAATATCTGAAAAAACATGTATCTTACAATAAGTGGGCACACCTCTCCATAGATCAGACCTGTGATTTGGCTTGGAGGCATTACCTACTACTGAGATCATCAAGTATAATGCCATACTGTGGAACATTCTAGGCAAAACAAGAAAAATACACCATTTACCCTTTATTTAGTTTGAAAAGAAATTATAGGCCACACCATAGAAATAGGTAATGTTAAAATTATCAATGTAAAGTCAACCCTGTGACAGTGAATCTGCCATTAAAAATTACATTTACTGACATTCAGAGCACCAGAATACAGACCAAATGAAGTGATATTATAATTTTCCTTTAGGTCTTAACACTAGTTTTAAGTTAACACACACATATTTTGATACAGACAAATTTGGTATGCCATGTGAATCTCAAAAAGCTATAGGTTATAATATCTTTCTTATATTTGTACTATTTGATTTAAATGTGAAAATTAAACCCAGGTCATTCTGAAAGACCTGTAATGATGGTGACCCAGAGCTTTTAAAGAACAAAGCTAAAAGGCAGATGAATCAAAAATAGGCTCAAAGCATTCAGATGGCACAATTATGTTTAATCACTTCATGAATTCTTTGCATCAGAATTACAGATCAAGAGATGAAAGGAAGTAGCCATTTGTGATCTTCTTCTCCGCGCAGTACAGAGAACTGGGCAATATTGACAAAAATATAGTAGTCGATATAGTAATTCTGCGTATCTCAAACCCGTAATAGCAGGCTTTTTGACTACAGATGAAATGTAAAGATGTTTGTTATGGAACATACCTGTTATACCGTATTTTTCGAAATATAATTAGCACTTTTTTCATGGTTTGGGTGGTCCTACGACTTATCCTCCGATGCGACTTATATATTAAAATTGTTACACTGACAGACACAAGAGGCTCTGGGCTTGTGTGTCAGTATCTGCTACTCCTGTTACTCCTGTACCACTGTCACTTCACTCTACTGCGCATGTCTCCTGCAGAAAGAGCCACTGTCCTGCTGCAATTCGTTAAATATTCAGCCGAAAACGATAAGCGAGCAGCAGAAAGTTTGGAGTAGAGCCCGACCGATATATCGGTTGGCCGATATTATCGGCTGATATGGACAACTTTAGGCATATCGGCTATCGGTCGATATGCTTGCTGATAGGGGCCGATATTTCACGTGGGCATGTTATACCTCGTTATAAAGCTTAGACTCTCAACATTCTGTTCATTTAATCCAATTTACAGACAGATAAATGTCCTAATATGTGGCTCCACATCAGTATTTATCTACGGAGTCATTTGTGTGTGTCCGTACTGTCCCTGAACACACCACAGAGTCGTGTCACTCACGTGTGTTGTTTACACCTGCAGACACAGATCCAAACACTGAGATTATATTCTTTTTACGGACAATCGATTTGAGTCTGGATTAAAAGGACATTTATTAGTGCAGATGTGTGATGTGAGGAGGAGCCTGTATGAGCGGTGAGTGTTGGAAATATGTCGACTCTGAAGCTAGTTTTTGTCATTTGTTATGGGTTAGCTGCTGTAGCTCCCGCACATAAACAGACTGTTTTCTATTGGTCTGTTCTAAAGTGACTATATTGGCCATATATTTGCTACTGGACCTGCACTGATATGTAAATGAGCTGTGAATAGAGGTGTGAATTATGACATTTGCGCATATAATTAATTACCGCGGCGCGCACGTATTTACGGCTAAAGGCTAATAGCGCTACTTTCTTGAGAGGGGTCTGGCTGCAGACCAGACCGTCTTGCTACTTTCTTTACTAGTTATGGGTCCGTCGCGAACGAAATGACTCTTAGAACCGGCACTTTGAAGGGAACGACGGGAGACTGATCCTTATTGGGAGCCGTGTTTTCTCTTTTCTCTCACATTTTTTTTTCTCTTCACGCCGCGTGCAGATTCGTGGTTTGACAGCGGCAGCGGCTAAAAACGAAACTTTGAGAAATTTGCGTGTACGTAGGATTAAAAAAAATAAAAATTAAAAAAACGAGCCTATTTGACTGTAGTTTAGCATAAAATAAATAAGTCCCGGTTTAGTCCTTTTTCAGTCCTGGTTTAGACCTGGTTCAGTCCTGATTCAGTCCTGCTTTAGACGTGCTTTAGTCCTGCTTGCAACAAAACAATCTGAAGAGCCACTTGGGAGCCAAAAGAACCAGCAGCTTTTAGTGAGCCGAGCCAAAAGAGCCGGTTCTCTAAAAAGAACTGGAATACCCATCACTAGTGTCTAGAATGTGATGCAAAAATGCCATTAAGCCAACCTACTGTCTGTAAATATGATGTAAAGAGGCAGAATAACAATAAATGTTGCCCAAATAAACCCAATTTAAAATCCACCAGAGCCAAACCTAAGTTTTTTAAACAATTCAACATTTATAGGGAATTTTTACATCACTAAATATATCGGCGATTATATCGGCTATCGGCAGCTCCAACTCCCATTATATCGGTTTCATATCGGCCACTGCAAAATCCATATCGGTCGGGCTCTAGTTTGGAGCAAGCAAGAAACTTGTGAGGGACTGGCGGAAAACAGGGATGGAGAACAGAGCTTCATGGCAACAGAGAGGGTGCACCATGCAACTTTCCTGGAAGTCATTGGATGGATTGACAAAGCCTGGACTTCAGTGACAACCGAAACCATCCTGTCGGGATTCAGAAAGGCCGGAATAACTGGAACTGGAACTGATGCTGAGCCTGAAGACAGCTACGCAGAAGAGGAAGGGCACTCCGTTTACCTCTGCAGGTTGTGGAGTTGCTCCGAAGTGACACCAAGGATGAAGAATTCAATGGATTTAGTGATTTGGAGTCAGATGGAGAGATTGGTAAACTTATGTTATGTTGTCAATGCTGTAGTTATCTGAAGAACTGTTCATATGTGACGTTAACAGTCTGTTGTTCTCTGTTCTGTTGTTATTACAAAATAAATTTCCCCCAAAAAGTGCGACTTATAGTCTGGTATGACTTAAAGTCCGAAAAATACAGTATTCACCATTTTGTATTTCATATTAACTTTGCACGAGTAGTGGCTTAACACAGAAATATTGTTACTAAAATGCGTTTGGTTCTTAAAAAACATCAATATATCACAGAGGATCATGTGCAATATATCAATTATCACATTTATCACAATACTCTGATAATATCGTTTTGTGAGACATGCATTTTTGTGAGGGACCCTGTGTACAAATATTTAAAACAGAATCATTAATATGTTTGAATATTTTAAGAATAATAACAGTGGCTAATTAGCTTTATCAGTATACATGCATTTGTCGGTGTAATTAGGACAAAACCGGACATATCTTAACACCTCTTGAGATTTGCTTCTGGTCTTTACATCATTAGTGTCTTTTCAGTGTCTTCAGACAAATGAATGGAGCGCACTGGTGTCTGCTGCACTACACAGAGCGTTAAACTAATTAGCAACACAATCATTTAACTCAATTAGTAGCCAACCATGACTATTTTCTCCATCTCTCTGTGAGGTTAATAGAAAAATGCACACCCAGTGGAGATAAGACCCAGAAGTTGAACATTAAACAACTATATTAAAAGAGTTATTCTGATTCATTTCTGTGTTTTAATTAACTGTCACATATGCACACAAGTAGTCAGGACTCTAATGTAGTACAGCACGCAATTACTCGAACATGAATGAATCAAAATCAGAGACTGTATATAGACATAGCTAACCGCGAGACACTGCATTCGCAATAGGAAGTGATGATGGGAGTGTTTCCAGCTCCATAGACTCTGGCTCCAATTGATTTTACATTGAAAAATATGAAACTGCTGCTGTAAGTCTTGCTATTTTGGTCTTAAAATGTTTGTATTAACCCGCTCTACATGATCCTGGTGTTTTTATTCCACTATTTTTTTAAGTAAAAGTCTAGCCTCGTGAGCTTCATTTGACTGGAGCCGATTGCCATGGGTGGTGTCAGACTCAGTTAGTCCAGTTCTTTATATAGTCTATGATCAAAATACAACTCTGGGTAAGTCAATAGTAAGGTAGAATCTTTGTGACATCATAATATTGAAACTGCTTTATGCTACTCACACAAAGCTGGAGAATCACAGTAAACCAATTTTTTAAAATCAATATGATGAATCAATAATTAGCCATAGAAGTTATTTATTCAACGCTCTACAGTTCAAATATTATTGTATTACACCAAAGAAAACAATCATCCCTCACTTTTGCAAAGAAAATGTACATACAATTAATAATGAGCTCCGAAATATATTGTTCCGGCTTCACTATATTGAATGACAAGGTGATATAGTAATTATCGTGACAGGCTTAACCAATAGATTCAAAGTTCACACCTCTTCTCTATGTGAAATACTGTAGTGATTGGTGTAGGTAGTACCTTTTTCTGCAGTGTTGGAGACAGTGATCCACTCCAGGCCCACGTAGAAGCCGCTGCCCTTGGTCTCCTCTGGGTCTTTCTGGACTCTCAGGACCAGGACCTCAATGCTGTGGACTCCGCCCTCCACATGAGACACGCTGTGGAGGATCACAAATGGCTCCCCAATCGATTCACTGAACAATGGCTGTGGACAGAGGCATTAACTGTGGGTGTACAGTTGATTTTCCTTCATGGATAATGTATAGGTTTGTTAAGTCTTGACATTTTGTTGTCTCACTTCCAACTAGAACAAATGCATTTATTTAAAGAAGACATATTGTGACTTCCGTGTTCCAAAACTGTGGTCCCCAGTGGGAGCAGACATTAGTGTAAACATCATCAAAACAGTCTGCACCTTCAGTGGATAGCTACACATTACAGTACTGAGAAGTGGATTTTTTTCATTTGTACCAAAATAACTACGCAACACTGTTGAATCCTGCAGGTGTCAATGATTAAGAAAATAAAATAAGTACAGAGCAGTGGGCGTACGTAGGTGGCAGTGAAAAGAGGAGTTGATCTGCAATATGGCAGCTTGAAAATAAACAGTCAAACATGCACAAATTACTCCAAATACAACTTCAAGAGGAGAAATGAGAGGGAGAAATAACAATAACATGATTAAAATCTCTAAAGTCTATTTTGCATAATAGATCTAATTTAATAGGGACTAATCAGTAAATATGTTTTGCAGTGTACTACTCCAATTAAACCTGATGTTTGTAATCAGCAGTACAACATAGTCACGTAGAAAGTGAACCCCATTAGGATTATGATTCTTTTATTGGCATATACATCATTTAACAACCTGTCCAGGGACTGAAGGTGGAAATGAGCAATTTTGTTATAACCTTGCACAAACATAAGATTTCTTTGTGTAGTTCAATATTTTTATGTGCATTGTCCCTGATAAATAAACAAATAAATTAAACTAACTAAACTAGTGAAGATGTAATGTTTTCTGTTTGAGAGAAGAGCTTATGATAAATATGCAGGTTTGTGTGTTAAACATGTGTAAATGAAACAAAACACAACTTCAGGTGTGATTGTGATGAGAAAAAAAGCATTACAAGATAAATCAGAAAAAGTATTTTAAAGTATTCAAAGAGTGATCTGTTTAAAGTGTCTAAAGTTAAGTTTTGTCAATGCTGATTTGTGAGTGAAATTGTTTTCTCTCTTCATTTTATAGTCTTATTGAATCTGCCTGAAGTATGAACAGTTACAAATAATCTAGTGTTTGTTTAGCTCTGAGATTTGAACTTCAAATTACAGCGCTGAAAGTTGCAGACTCCTGGGTCTTGTGTCTTCATTACAGATTCCTCTCTTGAACTCCACTGCCAAACTGCATTGAGAGAGTCGGTCCACTGGGGGAGCTCTTATTTGTAGTATGTCCAAGAACAAGAGCCCAGAGACATGTCGTATCAAAGAGCTCCACACTACCACTGGCCTCAGCTTCTATGAACACTTTCCATAGCGCCTAATCAAATACTGAATTTAAAAGTTTGGGGGAATATACATAGACTGTATATAAATGGTAGGGATGTAACGATACCCAAATCTCACAGTACGATATTATCACAATATGCATCTCATGGTACGATATTTATTGTGAGGCTAATGTAATTGTAAATGGGACACTTTTTTGCTTTTAAAATACCTTGACAAGATTTTGGTGTAAATTATTTCCATCATAATCCCAAGAAATCAAGTAAAAAACATATTTCTTCATGTTGTCTGCACTGAAATGAATAATGGGATATGTAATTCCTGATGTTTATTAGCTGTTCCTACTGTAAAACATGCATTTAAGCAAAGGTACTTATGATTCGATATACTGTGACAGGCCATGATATTATTGTGAGACATTTGAGGATAAAATATCATGATATGCTCCAAATAGGAAGCGATCATGGGGGCGCTTCTGGCTTCAACAACTCTGGCTCCAGTTGACTTTACTTTAAAAAATCGTCACTCTCTCTCTCTGTAACTGCTGTTTGGTCTATTTGGTCGGTAAATAAATTCCTATTCCTAAAAGGATTTTATTTATTTATTTTTTTTTTTTATTGTGGTATTAAAACCTATATTTTACGTGTATTTTCCTTAGTATTTGAATATCTTGAAATTGTAGTATCATGATGACACTCCAGGGGGCAATAATCTTAGCATTTTTGATATCGTGAGCTGTATATGTAAACAGATCAGCACTTACTGAGTTGTAACTTTTGACTTTAAGATGTCCTTTTACATCTCCATTATTATAACGAAGCTCATTTGGTCATTTGTCTGCCCCATTTAGTGACTCAGACATGACGTGACGGATGCAGAGATGTTCTTTTTCTTCTTGTAAACATCATTACACACAACATTAAAACTCGTCAAAATTGGCCTCATTTAATCATTCAGAGGTGATCTAAATGTCACTGCTTTACGTCATCTTCAAGTGGAACAAAGAGATTATAAATTGAAAGAATGAACTCCTCTCTTGGAAAAATAGGCCAACGAAAAGGTACGTAGGTGAAAGAAGTCAAGAGCTACTTTGGTTCACATGGGCCAGTTATAAGATGGTGTTGGTTTTGTAATGAAATACATGTTAAAGGTCCTATATTACGCAAACTTGATTCTTCTGAGGTTTTCACATTGTTAAAATGTTGCTACATCCTCAAAAACAAACCTGGAGTTGTGTTTTGTGATGTCATGTAATACTAGTTTTCAGAGGTTGGACCAAGTCGTTGTTTTGAGAGTCTCAAGTAAGGCTCAAGTCTTTGACCTCAAGTCTGAGTCAAGTCCCAAGTCAAATACAGGCAAGTCCAAGTCGAGTCTCAAGTTACTGGTCCATAAGTCCAAGTCAAGTCCAAGTCTGCTTTGAGCTTCAAGTCATTTCAAGTCTTTAATCAAAGTAACAAATATAGCTTAGATTTGTGCAATTTATATAATTTTTTAAACTAAATTCTTCTTAAAAAGTCATGGTATATTTATGATTATTTATATAAGAGTTGTAGAAATGCTAATTTTTCCTTTTTAAATGTCTTGACAAGAGAGCGAATTATTACTGTCAGAACAGAAAGAGTTAAGATTTAAAAGTGCTTAATAACAGCTAATATGTCAACTAGTCTAAGCGTCAAATCTTCTCAAGTCACAAGGCTCAAGCCCAAGTCAAGTCCCAAGTCACTGACATTCAAGTCCAAGTTGAGTCCTAAGTATTGGTCCATTTTATCCAGTCAAGTCTCAGGTCCTAAGAATAGTGACTCAAGACTGATTCAAGTCTAAGTCACAACTTGCAAGTCCCCACCTCTGCTAGTTTTCATGTTAACAGCTCCTTTTACCTTTAGTACAGAAGAGACTGGCAATTCAGGGCTGAAATCATTAAAAAAAATTCTAGTGAAAGTGTATGACATTTAAAAACAAAGTGGTGTACTTCCTGTATCACCACATTACATCACAAGGTGGAACCGAGTGCTTTCTGTTTGAGAAAGGAACTCCTAAATATACCTAAATATACAGGGTGTGTGAATGAATAAAACAAAACCCCAGGTATATTTTTGATGAGGAAACAATATTAGAACATGGATTAGAAAATAGCATAATATAGGCCCTTTAACGCCAAAGTCTCGGCATCGGTGTCAAAATAAAAAAAGCTGGATCGGAGCATCTCTAGTTCCACTTCTGAACACTGACCTCCCACTTGTTGTGTGAGCCGTTTCCTCTCTTGCCAGTGCGGAGCAGGTGCAAAAGCCCCGTTCCGTCTGAGAGCGCCGCCCACGTGGAGGAGGTGAGGCTCAAAGACGCACATAGGCGCCCATCACAGGAGGTGGACTCTGGGTCTGTACGGTACACCTCCCGAGGCTTCCCCAATGCTGTGTCCTGAAATACAAACAACACCATTAAATTATACTGCTGGTTTAATTGCAATCGAATCGCAATTTGAATGGACAGAATTTTTTAAGGGTCCTATATTACACAAAATTGACTCTTGTGAGCTTTTATCTGTGTAATAATGTTGTTAAATTATCAAAAACAGACCTGGAGTTGTGTTTTGTTTCATACAGTCATGTTTGAATAACCCTTTATTATTAGTCTGTCTACATCTCCAAAACTCAAAATGCTCTGTTCCAGTTCCAGAGTTAACAGCTCCTTTTACCTTTTGTTCAGGAAAGATTGGCTAAAATTATCCAAATGATTCTAGTGAAAGTGCATGAAGTTTAAAAACACAGTGAAGCACTTTCTGTATTATCAAATTACATTTTCTGTTTCAAAGAAGAGCTCTTAACCTAAATATGCAAGGTTTGTGTGTTAAACATGTGTGAATGAAACAAAACACAACTCCAGTTATGTTTCTGATGAGGAAACAACATTATAATTTATATCAGAAAACAGTGTAATATGGGTTATTTAAGTACCATCATTTCCACATTTCTACATACAATAAAAAGTTTGGTCTTATTCCATATAAAAAACAAACAAACAAACAAACAAACAAAACATCTAAGTGTAGTTTAGATCACTACAAACAATGAGATTCTTGTATTAGTTTGTCACTTCATATCTCAGTCTTTTTGTCAATTCTTCTTTTACAATGTAAACTTTGAACAGAATCCTATTACTAAAATATAAATTGCAAATCTAATCACAATTGCAATGCTTATTAGAAAAATCTGATAAAGGTGCACTGTGTAACTTTTCTGGTGGCGAGCTGAAAACCTGCTGGTCAACACGAAGCTGGAAAATTCAACTTCATGTCAATAAACGAGTCTGTCTCCACGGCAACAATCAGACGACGTGACGCTATAAGGGCAAGAGATAAAGGTCAGGTCTGTGAAGAGGGATAAAAGGACCTCTAATTGCAAGTCAGACAAGTTTAATGCCATACAGTGGAATATTCCAGGTATAAATAAAATACAGTGATAAGGAAGCAGACAGAGAGCTGGCACTGAGCAATAGAAGTTTTCAGTCAAATTATTAAAGATGATTAAAGGTCTTATATTAGGCAAAATTGACTCTTAAGAACTTTAAGCCATGTTATAATGTTACCTCATCAAAAACATACCTGGAGGTGTGTTTTGATTCATTCACACATGTTTGAGTAAACCTTTATTATTAGTTTGTTTACATATCCAAAACACAATACGCTCTGTCCCACCTTGTGATGTCATGTAGTGGTAGTTTTCAAGTTAACAGCTGCCTTTTTACCTTTAGTTCAGTAGAGATTGGTAATTCCAGGGCTGAAGCCATCCAGCTGATTCTAGTGAAGGTGTATGGAGTTTAAAAACACAGTGGAGTACTTCCAGAATTGCCACATGACATCACAAGATGGAATAGAGAAAAACTCTAGTCTAAATCTAAGTCTAAATATGCAGGATTTGTGTGAATGAATAAAACATAAACACAACTGCAGGTATGTTTGTGATGAGGAAACAACACTGTAACATAGATCAGAAAATATTGTAATATAGGCCTTTTACAGATGCACTGTGTAACTTTACGGGTGGAAGGTATACTACCGGCTTGATGGACATGTTGTTGTTTTGCTGGGAATGTTGGACAGTACTGCATTAAATGTTTCTTTCTAACAAAAATGCATTGGAAAAAACTTGTATTATTGTCAGTGGGGTTGCCATTCCATTGATCTGACCTGTAACTTACATATTAGTTTAATACCATACTGTGGGACAGTCTTAAGAAATGCAATAACATTTCCATTGAGACAAGCAGGTTTCACTTCATGGAAACCTCTGACCTCACAGCATTAGGATTCATTCGCTCGACAGTAGGCAGGTACTTTTTTTATTTAACCAATTTAACCAATCGCTGCTATTTGGTTGTGATGTATGTAATGCGGCAAATCCTATAGGAAGAAGGGCAATAACGTCTTTCCCCTTGATAAAATTCACCAAACATTCTCTTCGTTCCAGTTTTAAATCCTTGATCTCGGGAATTGTTGCCAACACAGAATGTTTGGCTTCATCTACATCCTTCTCAACTGCTTTGTTTACTGTTGTGCTGTACCACAAAAGGGACTCAGACAGGTGCTTGAGTTTGACGTCATGGCTTCACAGCTCTTCGCTGACTGGCCGGTGCGCGGTCTACAACCAGGTTCTTGCAAACCGTCTAGTGTATTCCGATTCCTGACCTAGTCACTGGAGAGAAATGAAATTGAGCGGAGGCACTAGGTGGTACCAACCTGGCTAGGTGCCGGACCCCCCACCACAAAAAAGTTACTCATTGCTCCTTTAAAGTCTAACCTTGTACGTTTCTGTCTCTATCTCTCTCTCATTTTTCATTAGTTTGTAAAGAAAAAAAATACAGTGGCCATTGAGCTCTATATAAAACTGAAGGTCACATTGTACTGCAGCTGAGAGTAAAAATACTGTGGACTCCTAAATAAGATGTTTCTTTAAAAGTGAACAGCTGCACATGTGACTGTGTCCTACACACGTGTATCCCATTCATAAAACACTCCGACTCACTCAATAACAAAACATATAAAACATGTGGCTAATGGACAGAAGGAGGGAGCCGGAGTGAGTCAGTGCATGAAAAACAAAAATATCATCTGTACCATTTGGAATAAATTTAAAAAGTAACATGATGTCCTTACTAGTCTATTCAAGACCACATCAGATATTTTGTCCTTGCCGTGGATTCTTGTTCTTGTTCATCAATTAATTTTTCAAAAGTAAAATGTCTGTGTAATCCCTCAATCGTCCAGGTAGAAAAAATAAAAAATTAAACAAAAAAATACAAATTGTTAACATAATTGAACTCCACTTTTGTTTTTCAAAAGTAAATAATTTTATTAATACCAGAAATGAATCGATATAGTAGTAGTAGTAACTAAACTTGATACTTGTTTGAACAGAAGTAGATCACAGTAGTAGTTTTATGTTTATTTAATATAATTCCGTCTTGAAAATCAACTGACCCAAGCCTTCATATTCCGAACGATTTATTGATATAGGAATTACCGTGACAGACCTACTTAGAACAGTGTTTTCGTTCTCATTTTCAAAGAGCACCTACGTACAGCAGAGCCATTGAAATGTGAACCTTTTATGTTTTTCCTGTATAGGTTATCCCATCAAGTGTGCAATGATATGAAAATCAGTACAATACTCATCCATGTGCCTGCCTTTTACATTCAGTAACCTCCTGGATTCATTACTAATACACAGATATACCTCAACATGAGCCTCTATTACCGATGCTGAGAGCTACTGTCTATTGAAAAGCCGATGCTGTAGTTGCCATGGAGCGTGATACTTCTTCTACATCAACAGCTAATGCACCAACACAGTATTAACTTATAAATCTTTATGGAGAAGCAACCCTGTGCATAACAACAATGTATATATCAATTTAAAGGGCCCATATTATGCAATTTTTTGATATAAGTTATAATGTTTCCTCAGGGCAAACATTCCTGTAATGCATTATAAATGTAATGAATTACTGTCATCCATTGGTTTTTGCTGTCACGCAGTAATGTAAGCCATTACAGGGAAAAAAATGTAATATTTTACTTGCGTTACAATGCTTTTTCAACCTAGATTGAAGTGGTGGTTTTTTTTGTGTTTTTCTTCATACAAATTCGCTAAAATCACCGCAATATCAGCAGCAGTGAAACACCATCGTTACGGTTCCGAGTGTTAGGACGGGTCTGGAGGTGCGCCCATGTAGACCATTGGGTGACCATGGCTGAAAGGACCGACACAGAACTCTGCACTCCATGGAGCTAATCACAGCTGATGCCCAATCACACTTTGTGGAGGTTCCACGGGCTCAGGTTTCTCTCAGGGGCGGTCCTAGATTCCTGGTTTAGTCCTGGTTTAGTCCTGGTTTATCCTGGTTTAGTCCTGGTTTAGACCTGGTTTAGACCTGGTTTAGACCTGGTTTAGACCTGGTTTAGACCTGGTGCAGTCCTGGTTTAGACCAGGGTTAGTCTTGGTTTAGACCTGGTTCAGTTCTGGTTTAGTCCTGGCTGAGTTCTTCTCTCATGTGGTAATACAGGGGGTCCTCCACTAGAATAATTTGGATGATTTCAGCCCTGGAATTGCCCATCTCTACTGAACTAAAGATAAAAAGGTAGCTGTAAACTTGAAACCTACCTCTAAATGACATCACAAGGTGGAACAGAGCATTCTAAGCACTGAATATGTAAACAGACTAATAATACAGGATTATTCAGATATGTGTGAATGAAAGAAAAAACACAACTCCAGGTGTGTTTTTGAGGAGGTAACAACATTATAATGTGACTAAAAGCTCTCAAGAGTCAATTTTGCATAATTTTGGACCTTTAACAATACAAATTAAATAAAAATAAAAGTTGAGTATATAGGCAAAATACAATTAAAACAAAGCTGGAACTATAATTTATGTCCCTATATCTGTCCTATAGAAAACATGAGCCTGTATTATTGATGGTGAGAGTTACTGTCTATTGAAAAACCTTATGCTGTAGTTGCCATGGTGTATGACACTGCATCACCATTGGCTAATGTACTGACACTGAGACACCTTTAGACTTCCTGTACACTTGCTTTCACCTCGTTAAACAAGCTCCAAGCAGCCACTTACCTGCAAATGTATACAAAAGCTCCATCTGAGGAGAGTAATTATGTTGTAATAGTAGTAATTAGGACCAAACCAACACATTTCTGCACAAGAGTAAATTAACATCAGTCACATCTGAAGGACTAGAGTTAGAATTTTCAAAATGATGAGCTGCTGTGGTCCTCTTCCCTCTAGGAAAAAACACTAGTGCAGCAGTAATTATGTGTAATCATCTTCACGGACATGAAAGGAGTCTATGTAAAAAAGGTCATTTGGCTCGTTTGGCTCGTCTCACTGCAGATTTTAGGTATAATTAACAAGAAATGCAGCTAAAAGAGAGGAAAATTTAGGAAAGAAACAACTGTTGTTGATGGAGTGCTACGTCACATAAGACAATGCACTAAATTACTCTGAATTTGAATAAAGGTAATAAAATATGTTTATGACTCATAGAGGTTTGAAATATTGCAGGAGGAGATGGTTTTCTGGAGTTGATTCTGGGGCAAGCAGGCGCTCAAGCGCTAGAGAGGGGTTTGGTCGCCCCCTACTGGAGTGTCAGAGGATAAAGGGATTTAACAAACAATTCTTTGGCCAAAGTACGAGCAGTTTAACCAGGACAAAGTACAACAGCACTTCTGGGTTTTCTGCCTGCATCCTCCCTGAACAATATTTACCAAAATGTATATTATAATTTTTACATTAAAGGTGCAAAGTGTAACATTTTGGTTGGGGGTCCGTCACCTGCTTGTTTCTATGAATATGTCATTGCTCTGCCTGGATTGTTTCACAGTATGACATTAAACAGCTCTAATTTACTTTATTAATTCTAGGTGGTTTTACAGCTCAAAAATATCTAGAAAAACATGCATTCTGAATGTGGGCGGGGTTGTTTCTCCACAGATCTGACTTGTAACTTGGTCTGGTTTGGTCTCCATGGTGATCGAAAGGTTTAATATCATACTGTGAAAGATTACAGAAAAAGGAATAACATTTCCATGGAGAAAAGCTGTTGATGGACCCTCCACCAGAAAATGTACGCACCTTTAAAGATTATTATACATTAGATCCATCAGAAAAAAGATAAAACCTGCATGTGCATTTCTTTGTTGAGATTCAAGTAAGTGTACAGTAAAATTAACCAGAAAATACAGAAATATCTTTTACGATCAACTTCTTTTTCAAGTTTTTTCAACTTTTTTAATATATCACCTGTACCCTGCTCTATTATATAATTGTAAATGGCAACACATCACAAAGCTGTCTGAATGAAAAGAATTAACAATGCTCAATCAGGTGTTAGCTAAACCAACTAAAACCACCTGTTGTGCAGAAGTCTACTATCAGAAACAATAGAAAAGCAGGAGGTCACTGGCCCTTTTCAGCACCGCTTCCATGGCAATTGGCAACTCAAAGCAAAATATTGTATTATATGTTTAAATGGTCAAAAGCACTCAAAAATAACACGTATAAACAGGAAGCTGAAACCAAAGAATAGTTGATTAATGCATTTGTTCTTACCAGAGTGACTGTGAGACTGAGCACCCGTCCTTTACAGTCGACAAACAGAACGCTGTCCTCGTACCAGGGGTCTAAATGCAGGTAGTTAAACATGCCAAACGCCTGCATGTGCTCCAGAGTGTACTGAGAGTCCTTCAGCTTCAGCTCCTCCACAGCTGCACAAACACAAATACAGAGTATAAGTGTAACAAATAAAACAGCTGAGATATATTTATATTACAATATTTCTATATTTTATTTTAACTTTATATAATTATGCCTTATTTGACACCAGTTGCTAACTCTTTTTGCTACTTATTTTGAATATATTATTACCTTTTATATTTTTGCTCTTTATTATAATTTATTGTGATGTGTGAGCTACTGTGACCAAAAAAATTCCCTTGTGGATCAGTAAAGCTGGTCTAAGTCTAAGTCTACTACAATCTAATATAATACTGAGGTAAGCCACACATTTTAACTGTCACAACTTGTACCAAAGTAAAGTGTTTGTCTCCACGAAAGTTATTACTTGAGTATGATGAGATGCAGAACAGTGAACAATGAGAACGCACATTTGCCTGTATCAGTTTGATAATACAAACACTTGAAAATTGAATAACTGTAGGATATATATGAGACTAATGTCATACTTAGACTTGGACTTAGACAAACTTTATTGATCCACAAGGGAAAATGTTTGGACACAGTAGCTCACACGTCATAATATAATATAAAAAAAGAGCAAAAATACAGTGAAATAGAAGCAATAACCTTAAATATACTATTTATTTTAATTAATTATTACTGTGAACTGTGAGCATGTAGATAAATGCTCAAAACACTGCCTGATTCAAAGATCTCTACTAAAACAAATGGAGTAAAGTTATTAAAATATGACCATCAGTGAAGGAAAGGAAAATGTTCACCATAAACATACGCACTTCTTCTTATTATACCGCGTTTATAATATTCCTGATAAGAAATAACTGCGTTTTCCACATAGCATGAAGCAATTGAGCATATGTTTAATTTATTATAGTTTAACATCTAAACTGTCAGTGTAGTGGCTAAACTAAACTTCAGCTAGATGCTAACAACAGTAGCTCCTCACCTGCATCCAGCTCTATGGTGTACGTGGGAATGGCGTCCAAAGACAGTCTGTAACTTTCAAAGTGTGGGTCCAGGAGGTCTCTGTTCACTTTCAAGGAGTAGTTTGACACCGCCATGGTTTGATTTATAAAACTAAATAATGCTGAAGAAGATGCTGCAAGAGTGGTACACGTTTCCCTGCTTGAGTTCAACACGGAAACGTTTTACAGCGGACCGAAAAGCGGCGGGTGCTCATGGGAAATGTAGTTTTATTAAATTTATGCTATCAAATCACTGTTTAATATTTACATAAACAGTTATATTGATTGAATTCTATAAAAAGAACAATTTTATGAACAGAAATTACATTTTGACACTTTTTTTGTAGAGATTTGGCAATATGTACCCAACACGCGGAACCTTTGAGTCTTCGTTTACAGCACGAAACCAATTCAGAAAGGGACCGAGTGCTCCCCAGCTGATCCGCCTCGACAAAGGTATGTATTTTTGTTTTTATTTGGTAATTGTGATTCAAATATCGCGTGTTTTCTATCATTGCATCCGTCGCTCTTTATTTTCAGACAGATCATGAGCAAAGACTCACAAATGAGGGCAGCCATTAACCAGAAGTTGATAGAAATGGGCGAGCGGGAGCGGTGAGTGGTCCGTTTTTTTGCGGCAAATCAGTCTCAGCTCATTATTTACGCAAAACAAAATGTGAAAATACTCTGAATACAATGTAAACATGCGGTAAAACAGTTTTGCATGTGCTCCAGGTTAAAAGAGTTGCTCAGGGCGAAGCTGGTGGAATGTGGGTGGAAGGATCAGCTGAAAGCGCACTGCAAAGGTTGGTAATTGTTGTGAATCTGAATTGTTTTTTGTCTGTTTTACAACTTGTTTATGTTCTGCTCAGATGTGATCAGAGAAAAAGGACTGGAGCATGTCACAGTGGAAGATTTGGTAACAGAAGTCACACCAAAAGGCAGAGGTAAATTAATAATTCTTACAGCAAAGCCTGAAGATACAGATATTTTAAGTTACTTCAGATTCCAAGGCACAAATTTAAATAGATGTGGTTGATGCTTTAGTCTTATATTAGTTTTCTGGTTCTCAACATTGCTTTACGATTTTGTGCAGTACTCATTTGGTGACTAGATAAATGTAAAATAGTAGGGGTGTAACAATAACCAAAATATCGTGATATCGTATCATCAAAAGTCTCAATAATATCGTTGGCTGTCACAATATATCCAATCACAAGTTTCTTTGCTTAAATTCATTGTTATGGTGCAGCAATAGCTAAAAAAAAAAAACAGAGGGAACTACATCGACCATGATCCCTTTGCTTCGTTTTGGCGCAAACTACATGAAGAAATAGCAGTTCTAAGCACTTTTAAATCATAGTTCTTTGAATTAAGTCTTGTCAAGGCATTTTAAGAGGAAAAAGTAGTATATTTTGTTAGCCTCCACAATATATCACAATAAATACCGTACCGTGGGATGTATATCGTGAAAATATTGTACCGTGGGATTTGGATATTGTTACATCCCTAATGAATAGGCACACACCTGAGTTGGGATGGTCGGTATGAATCAGATAGTAAAAAGGCTGCATGAACGTTGTCCATTCTCGACTTGCTTGTGTCAGTCATAATCTGAGGCACTTCTGTTGGTGCATTTTTTCTGACAAATATGGTTTTCTGTATTTTAGCTAAACAGATATACAATATATTTCCCCCTTTATCGTTGGTGGGGATCAAATTAGTTAAAAATAAGGACATCTTGGGCATTTCTTGTATAAATCTGGGACAAATCACTTGTTTTGAATAAATCTGTTGGGATTGGGAACACATGACTCAAAACTGGAACTGTCCTGGGTAAATAGGGACATGTGGTCATAAATATTCATGCATGCCATACTAGGTGGTGTTTTGCTACTACTACCACAGCTATCTTGGGGTACACAAACACACACGCCACATTAATACACAGACATACAATGACGTTATGCGCCGGTCTGATTGAGTGTTATATCCCTGACCTCGGATTGGTGGAAAATGGCTGTAACCCCTGCAGCCCAAAAGCAAAAATTGCAAAAAAGTAGTAATGTTTCTAATTCTTTATACCAATTATGCCATATAATACAAATGTTATATGTCATCCTCTGTTGAGAACTAAATCTAAAACTTAACTAACTCTGGATTTTTTTTTCACTTTTCTATTTCAACACAATTGCAATACTTAAAATTACATATTTTCTCATAATGAAAAAGAATGCAACTGTATAGTGCAGTAAAATGTGTGCATGTGTGTATAGTTCAGTTTATGAAAGCTGGAACAATACTTTTTGGGGGTCAATAGGGATTTTTTTGTACTAGTGAGAATATGTGGGTTATTTTTCTGTACCATGATGAGATTCAAGCTGTAGTAAACTGAATTATTAACTTTTATGAACCATTATGGATACAAAGTAATTGCTTAAGTGTTCGGTTCTGTACTTTAATTTAATAATATTGCACATTTGAATTACATTTTTGGGGATAATTCTGTGTTATAGTTTGGTTTCAATATTATCCTCTATGTTTACTTCAGGAATCCATCACACTTCAAAATGTGTTATCCTGACAGACCTATGTAATTGTACTTGTTACTAAGAAGTCCTTTAGAGCAACTTGCGTGATGTCTCAGTTTAATCAAATGGCCCTGTATTTTTATGTTTTCCTTGTTCTTTTGCCCCACAGCTTTGGTTCCCGACAGTGTAAAGAAAGAGCTCCTCCAGAGAATCAGAGCCTTTTTAGCTCAACACGCCACATTGTGAAGACGGCAGCTTCTGTGTAGACATTTTCTATTCATTATTACAGTCACAATTACAACCTCATTGTTCCACATTGTGAGCCACGACAAAGTGTTATTTTTTATTTTGTATTGTGTGTTTTCATAATAACTTGAGTTTGTGATGCCGTAGGTTTGAGTATTGAATAAAATCATGCCTATTTTTGGTGACTTGTTTTTGAGTCGTCTCTCATTAAAGGTGCACTATGTAACTTTTTAGTTGAGGGTCTGTAACCTACTTGTTTCTATGGAGATATCATTGCTCTGCTTGTAATGTTCCACAGTATGACATTAAACAGCTCGACCAAAAATATCTAGAAAAGCAGGCATTCTGACTGAGCGGGGTTGCCTCTCCACAGATCTGACCTGTAACTTGGTTCGATTTGGTTTACATGAAGATAGCAAGGTTTAATACCGTCCCGTGAGACATTTACCAGGGTCCAGAGCAGGGAGGGGCCCTTCCCAAAATCTGTAATATGTAATTTTCATACAGAGAACATCAGTGGTGGAACGTAACAAAGTAAAAGTAGTGAAGTACTTGTATCTGTACTTGTGTGGATACTTTTTTACTTTTGATATGTCTTAAGAGCAGGTATCTCTACTTTCTATTCCATTATATTTTTGAACTGGACTGAAAAGTAAACACATTTTTCATTATTGTTTGAGACCCGCTGAAATGGCTGAGGGGATTATTTTTAACACATCTTGTAGTTTGAACAAACACAAATACACACACACACAAAAAAAAATGTTACAATAAAATGATCAGTTCAATTGTTTGTTGAACAAAATGCCACACAAATCTTTATCAAACATCACTAAGTTTGAAACTATTAGATGTCAAAATCTGCACAAAATACTTTTACATTTTACTCTTTGGGTACTGTATATTTTTAAACTTGAATACTTTTACTTAAGTAGATTTTTTCATATGATACTTTTATTTGAGTTTTTTTTTTTTTTTTTTTGCTCTGGTATCTGTACTTTTACTTAAATAACAAATTTGAGTACTTCTTCCACCACTGGAGATCATGTAATATAGACCTATCAAGATGATTTGTACTCAGGGCCCGGAAATGGTAAATGAACCAGTCTTATTGTATGTGAGACACCTGATCTCAGAGCTTTGAACCCTGAAATATCTGTGAGGATTACAACCTTCAAGTGAACCTATGTTTGTTTAGTGCATTCTTTAAATGACAGAAACACAAAACAAAATGATTTTGAAGACAAAGTTATTTTTTGACAATGGAATAGACGTATAATTTGACAGCATGTCTAACACTGTATCTATTTTTGTTTTGTAATTGTAGGTTTGGACTGTACATTACTCGTAAATATTATCTCTATGCATTCATAACTGTCAGCTTTGTTAGGTGTGCATATTAACTTGTCAAAATTCAGACATTTTCTCATCAACAAAATGCCTGTTAAATGTATGTGTTCGGGGAAGCTACACTAAATGATGAGGTATTATTTGTAATTGCACACTGTAATGGGATGTCTTAAGTATCTTCATCATTATTTTTTATGTTTTTTCATTCACACACATGTAAAATGATGATAGAATTACTACGGCTTGTTCCTGAACACATTTAGCTCAATACATTCTGACATGGTCTTGCATTCCAGGGCTGCTTTAGCTGTAATGAACATGAAAAAGCCTGACGTTCATTGAGATCTTATGTAAGTATCTTCTCTGCAGGTAACGTTTCCACATAGACACTAAAAACAAAACAAACAATGGCGTAGTATTTTCAGCTCAGTTATCACCGCACACCCACAGTCCATATGTAACATGCAGTAAAGACGGCACATAAAAATACACACAAGACCACCTGGGTACTAGAAACCACAAACCAGCTCAGTTTTTGTCTTATTTATTTATTCTTACAAAATACAGTTCACAGAAACAGGTTTGACAGCCAAACAGTAAAAAAATGCATTTGTATAATGAACAAAAGTTATCATGTGTAAGGGAAAGGTAGAAGCCAAAAAGTCTTTTGAAGACAAGACATTTTTCATCATCAAAGATCAGTCTTAGTCTTTAGTCAGCTTTACTCCTCACAGATCGACCACTGTGAAGAGATGTCTAAAATTATTAATCAAATTTTGCTGTTTAAACTTCTAATTTAGACAGTATAGTTGACAATGATAGAAAGACAGCATGGTGGCTGAGTGACTAGCACTCATGCCTCACAGCAAGAAGGTTCCGGGTTTGATCCCCGGGTCGCCTGGGCCTTTCCGTGTGGAGTTTGCATGTTTCTCCCTGCTCCAGTTTCCCCGATCAACCCAAAATAGGTGTCCATGAAGAACAGTTGATAGGTTGGTTGAATACAATCAATCAATGAACCTACCCAGGGACGACAGGTGGAAATTAGCACTGATGTTACAACCTGATACAATGTGCATCTCTCCTGTAAAGGTTAATGTAAAAATTATGTGCTGTCTCATTAAATACAAAAAAAAAAAAAAAGATGATTTTCACAAATATGACGTCCAAATAAGATCTAACAAAAACACTTAAAATGTACAAACAATATAAATGTTTTCTATTATAAATTTGTATGCCAAATATTGCAAATGTTTATTTTAAGACATGCTAATTAACATATATGACTGTTTAATACCGTTTTACTCAGTTGGATGATAAGAGGCTTTTAAATTAGCCTCTCATTATTAAAGGTGCACTATGTAACTTTTCTGAAGGAAGGTTACCTGCTTGCCTCCATTGCTGAAATATTTCATAATATGGCATTATTCATATATACTGCATTTATTCAACTACAGGTGGTTTTATCGCTATAAAAAAAATAATAAAAAGAAAAAGAAAAAACAAACAAAAAACTTTAAAACATGTTCTGTGAGCGGGCTTCTCTTCCCAGATCTGGCCCATAATTTGGCCTGATTGTGCAACCTGTGACTCTACTGAGGTACATACATACCTTAGACTAGACTAGACTTGGCAACATTATAGGTAAAAATAACTATGGGCAAACGCAGGCGAAACGTTACTTTGTGCACCTTTAATTTGGCCGAAAGTGAGAATAATATTCAATAAAGTTACATGACAGCTGCTGTCTGTTTAATTCAACAAACGGAGCTATTTATGAAAATGGCGCGTTGACTTGAGGACTTGACTGTTATTTAAAGCACGTAGGTCTTTACATCTTGTGCCTCCAATAGACTTTAGCAGTTTATTATAATATGGCTTTATTAGATCGTTTTGCTTGTTGCCTGTAGCTAACTATTAGTGAAAAATAAATAAATAAATAAATAATAAAATAAATAAAAATTGTGGCGCTGTGCGTTAGTTCCCAGCGTTACCTAACAATGAGCTAATCACGTGCGTCTCCTTTTCTCATAAGAACTTTGTCACTGTTCTTGGTTTTGTTGGTGGGCCGGGCCTCGATGTCCCTCTCGTGCTGTCTCGTGTCTCCTCCTCTCCGCCCCGAGGCACGTGCGTGCGTGCGTACAGGTGCGCGCCAAAGAAAAGCTGCCCACCTGCGCCTCCCCGCCTCACTGTGCGTCTGGATGACTTCACTGATCTTCTCCAGCAGGTAACATACTTTTCTACTCTTCTAGTGTACGGCGCGTGAGTTTCAGAGAAACAGTTACAGCTTGTTTGTGAAATTGTAAATATAAAGTTTTATCACCATACTTATTTTAATAAGTTTAGGCCTATGTTTTTTATAACGTATAATAATAATAATAATAATAATAATAATAAATAATAATAATAGTGAAAACGCTTCTGTCTCCATTCTGGAAATAGATTCTGAATTTCTCCTTCAGTTCATAGTGTGTATGAGGTGGGACAGCGGGGGATCCTGGGACACCTGCAGGATGAAGACGGTGTCCAAAAATCTCCTTATTTGTGTGACTCTGCTCTGTGGACCTTTGATCTGCTGCTGTAAGTACAGTTAAATCTAACTTTGGTCAAATTTTCAAGTTGCAAGAAAGTACAGTTTGAAAACACCTTTATTTTTCAGATGCACAAAAGGTCTTTGGAGTCAGTCCTTCCATAGGAAGCAAAGGTGGGGCCACAAGGCTGACCATTTCAGGAGAAGGTATGTTATTACTATATTATTATGTTATGATATTATATTATTAATTTGGATCCTAAGCATGATTTTCTCAACAAACCCAAGGAGAGACTTGTTTAAAATGTGTTTTTCTGCAGGTTTTGCTCAGGGATCCCAGTTTCAGCTGAACCCGGCCAACAGTGACTTTGGGAACCATGTGACTCTGGTTTCAAACACAATGTCATTTGTGTGTGACGTCGAGAGAGACTCCACACATGGAGACCAGATCCAGTGTTACACCAGGTACATCCTTCACTTCAGTTAGTTTGAGTCGTTTGACCACTACACACACATTGTTAAAATGACAATATTTTACATTTGTAATGCGCTTTACAAGCTTGACAAAGCCTCTCAAAGCACTAGATAGACAGACAGATAGATAGATCGAAAGATAGATAGATACACTGCAGTCATTAATTCATTCATTCATTAATCAATCCTGGCATTACAAAGCGCTTTACAGTTCATTGTTCGTTCATTTCACACTCAGTGGTAAGCTTCTTGGGTTCCACCCGGGTTCTGCCCTGGGTGGAACTGACTGACATTGTTAGATAAAAAGAAGCCTCCTATGCTTATTTTGCTAGTTTATGTTTCCTTTTAAAAGTCGGTCAAAGTCAAAAATGACATGTGCAGTAAAATGATCATAGAGAAAGTGTGTGTTGATAAATTGATTTTTCCTTTTCCCTGCAGAGCTATGCCTTATGGAGGATATTATGTCAAAGTCACAGTGGACGGTGTTCCCATTCCTGACAGTAACCTCTGTGGGGGCAAATGGTGGAGCTCCGCTTGTGTTTACCTTGTAAGTGCGTCTACATTGGACTAGTCATATATTTCTTTTATGCCTCAATATCTTTATGCTGATCTTCAGGTTCGATGGTCTCGCACTCCACTTATAAGATCATTGGATGAAATCAGTGGTTTGCCAGGTACCTTCTTTCATAAATATAACCACAAATACATAATTCTCAATTTCAGTATAATTACATAAACATAATTACATTTTAATTTTCAAGGGACTTTGTTGACCATCAGAGGAATGATCTTTACTGACGCTTTTGGAAGCAGCAATCGCACAAACACCAATACTAATATCGACAGCAGAATTCTCAGGTAAAATTATTGTTATATTACATTATGTTTAAAATGACCTACAGTATATTATTCCTTATTTTAGTTCCTCCCATGTGCATATGTCAAAAGAATTCCACAATTTTTCTATCTTTTGGAAGTAACTTGGAGGTTTTTAGAGTCACATTACCCAGCCCTAGAATCTGTTATCTGTTAGTGACAGTATAAAGTACTAATTTTAAGAAACCATCTTTGAATATCCATAAAAGTGCTCTATAAGGTTGATGCATATTATTATTTTTATGAAGATTTTTTGCTTTCCCAGAGCCTACATTGGAGGAATGCCTTGTGAGCTGCTTAAACCAAATTCAGATGAGCTGTAAGTGATATAATGTTGGAATAAAAAGTGAATACATTAAATACTTAAAGAGCCCATATTAATCTATTTTCTAATCTATGTTATAACATTTCCTCATCAAACATAGACCTGGAGTTGTGTTTTGTTTGAGCTCTTCTCTTACTCAAATATGTGTGAATGAAACAAAACACAACTCCGAGTTTGATTTTGAGGAGGTAGCAGCATTATAACATGACTTAAAGCTTACAAGAAGTAATTTTCTGTAATAAAGGACCTTTAATTGTAATATATTTGAAGGTATCGTTTGGAGCTGGACAGTGAAACGGCGACCTACGGCCACATGAGCTGTAAAATGACAGGATCCTACATTGGTAAGAATCAATACATCGCATCTGAAGCTCTCAGTTACTTAGAGTTAGATTTAGTTTCATTAATGTTTTCTTATTTCTTTGTAAAACAGGACACCATAACCTGAGCTTTATTTTGGATGGTGAATATGGAAGGTAAAGTATTTTAGTTCATAGTTTTCTGTTCATACTTTAGTAATCTGTAAGTGTAATTACAACCAACTCAAATGTGTAGATTATTTTTCAGTTTAGATACAAATTCTTAAAACACTGGCAAATTTCAAATATAATAGAAACAAGAATATATTTATAATAATGAGACTACTTTTAGTTGTTCAGCATTATTACATATTATTTATTATATGAAGCTATTTCTTACGATTACAATATCTATGAAGCGCTCCACTCAAAAATGTATAGATTATTTTTAAATTAGTTACAAAGAACTTTAAAATTCTTACATTTTTACAAATACTGGCAAATGCAAAGTATAACAGAAACAATATAATGACAGTATTTGTATGTGAAGCTAGAATTACAATGTCTATGATTTGCTCCACTAAATTTCCACATTTTTTTAGGAGTGTCCCTGAATCATACTTGTACCGAGCTTCTGCTTCAAATAAATTGGCGATGTTTCAGACTTTTGCCGGTATGTTTTTATCTATAAACAAAAGTCACATGTTTCTTTCAATGTCAAGTTTAAGACTAATATATTCAACGTTCACTTTACTCAGAGGTGACCGGAGTCTCACCGTCCCAGGGCAGCGTCAAGGGAGGCACCACTCTCACCATCCACGGACGCCATCTTGGGGACCAGACCGACTATCCTGTGCGGGTTGTAGTTGGAGGTGAAGTTTTTTCATTTGATGTATTTTTTATTTGTCATTTAAAGGTGCATTATATAACTTTTTGGTTGGGGGTCTGTCACCTGCTTGTCTCTATGGAGATGCCATTGCTCTGGCTGGAATGTTTCACAGTATGACATTAAACAGCTCTACCTTACATTTATTCAATTACTTAGAAAAAAACATATTCTGACTGTGAGCGGGGTTGCCTCACCACAGATCTGATCTGTAACTTGGTCTGGTTTGGTCTCCATGAAAACAGAAAGATTTAATGCCAAACTGTGAAACAGAGGTGGGACCAAGTCATTGTTTTGTAAGTCTCAAATAAGTCTCAAATCTTTAACCTCAAGTCCGAGTCAAGTCCCAAGTCAAATACAGTCTAGTCTCGAGTCACTGGCCCATAAGTCCAAGTCAAGTCTTTAGACCAAAGTACCAAATATAGCTTAGATTTTTGCAATTTATATGAATTTTAAGATAAATTGTGCTTATAAAGTCATAGTGTATTTATATATGAGTATTTATAGAGTATGTAAGAGTTGTAGAAATGTAAATTTTTCCTTTATAAATGTCTTGACAAGGTCTTAGTGTGAATCATTCTGGTCAGAACAGAACAAATTCAGATTTAAAAGTCACAGGCTTCAAGTATGAGTCAAGTCCCAGGTCAGTGATCTTCAAGCCCAAGTCGAGTCCCAAGTCTTAGTCCAAGTCTCAAATCATAACAATACTGACTTAAATCTGACTCGAGTCCAAGTCATGACTTGCACGTCCCCACATCTGCTTCCAGACAAAAGAATAAAATCTCCACAGAGAAAAGCATTTGAATGACCCTCCACCAGAAAAGTTACACAATGTACCTTTAAGCTGTTGTTAAGGTCAGGGAACATGTTTGTAGGTAGAATTCATTTATTGTGAGCTTCCAGTAATGTACAAAATGACTAAAATATCTCCTATATTACACAAAATGGATCGTTTCATGTTTCAGTAACACTTTATTATTAGTCTGTCTACATCTCCAAATCTAAAAAATGCTCTGTTCTACCTTGTGATGTCATGAAGCAGTAGTCTTCAAGTTAACAGCCCCTTTTACCTTTTAGTTCACTAGAGATTGTCATTTCTGGGGCTGAAATCATCCAAATAAGTCTAATGAAGGTGTATAGAGTTTAAAAACATCACAAGATAGAACATTTTAGATACGAACTCAGCCTAAAAATGCAGGGTTTGTGTTTTAAACATGTGCAACTGAAACAAAACACAACTCCTGGTCTGTTTGTGATGAGGAAACAACATCATAACATACTGTAGCTCAGAAAACACCTTGTGGGGTTCCATAAGCTTAATGCCACACTGTGAAAAATCCAGGCAACACAATAATAATATAATATCTCCATGAAGACAAGAAAAGCAGACCCTCCATCAGAAAGGTTACATAGTGCACCTTAAAGTTTTGACTACCTGTTCAGCTCACATGTTTTAATGGTGTCTGTCTTAAAACTAAAAAATTTCCCATAATAACTTTGTAACATAGCAACTCACAAACTGTACCCTTGCATCATTGTTCACAGAGGATTATCTCTGTCAGTCAACGATTTTGTGCTTAACATGTTTAAACAAAGACTCCTCTGCTGTTGTTGTTTTACTGCATTCAAAAGATGTCTTCTAGATCAGCACCAGTAAACAATGAAAATCATAAAGTCATGTTGTAGAACTGGTCTCTATACATTCTTTACACTACAGAGAGGCTGATACACTGATAAGGGTTAACTGTCCGTGGGTTTCAGCATGGGACTGTTGCCACAGCGATAAACAATTCAACACAAAATATTATTATATTCCATGAATCATTCGTTCATTCGTTTTTCAAGATAAAACCAAAAAAAGGAAAATGAAAAAACAACTATTTTCTTCATTATTTGACTCCAAAACCAAACCGACCGGGATCAGACCAGGACCAGACTGGGACCAGATGAGGACTGAGACCGAGACTAAGACCGGGACCAGACCGGGACCAAGACCGTGATTGAGACCGGGACCAGACCAGGCCTGAGACTGGGACCAGACTGTGATTGAGACCTGGACCAGACCAGTATTGAGGCCGGTTTAGTCCTGGTTCAGTCCTGGTTCAATTCTGGTTTAGACCTGGTTTAGACCTGATTTAGTCCTGGTTCAGTCCATATGCGGCGCAAAAGTCCAGCATTGCAGTTTAAATCACGGAAACGGGAAACATCTGTTATTCGTTTTTTTCCATTATTCATTTAAATACAAAATTTAAAACTGAAAAAACAAATCATTGGAGACAAATAATGAAGAAAAAAGTTGTTTTTTCATTTTCTTATTTTTTGTTTTATTTTGAAAAACAAATGAATGAATGGATTTATTCATGGATTCATGGATTTACTAGGCCTGTGACGATAACACATTTTGAAGTGTAATATATTGCTGAAGTAAATATAGATGATAAACGATAAGATTGAATCCAAGAGTAGATTTAAACCACAAAACTATTCTAAATCTAAAATATTGTTTAAAATCATGACATAAACAGCAGAATGAAACTCTTTACAATTTAATTTGCATCTGTAAAGAGTCATAAAAGTTATTAATTCAACATTTTACATCTTGAATCTTATTTTATAGCCAAAAAATAATCCAAAATATTTCCCAGTAGTGCAAAGAAAATGTATACCTGATAGACTGTTTTTTTGTTTTGTTTTTTAATCTATGTTATAATGTTGTTTCTTCATCACAAACCACCTAGAGTTGTGTTTTGTTTCATTCACACATGTTTGGAGATATAAACAGACTAATAAAAAAGATAATAAAGGATTACTCAGATGTGTGAATGAAACTAAAACGCAACACGAGGTATAACAACATTCTAACATGGTTTAAGCTTACAAGAGTTAATTTTGTATAATATAACAATTTAAGCTTAGTAATTACATGTAATTATTTACACCTATGGCAGTAAGTGTCATTTTCAGCATTCCTTTATTGATGCTAAAGACCTGTATTACCTGTGTTTACTTTACCCTGCCCGGGAACAATGAGACTGCCTAGTAAAATCGTTATTAGGCTTTGACCACATGTTCAATTCTGAAATAACAAATATATAATTAATCCTTAAGTATTTTTTGTTTGTTTTGTTTTCTTCAGGTCTGCCTTGTGAAGTCCTGAATGTTGAAGATGACAAGATCTTGTGCAAAACATCCGAGTGGCAGCCAAATGAACTGGGAGAGGCTGGAGTTGGTGAGAAAAACTTTTGGTCTTACTTAGATCAGGATTAGATCACTATAAAGAGGAAGTGATGGACTTTGAATGGACATGGACATATATTAGACACATATTAGAAATTACTAAACATTTTTGAACATCTTGACAGGCAGTGGTTGGGACTTGCAAGTTGTGACTTGGACTCGAGTCAGACTTGATCACTATTTTTAGGACTTGACTTGAAATGGACTAAGACTTGGGACTCGACGTGGACTTGAAGATCAGTGACTTGGGACTTGGCTCGGACTTGAGGCTCGTGACTTGAAAAGACTTGAGAAAGACTTTTAATTCAGAATTTTTTCTATTCTAATGGTAATGATTCAATCTAAGATCTTGTCAAAACATTTAAAAGCTCAAAGCAGACGACTTGGATTTGACTTGGACTTATGGGCCAGTGACTCGATACTCGTCTTGGACTTGCCTGTAATTGACTTGAACTTGAGGTCAAAGACTTGAGACTTACTTGAGACTTGCAAAACAAAGACTTGGTCCCACCTCTGTTGACAGGACAGGACATGATTGTTGAAGGTGCATTGTGTAATTTTTCTGGTGGAGGTTCCGTCAAATGCTTTTCTCCACGGAAATGTTATTGCTTTGTCTGGAATGTTTTCATGGGGACCAAACCAGACCAAGTTACAGGTCAGATCTGTGAAGAGGCTACCCCGCTCACAATCAGAATGTCTGTTTTTCTGGGTATTTTTGAGCTATAAAACCACCTGTGATTGAATAAATGTAAAGTAAAGTAATTTAATGTCATACTGTGGAACACTTCAGGCAAAGCAAAGACTTACCCAGAGATACAAGCAGGTGATTTGCCCAGCATTTTGTGTGTGTGTGTGTAGTGTACATGTGGAGTATTTTTTTTGTCTATTGCAGAATAAAAAAAAAAAAAAAAAGTCACAACTTTGGATTGGTCTGTAGAGTTCATTTTAAATTGGTTTGTATTGTAAAAAATACAGTTTTATTGTGATAATTAACAGTGTGAGATACATATATAAACTGGAAGATACAGAAATTCTATATAACCTAATCAAGATATTTTTCAAGTGAACTGGTACCTTTTATTTCAGTAGAGATTATGAATTCCAGGGCTGAAATTATCCAAATGATTCTGGTGAAGGTGTATGGAGTTTAAAAACACAGTGGAGCACTTCCTGTATTTCCACATGGCATTACTAGGGATGTAACAGTAACCAAAATATCGTGATATTGAATTGTCAGAAGTCTCACAATATTATCATGGGCCATCACAATATATCGAATCACAAGTTTCTTTGCTTAAATTTATCGTTATGGTGCAGCAACAGCGAAAAAACAGACAGAACTACACAGACCATGATCCTTTACTCTGTTTTAGTCCAATCTACATGATAAAACAACTGTTATTGAGCACTTTTAAATCTTAATTATTTGGATTATGACAGAAAAGTAGCAAAATATTGTATGGTGAGATTGTTTTCATTTTAAGAAAATAACTCAGCCTAAATATGCACGTTTTGTGTGTTAAACATTTGTGAATGACACAAAACATAACTCCAGATGTGTTTGTGATGAGGAAACAACATTATAACATAGATCAGAATATTATGGGGGTGTTTATCTCATAGTGAATAAAAACATTATAAAAACAAAATACATCACATGCCAGGTTTGTGCTAGTTAAATAAAAATAAATCTGTACTAATTCAGCAGTTAGTGGGTGGAATATTCTCATATTCTACAACATTATAACACAGTAACTAGTATTTGTCATGTTCAGAAGTAAATACATCAGCTATATTTCTCAACATGTCTTTTATCTTACCACTGATCTCATCTTTTGTACTTTGAAGACAGTCTCACTACTTTGTCACGAAGATAAAGCCTGCTGCCTTGATCTGCGGCACACTTTGACAAGACAATATGGAATGTCATCTTCATAGCACGTCATGTAGTTCATGTGTGACAGCGAATATGTCAAAATCACAAAACAATCACATGTAAAAGCTGTGAGATCTTCTACTGGTATTTCCTTTTTGAGAGTTGTTAACGGTTGAGTATTATGTTATAATGTTGTTTCCTCATCACAAACAGACCTGGAGTTGTGTTTTGGGTAACACTTTATAATAACTACAACTTACTTAGCCTTAATAAAGCATGAACAAAGACTTACTTAATAATGAACACAAATTTTATTAATAATGATTCACGCTTAGTAAATACTTAATAAAGCATAATTTCTCAAAAAGGTTTAACTAACAGATAACAGCTGCCTAAATTATCATTGCATTGTATTATTAGCAAATCATTCTCTCATAGCTTACTAATGATTAATAAATGCTCAAATGGTTAGTCCATGAGTAATTAAGTATGAAATAATTATGAGTAACTATTTACAGCACAGGCAAATTCAAAATTAAGGTAGTAATTAAATAGTTACTAAGCGTGAATCATTATTAATTAAGTCTTTGTTCATTATTAATTAAGCCTTTGTTCATGCTTTATTAAGGCTAAATAAGGTGTAGTTATTATAAAGTGTTACCCATTTTGTTCCACTTTGTGATGTCATGGGGTAATACAGGAAGCGATCCACTGTGTTTTTAATCCCCATGCACCTTTAAGCACCATTATTGTACTTGAACCTTTGATTTCTTTGTCAAAACTATTCCATAAATTAACTTGGTAACACTTTAATTTAGGGACCACACATTAATAGCTAACTAAGTGGTAATTGGTATGATAATTAGTTGTTACTTAGCTTTTAGTTGGTATTAACTCATAATTTACAAAATGCTTAATGCTTATTAAGATTTTAGTGTATTTCAGTGTATGCACAAAAGCATCTATTGTAATCTCCTCTACTTTAATGGGAAGAAAATAGTGGGTTAGTACTTGCAAAATACAGTCTTAGACAAAAATGCACTGAAAGTACTTTATAAACCCTAACAAAGATATAATTAAGCACTTATTATGCATTTTACTATGAACTAGCTATTAAAATGTGGTCTCTAATCTTAAGTGTTACCATTAACTCCTTCACAGCAATGCTTCATTCCATAATCTTTGTTCTGATTGGCAAAGTTTCACATGTTTAACACAAAAATCCTGCATATTTAGGCTGAGTTCTTCTCTCAAACAGCAGCAAGCCCCAGAATATTTTTTCTGCTAGTTTCCTCTATTTGTCAGGATACAGCATCCAAAATGTTAGGGTTATTAACCATTTTTGCAGCTACAGTACCTTAATATTTACAATTACATAATTTCGCCAGCAGCTTTTCCTAAATAGGGTATTTTTTGGGCCCCGAGACCAAATGGGCTGAGTTATGGGTGGTCCCTATCAACTTGTGATGGCCCAAGATATTAGATAACAGGAAATAATAGTGAAAAAAATGTCGCAAGAAAACATCCTGAGGAGTGGACCTGGCTCCAGCCTATAATCTTTTGGATAATTTCAGCCAATCTCATTGCCAATCTCTACTGAACTAAAGGTAAAAGGAGCTGTTAACTTGAAAACTACTGCTTAGTGACATCACAAGGTGGAACAGATCATTCTGAGATGTAGATAGACTAATAATGCAGGATTACTCAAACATGTGTGAATGAAACAAAAAACAACCCTGGACATTGTTTTTGATGACATGACTAAAAATCACAAGAGTAAATTTTGCTTAATACAGACCCTTTAATTACTTATTTTTGAGTTATATTTCTTTTCTGTTTTTAAGGTGGCCGAGGTCTGAAGATGCAGATTTGGAATGACACTAGACCAGACTCCCTTGACCATATCTGGACGTTCAATGAGAACACCACAGGATACTGGACCAAGTGGGTGGACTCCACACCTTTTCTTTTCCCCATTGAGTTCGACCGTTTCACCACCAGGACCTCGGGGTTCCTGGTTCCTCCCTCCACTGGGAAGTACATCCTCCACCTTCAGTGTGATGACCGCTGTGACCTGTACCTGAGCAACTCCAGTCTACCAGAGCACAAGGTACACACTCAGCTTTATTTAGTAGAGTTAGTCTTTTTTTATTCGTTGACTGGTATGTAAGACTTAAATTTAATTGTCATAAACAGATGCAAAGTAAACATGTTCAAATTAATAAATTCTGAGGTTTATTTATTCTTAACTATTTATTTATGTTATAATTTTGTGTTTTGGTTCTCAAGATGATTTAGTCAGAAAGCAGAATGGGGCTCGAATCAGTCTCTCATTTGTGTTGCAAGTTTCAGTGCTTAAATCCAAGTGGTTTAAAGTTAAAATGCCTCTCTGATCTGAATCCTCACTGTCTAAACAACAGCACCTGTGGCTAATCCTCACTCAGTGCTAGTGCAGCCTCTTCAGCTCAGGGAGTGAATTCTGGAGGCTCTGAGCTCTCACATGAGGCCTGGCCTGTTTATATACTGAGAAATGTGTATGTGTATTCTATTACATTGTTTCCTATAAGAGTATAGTATACTATAATAATTATAAACTAATCTTTTTGTAATTATTTTATTGACTATTTTGTTCCAGTATTGCTGGTTCAATTGAATGTTGAAAAGAAAAAGAAAAGAGCTACATTTAATGTCCAAATAGGCAACTCATGGATCCTTTTATTGCTGGTTCAATAACTGTTTTTCATTGTGTAAATCTTGAGTAATACTAATTATTCAGAGAGACATGATCCATCAGTCAACAATAAAATGTCCTCATTAATGTTCAGTAATGGTCAAATCCACCTTTATTTTGTGATTTATGAATAATGTCTATTGACTTGGGTCATAAAGGTTTGTGATGAGAAAACCTTTGCGACCCTAGAAAAAAGTTTGGGAAGCACTGCTCTGTTGTCTTCCTTTTTTTTTGGACAATATTCTTGAATTACTAGCCGACCAGTGCAGAAAATCAATTTTCCCAAGCAGACCTCCTTCTACTACTATAGTATAGACTATATTTCACCATGCTTTTCTGTAGTGTAAATTTGTATTTATTTAATCTCTCAAACAATTAAAATCTGTTTTTTTGCAGGAGAAAATTGCTTTCCAGACGAGTTATACAACTGCTTTTAAAAGAGATTCACAACAATCCAAAGATCTGTTTCTGGAGGAGGGGAAACCGTACGTTCAAGTATATACCTTATATACATTTTGAAAATATTTTAGATACCATTTTACTTTTTTCAGGTACTACATAGAATTCCTCCAACAAGAATACGGGGGTGCTGCATCTCTCACCCTGGCCATGTTCACAGAGAAGAGCTCGTACACAGAGGCCCAGACGTCCAACGCTAAAAATGAAATTCAAACTCTTATCGCTGAATATGAGGTTCATGATGAGACTCAGGTCAGTGGGATGGGATGATAAAAATCAGTACTGATTATTGATTATTTGTGTTTTGTTTAATTCACACATGTTTACCACACAAAGTTCTTCTCTCAAACTAAAAACACCCTTCTCCACCTTGTAATGATATGTGGTAATAGAGGAAGTGCTCCACTGTGTTTTTAAACTCCGTACACCTTCACTAGAATCATTTGGATAATTTCAGCCCTGAAATCAGGTGGAACAGAGCATTTTAAGTTTTGGAGACATAAACAGACAATGATAATATTGTAATAATAATAATAAAAGATTAATCAAACATGTGTGAATGAAACAAAACACAACATGTTTTTGATGAGGTAGCAACATTATAACATGGCTTAAAGCTCACAAGAGTCAATTTCACAAAATATAGGACATTTAAGCAATTACTAAGCTTGAATTATTCTTAATTATCTAGTTGTACATTATGAATCAAATCTTGCTTCATGTTTTATTAAGGCCTTATTGAGTTTATTGCAAAATGGTTTTAGAGCTGATTCTGCTTTCTTAATAGTTAATAATAGTGATTATAGAATTGTTGAAATGGGTAAATGTATGAAATCTTCTATAAAAATGCACTTTATATTTACCATAGATTGGATTACATTAGATATAGCTATTTTATTTGAAATGTAGGATTTAATTTACATTTTGTTGCATACAGGTGGTCACTTTTGAGTCGTGGACAAGTAAAACTGCTGTTAAAGAGGTCCAGAAGGTCACTATTGTCAGTGGTGGCCCCTACTCCTTCAGCCTGGGTTATGGGGCTGCACTAACTGGTATAAACACTGAAATATTTGTATAATAACTAGATTTTAAGTTGCGTATTTTTAATCTTTTTTAAATGAAATGTTTTTTTACAGCTCCTATGAGCGTGAGTGCATCTGCGTCTTTGGTGAAGGCGTCTCTGAACGATCTTTGGTCAATCAAACCTGATACAGTGTCTGTGTCTAAAAGTAAAGATAGTGATGGCACCCACTTTACCATAACTTTCAACTCAGTCAGAGGTAACAAGAAAAGATTTTATTATTTTTCATGATTTTCTGATTATTACTAGATTTGGTGGGATTGTTTACACACAAGAACCTTCATTCTACAGAATAAAGATGTTGTTGTTATAGATCTTTTTCACAGCGGCTGGAAGTGCCCTGCTGTAGGTTTGCAGAACTTCTGGGTAATGGTCTTTTATGGCACAATGCCTGTGGAAATGTCTCGCCTACTCTCCACCAGCTTCACAAATCTGCCTGTTCACTAATAACTAGTCGTTGTTCACCTTTGAGTTTTCATCTTTCTTACCTTGATAGTTGTGGATAAATTCTTTATGGAAGAATGTTTATCCTTTGTGGACATTGCTATTTGAAGATTTGGAGCAGGGGCAGATTTATTTGGCCAGTGGAGAGTAGGCACGACATGTCTACAGACATTTTGCCATAGAAAACCATTAACTGTAAGTTCTGCAAACCTGTAGCGGGGATCTTCTGGACTTTGTGAAAAAGGTCTTTATGTCCCTTAAGAAACAGTTATAGAATTACCTTTATGTATATCATATCTGCTGCTCGTGTCCAACCAGGAAGGAAAAGTGGGAGTAAAAAGACTAAATTTCATCTTAAAAAAAAAATAAAAAGAAGAAGAAAACTACAAAAAATTTGCTTTAGTGAAATTAGTTGTCAGACCAACTATATGCACTTTAAGCTGTTTTATAAGCTCGCTCATCCATTTTGTGTCTAATTAATTCATGATATATTTTCACAGGTGATTTTGCTCCTCTGACCTATAATAACTTCGGATCTGACGTCAACATTAGGGTTGTGGAAGTCACTAAAGGAGAGAGCAACATGGAGTCCTTCACACTCACATGGGGGGATGTACCCACCAAACCCATCACGTACAACGCAACTGAGGAAGAGGTCTGGGGACAAATACACAATATATTTAATTCCTCTCTGTCTCAATATTAAACTATAGGTTTTATAGGATATTATGACATTACAGTAACTCCACCTATTGCCATAAGTCTACAATTGATCTGGAATGAAGTTAGACACTATAGTATAGCTAAATTAGAGATGCGTGACTAAAGACTGAAAATAAATCTGATATTTCTTTTAAACACAAACACTGTATGGTAAAAAAAAAAATTATGCAGCTGTGTTTTTCTAACTGATTTTTGTCATTTAAAGTAACTACAGAAAAATACACGTTTAATATTATGACACATTTTCCAAATTATAGACCACAGTGACAATGTTAATACTTAAATTAATTGTAAACAGGTGAAGTCTGCACTGGAGGAGTTGTTATCAGCCAAGTGTCCGGGTGAAATTGAGACTTTTGAGGGAACCAACGTGAAATATTTTAAAGACTTTGAAGATGACGACAACTCCCAGGTAAGTCCAAATTGTATGGATCCGTAGTTGAAGGTGCACTGTGTAACTTTATGGTTGGGGGTCACTGGTATTTCACTGCTCTAACTGGAATGTTCCACAGTATAACAATAAACAGCTCTACCTTACATTTATTAAACTACAGGTGGTGTTATAGATCTGACCTGTCACTTGGTCGGGTTTGAATATATACTGTAAAGGTTTAATGCCATACTGTGAAATATTCCAGACAAAGCAATAACAAACATCTTCATGGAGAAAAGCATTTGACACAAGATCTCGTAAGACAAAACTGCCACAAGATTGTACACGGATGAGAAAAATAATTCTGGGAACTAAATCAGACTATTTACACATTAGAAATTATGTCAAAATCTCATCTTGTCTCGTTCTCGTGGACCCAGTCTTGTGTCTCATCTTGTCTTGTGGAAATTGTCTCGTCCCGTCCCAACGATACACCTTTAACTACGAATAATTTTAACAATAAACAACTTCAAGTATACAAAACATTGCAATACAAGACTGTTCTTCTCTTTTTACTTAAGTTTGATGGCACACCTGTGAAAAATGTAGCGTTTTGTGGTTTATGGTCAATGATGAACTCCAAGATTATTTTCAAAGACACCTACACTAAAGAGTCTGGTGGAAAATATGGACCTATACCACTCGACACATTTCCCTCGGTAAATGACTTTAATTTTTTTTTTTTTTTTTTTTTTTTTAATGTGTTTGTATTTTATTTTAATTTTTTATGTGTTTGTATTTTATTTGTATTTTATTTCATTTTAAATTTTATTTTTTATGTGTTTAATTTTTTATGTGTATTTTATAAAAAAAAAATTATGTGTTAATTTAATTTTAATTTATTTTTTTAATTTATTTAATTTGAATTTTTTATGTGTTTAATTTTAATTTATGAATACTTTTTTCTTGTTGTTGTTATAGCTTTATTTCAATTCATTTTACTTTTTTCCAGCTGTGTTTTGCTTACAAGGGGATTTTGAATGATGAAATTACCTTATCTTTCACATATCGCAACTCTGCGGGCAAAACTATTTCAGAAACGACCAGCATCCCTGTAGTTTTCAATAAGGGACCCAAGTCAGTAACATTTTGTATTATTAAAAATTCGCAACGCTTGTATCTTATTGTGCTAAATATCGTCTGTATCTTTTGCAGTTGGAGTTACAAATGCATTGACCTGCTCAGCTCTTTGCAAGGAAAATTTGTTGGAAGTCTGTATAAAATGGTCAAACTTAGTGTCGACTCTACAGATACCTTCTATATCGATGCTGTTCACGTTGGACGATCCCCCACTACATATGAAGAAAATGGTGAACCCTAGTTATATAATGGTATTGTCAAAATCAAAGAACAAACATGGTATTAATGATATTTTTTATTTTTTATTTAGCTGTACCATTGAAGAGGAGACCGCCACCCTTTGAGAGTTCTGGGAGTTACATTGATTCGTTTTCCATAACCAAAGAAAATTCAAGTTTGTCTTACCAGATCATGGCCACACCTGTAGACTGCGCTTTTGGCTTTCCCATGATAGAAGTGGGGTTCATACAGGTAATGTTAACTCTGTTGGATTAATTAGATTTGAATGCATTCCTGTTACTTCCCAAGATGCTAAAATAAAATATCAGTTACTAGTACTTAAGTAAGCCAAACTATCCAAACCCAATCCACTTTATTTATATAGCACATTTCACAAACCGTTTCCAAAATGCTGCACAAATAGAAAATAACAGTAATACAATGATAAAATAAACACTCAGATTTAATCATACTAGTCTTAAAATAATAAAACCAGTAAAATAAAATAAGAGCAAAATCCTAGAATGACAATAAATAAATAAAACCAGTAAAATACATTCAAAATAAATAAAATAAATAAAAGACACAGAAGACCACACAACTCATAATACTATCCAAATCCGAGTACCATTAGTTCAATCGTTTTTCAAAATAAAACCAAAAATAAGAAAATGAAAAAAACAAAAATGTTCTTCATTATTTGTCTCCAAAACCAAAATGAAAAAACATGACGATTCGTTTTTTCAGTTTTTGATTTTGTGCTTAAATGAATAATGGAAAAAACAGATTTTTCCGGTTTCCATCACTTTAAACTATGATGCTGGTATCAGTCCTGGTTCAGTCCTGGTTCAGTTCTGGTTTAGTCCTACAATATTTTAGTTTAATTTCTTTTTTCCTCTGCATTGTACCGTTACAGAAGACAAAGAGTGAAGAGGACATGGGAACATTCAGCGATGGAACAGCTAAAGTCACAGTGACTCGCCCACACAAAGCCACACCCCCTCTGAACGGGACCTTTGATGTGGAGATGTACGGCGGCCGTGTGGAAGGTACAGTCAGATTAATGGAACATGACATCAAAATACAAGACAACATAGTAATTTACCGATTTCAAGTTAATAAAGACAAGACTTAAAGGGCCTACATTACACTATTTTGTGATTTACTGTATGTTACAATGTTGTTTCCTCATCACAAATGTACCTGGAGTAGTGTTTGCTTTATTCATATTTAGGCTGAGCTCTTCTCTCAAACTCTGTTCCACCTTGTGATGTCATGTGGTAATACAGGAAGCGCTCCACTGTGTTTTTAAACTCCATACACCCTCTTATTAAGCCAAAGATGTTAATTTTGTCTTCTTATGTACTTTAAGACAATACAGTAAAGCAGTGTTTCACAAACTTTTTTCTGGGGACCTATATTTTAAAAGTCACAAACCAAAACCAAAGTCAACAGACATTATTTGTAAATTTGTCTTTTTTTTCTACATTCAATTAAACCAGCAATATTGGAACAAAGTAGTCAATGAAATAATTACAAAAATATTACAAATTATACAAAACATGTGTGCGTTTTTGCAGTAGTGAAAGGAATAAGCATAGAAAGACTGGCCCTACTGAGGACAGGATATTTTGATGAAATGCTTATCCAGAATGATGATAAGGTCACAGATCCATGTATACAACTGTATGTTGCAGATCGTGAAAAGGTGATCCAAAAAAAATCTCTTTAAAAATCTCCCAAAAAAAATCTCTCAACCCAGTCTTTGGGAAACAATACAGTAAAGTGTTTTTACCTTGTTGACCTGTTTCGGGTCCTAGCTGCAAGCCATCTTCACAACTGTCACTGGTTTTTGTGATGACGTGTCGAATATCGGCTGTTGTCCATGCGCCCACACTGGAATCATTTGGATAATTTAAAAGACCTGGAATCGCCAATCTGTACTGAACAAAATGTAAAATGTAGGTCTTAACTTGAAAACTACTCCTTCATGACATCACACGGTGGAAAGAGCATTCTGAACTTCAGAGATATAGGCAGACTAATAATAAAGGATTACTCAAACATGTGCAAATGAAACAAAACACAACTCCATTTATGTTTTTGCTGTATATTAAGGAGCATATACAGTATGTTTGTCAGTACTCTGATTGGAACCATGTATCAGAATATGTTACAAAACACATTTTAACGCAGGTATTCAGTATTCTGTAACAATATACATTTTCTTTTCATCACTGCAGGTTGAAAAATTATTAACAACAAGTTTGTCCTATTACCATGACAACGTAATTGTCATAATTACATGTTTAGTTGACTTATTATTACTATATATGCTATTATTCTGTAAATATGCTCTATACTTAAACTAAACCCCCATAACTGTAGCAGCAACTTTGTTTGTTGATAAAATATGCTATAGAAATAAAGAAATAAAGTGGAATATATGTCAATTTGTAATTTACACCCTTTCAATTCGACTCTTGACATGCTCCTGTAACCGCTAAAGAAACTGTTAAACTAAAACCAGCCTCTAAGAAGTATTTGTGATTTGTTTTAGGTCTCTCTATTGATATAAATGAGGAGGATTTGAAGTACGCGCTTGAAGGCATCTCTGAGATTGGAGAACTGAAGGTCGAATACAAAGGGACCTGCCGCAAGCCCAAATGGAAAATCGAGTTTCTCTCCAAACCTGGGGACCAGCCAGAGATACAAGTAAAATATACATGTTTTAACTTCTGATAATGCAAAAAAGTGAATTGTGCTATAACTTGTCAATAATAAAATACAGTTTAGCAGTTTTATTTTTAACCTAGCAAGAAAAACATTGCAGAGACACTATGTACATTTTCTGGTGGAGGGTTCATCATGTGCTTGTCTCCATGGAGATTATTTTTGCCTGGAATATTCCACAGTATTGCATTTAACTTCTCTGTCTCCATGGGGACAAGTAGGTGATGCCACCAGTCCACTCACAGTTAAAATTCATGTTTTTCAAGCACTTGATCAAAGTTAAATCAAAATGACATACTTAAATACATGATCAATCAATCAATTATGTAAAAAAAAATTCAAATATTCAAAAGTACTCAAAGCTCTTAAAGGGACTGTTAAAAAGAAGAAAAAAACAGCTAACTGAAATAAATACAATGCAAAAACATCAAATATTCATAAAAAAGCAGAAACAAAATGTAGTATAAAATCAGTTAGGGTTAGAAAAAGATATGCAATAAATATAGGCTTACGCTTATTATAAACACTGGATGCTACAAATTATTACAATTTATTCATATTTCAATGTATTTTTTCACAGGTCGACAGCTCAAACATTATTGGCCCAAACGTAAATTTCTTTTCAAAGGAGAGTAGCCAAGGAGGGATGCTGCACACGAGAGTAATTGGAGATCATTTCCGTGTGAAGGAGTCCAAGCCACAGGTAAAATCTACACAGAGGAACTTTCATAGTTTGATTTTCTGTTGTAAAAAGTCTGTTTTTATATTAGGGGTGTACAAAAATATCAAAATATAAATATATATACCGTGATACTAAATTAGTTGATACAGTATTGTTATCGTATTTTTTGGTTCTTTTAGTAATTTTTTGTGACTGCACTACAATTTTGTTTCTTATTTAGTGGAAGGAAACTTGTTTATGCAATACCCTTGACATATTCACAGTTTTGATGATTAAAATTGATGTATTTTATATGTAACTTTGCACAAGAAGTGGTTTAACAAAGAAATATTGTTGCTAAAATGTGTTTGGTTCTTTAAAAAAAAAAGCAAAATGTCTCAGAGTATCATGTGAAATATATCGATTATCACCGCTGAGAATATCGTATCATGAGCCATGTATCGTATCCTGTGACTCACTGCACTACTATATGTTTGTATGTTTAATATTGTTCTGGTTACTAGTTTCTAAAATGGTTTTGCGGTGAGACAGTGATGACAGAAGCAGGATTAACTTGACAAGAACATTTCCTGTGGGTGTGAAGCTACCTGAAAACAAAACTGTCTGAAGCTCTGTTACTCAAAGTAGACTTCAGCTTTATTTGAACAAAATCTGACCAGACAGGGCTGACTTAGCTGAATGACATCTCATTTTTGTTGCACCTAAACAAAACCATGAACAATTGTGTTGATCACAGGCTCGTGAAAATGTGCTGTTTAAATCCATTTTTGTATTTTTTCTTGTTTTTTTTTTTTTTCTTGAGTTTTCAGATAGTTATAGCTAATGTTAAGGTGACCATATTTTCAAAATTCTAAACTGGGACACACCCGAGTTGGGATGTTTGGTATAAATAAAATTGTGAAAAGAGCGTGTAACATTGTGAATTGTGTCAGTCATAATCTGAGGGACTTCTGACGCTGCATTTTTTTGCTTTATGGTCATTTGTAAACACGGATTTCTGTATTTTGGCTAAACAAATGATAATTTATGCTCCCCTTTAGTGTTGACAGGGATCAGACTAGTCCTGTTTTAGTCCTGGTTTAGATCAAATTGGACAAAAATAACATTACTTATATAAAACTGGGACAAATCAGTGGTTTTGTATAAATCTGCTGGGACAGGGAACACAGGGCTCAAAACTGGGACTGTCCCTGGTAAATAGGGACGTCTGGTCACCCTATGCTAATGTGTGCTTTGTGTCACCATGGTAACTGCTGAACTTTCCACCTATATACCGTACATACAGGCAGAACACCCCCAGCGCATGTCACTGTGAAGTATCAATAGATGTCATAGTTTAAAGGTGCTCTCTGTAACTTTTCTGATGGAAAAAGTTGCTCGCTTAGCTCCATGGTTGTGTGATTGCCTTTCCTAGAGCATGTTCCATAGTAGGCATGAAACTAGGGTGACCTTACGTCCCTATTTCCCCAGGACATTCCCAGTTTTGAGCCCTGTATCTCCTGTCCCACCAGATTTACACAAAAACAGTGATTTGTCTCAATTTTATATACAACAAATGTCCCAGGTGTCCCTATTTTTGACCAGTCTGATCCCTGCCAACAGTAAAGAGGCATAAATTGACATTTGTTGAGGTAAAATACAGAAAAGCTGCTTAGAAATGACCAAAACACAAAGAAAATGTGACTATACTGACTCAAATGGGCCGTGCACAGAACAGTTCTCCTTAATTACACATTTTATGATTTTGAAATTATGGTCACCGTACATGAAACTTTGAAGCAGATTATATCACTAGGCCAAGTTACAGGTCAGATCTGTGGAGAGGCAAGCCTGCTTACATGCATGTTTTCAAGTTATTGTGACTAAAAAAACACCTGTAATTGAATCAATGCTAGTTAGGTGAGTGTAAAGATAAAATATTGAACATCCGCAGCAAAGTAATAACATCTTCATGGAGACAAACAGGGAGACTATGTATCTGAAAAGTTACATAGAGTACCTTTAAAGATGGTGAAACTGATTGATGAGCATGATAGAGGTTTTTTCTGATGCTTTTTTCAGGTCCAGGTTTACATCAATAACATCCCGTCCTGGTGCTCTGGAGACTGTGGATTTGAATGGTCCCCAGAGAAGACCCCCGTCCTAACTGCAGTCACCCCATCAGAAGGTAACACTGCAAACTCTGAAACTATAACTGTACTATATTATATGATATCTTATATTATATTATATTATAGAAGAGGTCAAGGGCATCTAATAACTATTAAAGGGCCCATATTACGCTATTTTCTGATCTCTGTTATAATGTTGTTTCCTCATCATGAACATACATGCACAGCAAATTTGAGAGTGTTAATTCAACTCGTATATTGTTAATTTTAACATTTTTACCATGTCATATGGGGTCCACAATAAAATGAGTTAAAACTACACATTCCAAAGTGTAGAAGCCTCAACACTGGTTTTACACTGGTGTATAGTGAAAGACTAGTAACTCTATATTGCTATGTTTTAACAATTTATAACGTAGAAATAGTGTAGAGTGTTCTTCGTGTTACACTATTCGATAGTAACTCTTTCTTCACTAAATACAGTGTAAATGCTGTGGTCATTCTAGTTCATAATCCCTTTTACTAATGTAAAATAAAGAAAACCACCACAAAATTCCATTTCAACTTAACTTGTATTAAAACAATGCATATTATACAATCAACACACTTTAAATAAGTCATATGACACAATACTATTTGCAAAAACCAACTGAGAACAGGAATTCTCTGTGCCCTCAACAGCTAGTCACAATGATTGTCTTTTTTTTTTTTTAAAGTTGATTTTTCAATGCTGGCAGTCGATGGATGAATCAAGATCTTGTTTTGAATGGAATTCAGGCATGCTCGTCTCCAGAAATGAGATGTTCTTCCCATTATATAAACATAACAATGTTCACAATAGAGGCAGTGCTGCTAATTATGAAACATTAACACTGCAGAAGCTTTTTACCTTAAGAGTCAGTCTTGCATTCTTGGGGTTTCTTTTGACACATCCAACATCCATGTTGTAGACAGTTCTTTGAATACAGGTGTAAAGTTTGTGAGAGTCTGAGGACCAAGTGCCTTGAAGTGTTCACCAAATTCAGCCAGGTCAACGATGACATAAAAAAAAATCTTTGTCCTTTCCACTTCAGTCACAGGTAGAAAGGCCATCCAGGCTCAACCAGCAAGAAATGTGTCCATACCAATCTGTAAAATAAATACAGACTAGAATAAATATAACATATTTGAGTAACCACCTTGCAAAATGGGTTATGCAATATTTAATGAGCCATGAATAAAAATTTTAAAGTAAATATATAAAACCCGGACAACACGTGACAACTATGAAATAAACGTGGGAGTGTCCTAAAAAGGTAAAGTAATCCGGGGCATATGAGAGCTCACGTCATTGAACTCGAGGCTCGCTGAGTTCAGGTTCTGCTGAAAAACAAACGCTATTAGCTGTTAGCTGTTAGCTTAGCTTTGGACGGTGAAACCTGGCTTCTCTCTCGGACTGTAGTTCTCCCACTGGAAATGCTACAAAACTCCAACACTGATGTAGTGTAATTTTAAAAATAGACACTTTCTAAATGTTTGACGTTAACACTGTGAATCAACAGCAACTTTTTTTACTCTACAGTACTGTCATAGTTGAACTAACTCTTTACTATGTTGAAACATAGTGCTCCGTCCCATCAATTTTTGAGGTAACAGCTAACTTTTAGCTTTAGTTCTGTACAGATTGGCAATTCCAGGACTGAAATCATCCAAATGATTGTAGTGCAGGTGTATGGAGTTTAAAAACACAGTGGCGCACTTCCTGCATTACAATGTGACATCACAAGGTGTTACAGAGGAGAGTTTTCTGTTTGAGAGAAGAAGTCAGCCTAAATATACAGGGTTTGTGTGTTAAACATGTGTGAATGAAACAAAACACAACTCTGGGGATGTTTTTGATGAGGAAACATTATAACATAGACTGGACAATAGGACCAGAAACATAGGACCTTTAAATACTGCAAATCAAAATCAGCTAGGGATGTTATTATTGTAATTTGGATATTTAAGAAGTAAGAACTAAACTAAACTAAACTAAAGGAAATATATTGTTTTTCAGTTGTCATAGAAAAAAAATCTCTTTATTTCCAAAAAATATTGTTATGGTCATATAAATTATACATTAAAATCATTAGCCAAATTTAAATCTATATTTTAGAGGTTCACTGTGTAACTTTTTTGTTGAAGGTTCGTCCATTTTTTTTTTTTCTATGGATGTCATTACTTTGCCTGGAATGTTCCACAGTTTGACATTCAACAGCTCTACTTTACATGTATTAAATTACAGGTGGTTTTATAGCTCACACATACCTAGTAAAGAGTAGGAATGTAACAATAACCATGAAAAGTCTCACAATAATTATCATGGGCTGTCACAATATATTGAATTACAAGTTCCTTTGCTTAAAGGCATGTTTTTATCATAGCAACAGCTTTTAAACATTTGGAACTACATATCCCATGATTCATTTCAGTGCAAACAACAGGAAGAAACATGTTTTTTACTTGAATTCTTGGGATTATGACAGAAATAATTCACACCAAAATCTTGTCAAGGTATTTTAAAAGCAAAAAAGTGTCCTATCTACAATTATATTAGGCTCTCCAAAATATCGCAAGAGATGCATATCATGATAATATTGTACGGAGAGATTTGGATATTGTTACATCCCTAGTAAAAAGACATTCTGACTGTGAGGGGGGTGGCCTTTCCACAGCTCTGACCTGTAACTTGGTCTGGTTTGGTCTTCGTGAAGATAGAAAGGTTTAATGCAATACTGTGAAATATTTCAGACAAAGGAATAACATCTCCATGGAGTAAAACTTTTGACGGACCCTCCACCAGAAAAATTACACAATGCGTCTTTAGATCATAAATATTAATCACCTGTAATCACCTCATTCACAAATACAAACAAGAATTGCCATAAAATGTACTATAATAACAAAATGAAAGAAGTGCGGTTTAACAACCTAACAAAAATATTTTCCAGAATCCGAGGATCTTCAGACCGTCGTGACGATTTCTGGAACTGGATTTCCCCAGAATGAAAACGCTACAGTCATGATCGGGAATGTCAAATGTGATGTTACAGCTGTCACGGGTGCGTCCATCACAAACTCACTTTTATCAATTTACTGATAATTTGCAGCTGATGTCATCAACATTCCCTGGCGGTGTGACACTAATTGGACGCACTACTCTGTTAGAAGCTCTGTTACTCAAGTTAGACTTTAATCTGATCTTTATTTTAACACAAAAGCTGATGAAAGTTTGAACTGTAACAGGTGAGCTGATTTGTGCCGTTAAGCACACATAAAATTACAGTCACAAGGCAACTGTTTATCAGTTAGTCTACTGCAGTGGTCTCCAACATTTTTCCTCCTGTGAGGTACTTTTGCAAAACGAAAATGCCAGAAAGCTCTCTTTTTTAGCAGTAGCAGAGAAACTGAGAATATACCTCAACAAGCCATGGAACAGTTAGATGCCTATAAAACATAAACCATGATCCATTTGTCAGTGCACAAAGTTAGGGATGAAAATAATAAATTTACAATAGTAATTTATCAAATTTTACTTATTCAACAAAATACATAGGATTCAAAAATCCTTTGGCAAGCTACTTTCAAGGGGGTGGAGAGCTACTGGTAGCTTCCGAGCTACAGGTTGGAGACCCCTGGTCTAGTGTGACCAGACGTCCCTATTTACCTGGGACAGTCCCAGTTTTGAGCCCTGTGTCCCCTGTCCCAGTAGACTGATTTGTCCCACTTTTATACAAGAAATGTCCCAAGTGTCCTTATTTTTGACCAATCTGATACCTGCCAACAGGAAAGAGATGCATAAATTGTCATTTGTTCAGGTAAAATACAGAAAACCATGCTAAAAAAAATTACTAAAACACAAAGAAAATGTGACTATACTGACTCACGTGTTAGTTGTAAATAAGTCTTGAATGGGCCAAGTGCAACCATTTTTCTTCATTACAGACTTGTTTCACAGTTTTAGTAATACCAACCACCACAAACCGGGTATGTATGTTTTTGATTTTGAAAATTTGGTCACCCTAAGTTAGTCAGTCACTCTCACCTTTTATGCTGAAAACATAAAAAAATAAATAATAAATATATATAAATACAAATAAAAAAATGTATTTATATGATCTTAAAACTTCTTTAACAGTGTTTGCTTATGTGTGCATTGTGGTAACTCCTAAACATTCCACCATAGAGTTACATGCAAAATACCCCCAGCATGATGTCACTGCAAAGTATCAATAAAACAAAAGAAAGCTGAACTGTGCGATGCATTTTTGCAGAAAACCTTCAGACATGCAGTCCTGGACCATCTGTGGCCGGTACTTTCCCAGTGACAGTCACCTTCCCCTCCCTCGGAAACGCACAATACGCAGACAACAATGTTCTCTACTTCACCTACAAACTCATCGTCTCATCCTTCTCCCCAATGTCTGGAAGTCTGGCTGGTAACTATGACAACTTAAAACTTCATCAGAATCAAAGAACAATTTAGATGGATTTTTAGTTTTAGGTTTTGTTTTAGTTTAATTAAAAATGAGCTGTGTAGCGTTTTGGTTTGAGGTCCGTCACCTCCTTGTTTCTATGAATATGTCATTACTCTGCCTGGAATGTTCCACGGTATGATATTAAACAGCTCTACCTTATATTTATTAAAATACAGGTGGTATTATAGCTCAAAAATTATTAAGAAAAACAGGTATTTTAACTGCGTGGGATTGCCTCTCCACAGATCTGACCTGTAACTTGGTCTGGTCTCCGTGAAGATAGAAAGGTTTAATGCCATACTGTGAAACATTTCAGACAAATCAATAACATCTCTGTGAAGAAAAGCAGATGACGGACCCTCCACCAGAAAAGTTACACAGTGCACCTTTAAACCTGATTTGATTTAGATCTGTCTTCATTTTTTTTCCTTATCTAACTTTTAACATAGTGTCATATATTTTACTAATAGAATATACAGTCAAACTTGTTACCATCATTAAACTACAATGTACATAACCCCATGTTTTCTTTCAGGGGGAACGCTGTTGACAATCACAGGCTCTGGGTTTGACGTGAATGCCACTGTTACTGTTGGGGGCAGTTCTTGTGTGGTCGAAGATGCCACTGAAACTGAGCTGAAATGCAAAACACCCCCAGTAAGTCAACATAATACAATTTATTAAAGAGCCCATATTAACACAATTTTAAGATTTTATGTTACTATGTCGTTTCCTCATTAAAAACATACGTCGAGTTGTGTTTTGTTTTGTTCACACATGTTTAACACACAAACCTGCATATTGGATAAGGTGGAAAAGAGCATTTTGAGTTTTGGAGATATAGACAGACTAATAATAAAGGATACTACCCAAATATGTGTGAATGAAACAAAACCAGGTATGTTTTTGCGGAGATAACAACATTATAACATGTCTTAACCTTCACAAGAGATAATTTTGTGTAATAAATAATTTAAATATATTATAATATCCACAATTAGGCCTTTCACAATAATCACTATACTGACCAAAAACGTTTAAAACCATTCTTTGGGCCATTCTCCATAGAAACACAGTTGGAAATACATTTTTAGGCCGTATACTGTTGAACAGTATAGCCAAAGGAAAAGCAATTCCAACCATGTATGAAATGAAAAATGTATTCTAGTCTATTTTGGGCAAAAAATATCCATACTATGGTTTTACATGTGTGTTATTTGTTGTAGTGTTATAATATTTGAATATATGGACATGGATATTTGGATATTTATGGTTATTTATTATTGCAGGGAGTTTCTGGTTCTGCAGCGGTGACTGTGAGTGTGGGGAGCTTGAATACAACTGCATCTGCCTTTTTTATGTACGATACGAATCTGACAGCGCTAATCTCAAACATCAGCCCAAAAAGCACCCCTGTCAGCGGTAAGTTAAAGACATTCAGTTCATCTATTACTTCTTATTCAGTATTTTCAAAAACATTTAAAAGCTGATTTCTAGAACATGAAAGATAGATAGATAGATAGATAGATAGATATAATTAAAAAAAAAAGCCAATTCCAATTATTTTCCTCATAATGACCAAAGTTGATTTTTGAGCCTATTTTTTTTCTTAGTAAAGGTGCGTTGTGTAACTTTTCTGATTGAGGATCTATCAAATGCTCAATCAGTCAGTTTTTCTCTGTATTTTTGAGCTATAAAACCACCTATAATTTAATAAATCTAAGGTAGAACTGTTTAATTCTGTGGAACATTCCAGGCAGGGCAAGCAGAAACAACCTGTTGACGCACCTGCCACCAGAAAAGTTACACAATGCACCTTTCAGATCAAACTTCAAATTAGTGCCTCTTAAGATTCAGAACAATGTGAAAGTGCAGATAAGGGACAGCCGTAATACTGTCTGTACTTTGTCATGTGCAAACAGGTTGTAGTCACGCACAGTTGTGTTTCACTTGGTGATGAAATGGTTTATTCCCCTGAAATGTCTTGGAGTATTTCCTCTGGAAAGTCTTCTGTCACATTTGCTGCCACATATAGTGTAAAAAACCTGTAGCATCTTGGTTCAGTAAAGTTGCAAAAATTCAGTAATTACATGTATGTAAATGTATTTTGTTGTTCGTAACTTCAATATTTCAGTGCTGGCTCACAGTCCTTGTGCGTGTAATTGTCATTGCATTTTTTGACTCATACTATAGTCTCCACTTCACTGTGTCATGAGATGTACATAGTATATATAGTAGACCTGTCACAATAATTACTATATTGACATATGCAATATATAAAAGCTGGAGCAATATATTTTTAGAGCTCAAGATTTATCATGGGTATGTTTTCTTTGCAAAAGTGAAAGATTTTTGTTATTTTTGTTTTAAATGTAAAGGTTTGAGCTGTAGAGATTTGAGAGAATATGTGATTTCTATCTCTAATTATTGGTTCATTCTGCTTTTTATATGCTGCAGCTCATGTCTTTTAATGATACTTTCTGTTTAAAAATGGTTCAAAAGGATTATCTTGTATTATTGTGTTTGTGTCAGCAGTACAAAGTAATTTCAATATTATCGTTTGTCACAATATTTATCTTTAGCAATACATCATGACAGGCGTGGTACATAGCATATGAAATATTCTTCCTATCTGCATTGCACAGACACATTTGCTGTTGTTACAGACCACTGTTATATACCACTGTTTCTTACCTTTCTTTGTTACCTTGGTTTCTATATTCAACCTATACTTGACATGCCAGTGACAGGTACTGCGTAATTATGAGTGTCTAAGATAAGATAATTAAGAGGTTCAGTATAAGGACAAGTACGTAATTAGCTGTGGTTTTGACCTATGCAACCTAGCAATGTTGTCGTGCAGGTTTTCTATGGGAATCCTGGCTACAGAGATAACTATGGCTTTTAGCGTACATACAACAATAGAGGGGCTGTCAAACAAAACCTCTTAGACAATCAGTGGTACATACTATGCTATAATTAGACTCTTCGAGGTCCTATATTACACATGATTGACTCTTGTGAGTGTATACTGCTGTTACCGCATCAAACAAAGACCTGGAGTTGTGTTTTGTTTCATCCACACGTGTTTGAGTAACCCTGCATTATTTGTCTGTCTACATCTCCGCTGTTCAAAATGTTCTGATTCAACCTTGTGATGTCATGTAGAGGTAGTTTTCACCTTTTTTCTTTACCTTTTGTTTAGTAGAAATTGAGAAATTGATCTGTTTGAGAGATGAACTCAGCCTAAATATGCAGGGTTTGTGTGTTTAAAATGTGTGAATGAAACAAAACACGACTCCAGGTTTCATGTTTGTGATGAGGAAACAACATTATGACCTAGATCAGAAAATACCGTGACATGGGCCCTTTAAACAAATCCGTCTGTTCATCATTTTGACACTTGATTGACAGATTTTTATGTTCACATGTCTGAATAAGTAGTTTTTTCAGATTCAAGTGGTTTGGAACGTTTTGAGGTTTGAATAATGGCACTACTTTTTGACATGATTGTGTACAAATAATTTTACTTTAGATCGTGTATGCTTGCAGAGAAGACACTGAACCTTGTGTCAGTTTTTGTTTCATGTAGATAGGTACAGTAATTACAGAGATATTAACAGAGATATTAAAATTCGGCTGATGTAGTTGGATGTTCAAAATTTTAGAATGGAGGCCAGTGGAAACAAACTGAAGCAGACATTTTATATTTTCAACAACAGATGTCAACGCTTATGGTTTTTAAAACTTTAAAACAGGGTATAGATATAAGTTCACTTTGCTGTTAAGAAGGAGCTGTTAACTTGAAAACTACCACTTCATGACATCAAAAGGTCGAACAGAGCATTTTGAGCTTTGGAGACATAGACACTTTTAAAGGGTCTATATAATTTGTGTTTTGTTTTTCACAGAACCAGGACTTCTTATCATTAATGGATCGAATCTGGGAGTGGATGACGAAGGCAGTGTAGTGACAGTCGGTGGAAAGGCTTGTAATATGATCAAATGGACACAGACAAATATCCAGTGCAGCCTCCCTCTGCTCCCGCCAGGGCTGCACCAAATCGACATACAGATTGAGAAAAATGGGAAAGCACATTTAAGGTACAGTTACTGTACTGTCTTTACTCTATAATATATTGTGATGTGTGAGCTACTGTGCCCAAACCATTTTCTTTGTAATGACACAAATCCTTTTTTATTTTAAAGCAATGGTGTGAATGCCAGTATTGAGTACGTCCTGGAGGTCCACAGTGTCTCTCCGCTGGTGGGCTCTTTGATGGGAGGAACTGAACTCGTCATCACTGGATCTGGATTCAACAAAAACAACACTGAAGTTTCAATTGGTGAGTCATTTGTATCTGGACTGAGAAACTTATTACATAGAAAGGGTCCGTCAAATGCTTTTTTCCATGGAGATGTTATTGCTTTGTCTGGAATGTTTCACCGTATAGAATTAAACCTTTCTATCACCATGGAGACCAAACTAGACCAAGTTACCAGTCAAATTTGTGGAGAGACGACCTCACTCACAGTCAGAATGTCTGTTTTTCTAGGTATTTTTGAGCTATAAAATCACCTGTAATTGAATAAATGTAAGAACTGTGAACTTGAACTTGATCTTAATGTCATACTGTGGAACATTTCAGGCAGAGCAATGACATATCCATAGAAACAAGCAGGTGACCTACCCTCCAGCAGAAACTTGAAATGTTCCACAGTATGACATTAAACAGCTCTACCTTACATTTATTCAATTATAGGTGGTTTTATAGCTCAAAAATACTTAGAAAAACAGACATTCTGACTGTGAGCGGGGTCACCTCGCCACAGATCTGACCTGTAACTTGGTCTGGTGTGATCTCCATGGTGATAAAAAGGTTTGATATCATACTGTGAAACATTCCAGAAAAAGCAATTACATCTCCACAGAGAAAAGCATTTGATGGACCCTCCACCAGAAAAGTTACACAAGGCACCTTTAAAATACAGTATATACTTTCTTTTTGTTGCTATACTCTATTGCAGATTCTATCATCATAACACACTAAGGCTGTGCATTTAATTGAATTTTGATCTCAATTTCAATTTGTGTGTCAAACGATCTCCAAACTCATATAATCGAGTTGAAGCAAAGTTTATTTTGGGACATTTTTAATATAAATGTGTATATTTATTGTAGAACAGCTGGATACTTAGTTTATTTTGGAGACATTTATGTTTTTGTATTTGTATTTCTATTAAAGTTTTTTTGTAAATTATCAATAACAAAGTGCTTTTTTTGAGAGAGAAATGCTGAATAAATGCATCGTGTCACTAAAAAATAATAGTTTGAATAATCTTGATATCAATATTGACCAAAAATAATCATGATAATGTTTTTTCCATAACACACTTAGCTCTATAACACACTAGTTTTTATTGTTCTGAAACAGAGTTGTTGAGAAACATGTTATGCTCTGTAAAATTGCACTGTTTTCAAGTCAGTTTAAAGTTTTGTTTGTTTGTTTGTCCTGTGAAAATCCCATCACGTCACTTCCCACTATTCGGATGTATAATACGAGTATATATTTCATGTACATTTTTACCCTGTAGTGACATAACTCCTGTTTCATGCGTGACATCACCAGGTGGAGTCGAGTGTGAAGTGATGAACGCCACACCGACAAGATTGGAGTGTGTTTTACAATCGAGCCAAAATACTGTCACCGTGACCAACCAAGGCATCCACCAAGGTACGTTTTACATTTCTTCTTCTTTTGTTCAAACGTCAAATTGAATCTCCTTAGACTAAAATTGAACACAAAAGATGTAGTAGATCAACTTACAAACCACAGCTGTGAGCGCTGGAGCTGTCACCTGTAGCTAAAATCGGACACCAACTAGAGCAGACACAAAGAATTCTGTTAAAACTGGTGCAGTTTTCTAAAATTAGCTGTTTTCAAAGCAGGTGGTTGTTGAGGTGTTTAAACCAGGCAAAAGTAATTTGAGATGTATTAGTATTTTACAATATGTCACACTTACTAATATATTCAGTGTTGGTAGTAGTAAAGTGCTGTACTTAAGTAAATATTTTAGGTACCTGTACTTTACTTAAGTTAATTTAAAGTGGATACTTCTTAAATTTTACGTCACTACATCAGAGAGCAGATATCTGTACTTTCTACTCCACTACAATTTTGAACAGGACAGAAAAGTAAAAGTATTTTTATTATTGAGTGAGACCAGTTGAAATGGTAGAGGATTTATTTTTAACAAGTTGTGGTTTGAGCAAAGAAAATATACATAATGTGTATAAATGATAATTCAGTTGTTTCTGTTAAAAATGTGTATCAAAATCACTACATTTGAGATCTCAAAATGAGCCCGAAATACTTTTGCTTTTTACTCTTTAAGTAAATTTTTAAACAAGTACTGTAATACGTTTATTTGAGTAGTGATGTGAGACTTGTACTTTTACTTGATTTTTATTTTTTACTTATTTTTTTGCTCCGGTATCTGTACTGTATCTGTGAGTACTTCTTCCACCACTGCTTATATCCAAATCTCACAGTACAATATTATCAGGATATGCATCTCATGGTACGATATTTATTGGGATACTTTGAAGAGGATAATATAATTGTAGATAGGACACTTTTTCCCTTTTAAAATACCTTGACAAGTCTGAATTATTTCCATCATAATCCCAAGAATTCAAGTAAAAAACATATCTTTTCATGTCATGTCTTCCTGCACTGAAATGAATCATGGGATATGTAGTTCCCAGTGTTTACAAGCTGTTGCTACTATAAAACCATGCATTTAAGCAATGAAAGTTATGATTCGATATACTGTGACAGCCCACGATATTATTTTGAAACTTTTGACAATATGATATCAAGGTATTTATTGTTACATCCCTACTGTTTAGTTAACCCTCCTTTTATTTACTGTAGCCTTCTTGTTTTGTTTGTTGTGGGCAAAGAGAGATATTTCTATCAAAGCCAAAATCTTACTTAACTATAGTTTTTATTATTAACTATTTGTTTGTTGAAGTGATATGATAGAGACCGAATTGGAAGGGCAAAATAGTGAAATAAAAACACCAGATCATGTCGAGCGGGTTAATACGAACATTTTAAGACCAAAATGACAAACTTACTGCTGCAGTTACGGAGAGAGGGGCAACAATTTTTCTATGTCAACTCAATTAGAGTCGATTTAGCCTGAAACGCCCCCCATTCTCACTTCCTATTTGGAACTTGGTGGTACAGTCTATGGCTAAAACAACTTAATTTCTTTTACAGAGTTCGGACAGGGCTACGCTTGGGAACCTGCCTCCGTGACCATCCATGCAGGAGATAAGGTACTTTGGCGCTGGACCACTCCGACCTTCCTCCGGCTCAAATACAGAGTGTTCAGTGTCTCCGCCCCGAGCAAGAACCAGGATGAAGGAGGCCCATTCAACAGCGGCCCTGCTACAGCCAATGGTAAAATAACAGTTTACAGCTCAGAAAGTCATATGAACCATTTACACATGCAGACAAATCTCAGAATTTACCTGGAGACCAAATCAGACAAACCTACTGACCTGGTTCAGCCCAGGTTTATTCCTGGTTTAGACCTGGTTTAGTCCTGGTTTAGTCTTGGTTCAGTCCTGGTTTAGACCTGGTTTAGTCCTGGTTTAGTCCTGGTTTAGACCTGGTTCAGTCCTGGTTTATTCATGGTTTAGTCCTGGTTCAGTCCTGTTTCAGTCATGGTTTAGGCCTGTTTCAGTCCTGGTTTAGGCCTGGTTCAGTCATGGTTTAGTCCTGGTTCAGTCCTGTTTCAGTCCTGGTTTAGACCTGGTTCAGTCTTGGTTTAGTTCTGGTTCAGTCCTGGTTTATACCTAGTATAGTCTTGGTTTAGCCCTGGCTTAGACTTCGTTTAGTCCTGGTTCAGTCCTGTTTTAGACCTGGTTCAGTCCTGGTTTAGTCATGGTTTAGTCCTGGTTCAGTCCTGCTTAGTCATAGTTTAGTCCTGGTTCAGTTCTGGTTTAGACCTGGTTTATACCTAGTTCAGTCCTGGTTTAGACCTGGTTTAGTCCTGGTTTAGTTCTGGTTCAGTCCTGGTTTATACCTAGTTCAGTGTTGGTTTAGTCCTGGTTTAGACCTGGTTTAGTCCTGGTTCAGTCCTGGTTTAAACCTGGTTTAGTCCTCCTGGTTCGGTCCTGGTTTAGTCCTGGTTTAGACCTGGTTCAGTCACGAATGACTTAAAATCACTTTTAAAACAAACATCCCCACTACACCGCTGTATAAAACCACCTGTAATTTAATAAATGTAAGGTAGAACTGTTTAATGTCACACTGTGGAACATTCCAGGCAGAAAAATGACATACCCATAGAAACAAGCAGGAGATGGACTCTACACCAGAAATGTTAAGCAATGCAGTTTTAACTTTACCAATACTGCATGCTTTTGACACTTTTTGATACTCGAGACATTTGCAGAGAAAAAAACAGACAAAATACAGACACTGACTTCATTGTGTGGCTTTACCAGTGTTTCTTTACCATTTGCTTTATGACCTAAACAAAACCACACTCATTATATCCTGTCTCCTCTTCCTTCCCTAGGCCAGTTCTCCTATATTTTCTCTCGTCCTGGTGTCTATTACTACAGCAGTGGTTTGGTGGACCCCGCAAACTCCAGGTTTCTGCAGGGAGTCGTGAAGGTCCTCCCTCGAACAGAAAAGAACAGCAAAGTGATCGTCAAAGCATCTGGATTCGAAGCTATACATGTGCCCACTGGTAAATAAAGGTTCCATATTACACAGAAAACTGACTCTTGTGAGCTTAGAAGTTAGAATGTTGTTACCTCCTCAAAAACAAACCTGGAGTTGTGTTTTGTTTCATTCACACATGTTTGAGTGATCCTTTATTGTTAGTCTGTTTACATTTCCAAAACTCATGATGCTTTGTTCCACCTTGTGATGTCATGTGGTAATACTAGTGCAGCAGATTAATTGCATCGTCGAGTGAACGAATTTTAACGCTGAGAGGTCAGATGGTTTCCATGAAGTGAAACCGGCTGATGAATCAGGCTAGATTAGATCAGCTGTCATTAGAAAGACATAATGCTAAAGTCATCCTTCTGGGTTGTGGAATAGTTCCCTATGTAATTCCGACTGACCGCTTTGTCAGTTTTCGCTCTGTGCCCAACTTACAATATCCAGATATTTGTAGCTACTTAATTCATTCTACATTGTCCTACACCAACCAGCAACTGAAAAGTTACTAGAGGTTAGAAGCTTGTAAATATTTTGTAGCTGGGTGAGTGAGATCACCAATCTATCACATTTGTTCCTGATAACAGCCAGGGTAAGTAGAATGGGGATCATAAACAGAGCCACAGCCACCCCGGGCGGTGGAAATTTAGGTGGGATTCCGTGTCGGCAAAAGAAATACTACACGTTGGTCCAGATGGATAGGTCACCTGCTTTTGTGACCTAGATGCAAAACCTTAATAGATTCAAAAAACAAAGTGGTGCACTTACTGTATTACCACATGACATCACAAGGTGGGACAGAGTGTTTTCTGTCTGAGAGAAGAAGGTTTTTTGTGTTAAATGTGTGTGAATGAAACAAAATCCAACTGCAGGTGTGTTTTTGATGAGGAACCAACATTATAACAGATCAGAAAGTAGTGTAATATAGGCTGTTTAAAGAATAACATAGACCAAATTGGCTTAGGCTTAAGTATAAAGAAATTACATCAAACATTAATACATTTGTTTGCATTTTCTTCTCCTCTAGCTTCCTCTCGCTCTCGCAGATCGTCCCAGGACTGTGTAGCCTCCCCTCTGTGCAATCCGTCAAACCAGTCATCTTCTGGGGTCTCCTTCACCTCCTCCCCCTGCTCCACTCCCACAGTGGAGTCCATCTCCCCAAACCAGGGCACCTACCACCAGGTCATCCACGTCATGGGGAACAACTTCGGAAACGTCACCTGTGCTATCAAGGTAAACAATGACTATACGCTGCTAATAGTATAGGGTGACCAGACCAGTTCCAATTTTGAGCCCTGTGTCCCCTGTACCAGCAGATTTATACAAAACCATTGAATTGTCCCTGTTTTATACAAGAAATGTCCCAGGTGTCCCTATTTTTGACCAATTTGATCCCTGCCAACAGTAAACAGAGGCATAAATTGTCAGTAGTTTAAGTAATATGCAGAAAAGCTGCTTAAAAATGACCAAAACAGAAAGAAAATGTGACTATACTGACTCACATTAGTGCCAAGTTCATAACAATTTGTTTCATAATTTTATTATTATCAACCACCCCAAACCAGGGATGTTCCAGTTTTTTATTTAGAAAATCTGGTCTCCCTACCATTACCTTTTTGTTGGAAAAACCTAAACAGCACCTTGATGATTTGTATTGATCACAGGCTGCTGAAAATGTGTTCTTTTAATCCATTTAGTATTTTTTCTTGAGCTTTCAGGCAATCTTGTGTGATATTTTGGAGAGGCTAATGTAATTGTAGATGGGACACTTTTTTGCTTTTAAAATACCTTGACAAGATTTTGGTGTGATTCAATTATTTCTGTCATAATCCCAAGAATTCAATTAAAAAACATATATCTTCATGTTGTCTGCACTGAAATGAATCATGGGATATGTAGTTCCCAATGTTTATAAGCTGCTGCTACTATAAAATCATGCATTTAAGCAAAGGAACTTGTGAGTCGATATATTGTGACAGCCCACGATATTATTGTGAGACTTTTGGCGATACGATTTCACGATATTTCGGTTATTGTTACATCCCTAGTCACCATGGTAATTGCTGAATATTCCTTGATACAGATACATGTAGAACACCCCCAGTGTGATTTCACTGCAAAGTATTATTATTATGCATGTGTGTTTTACAGGTCACTATTGGAGACGAGCCTTGTCATGTGATCAACAGCTCAAACACGAACATCTACTGCCAGCTCGGGGCAGACAGCGGGCTCCCCGTTGGCATCGCCCACCCCCTCGCCCTCCACATCGACAACCTGGGCGCCGCTGTCGTCACAGTGATGAACGAAATGCAACGCCGCTTTGTCCTCCTTCCCGTCATTGATACGGTCTGGCCCCACATTGGAAGCACCAACGGATTCACTCGCCTTGTGGTCCACGGATCGGGATTTTCAGATGGATCCGTGAAGGCAGCGAGTAGAAGTTGTAGTATTATATCATTGAATTACAGCCATATTACCTGTGATACCTACTCATCTGGAATCAACATTGGAGAAGTTGTTTACCAAATCGGACAAATTAGCAGTACTTGTCATTCAAACTGCTCTTTTGAGTATTCTAGCACGATCACTCCTGTTGTCAACAAACTTTCGACTTATAGCATTAGCGCAAATAGCACTGTTGAGATATTAGGGGTTGGATTTGGTAACAAAAGTGAAGATGTGTTTGTAACCGTTGGTGATCAAGAAGCAATAATTCTTGCTGTGGCAGATGATAACATTACAATAACAGTTCCTCCATTACCAGCAGCAAGATATAAAGTAAAAGTTATCATAAGAAGTAAAGGTCTAGCGCATAGGCAGTTCACAGTAACAAGTGAAGCTAAGGCAGAGCTGTCTCCACTGGTGGGAAGTGTGGAAGGAGGGACTCTACTGGTTTTCACTGGGAACGGTTTCGCACCTGAGAATACTAATGTGACTATAGGAGGCAAGGAATGTATAATTCAAAGTGCGATGCCAAGTGAGCTGAGATGTCTGTCACCGCCGAACAGCGAGGGGGCTGCAGAAGTTGAAATCCTGGTGTTTTCTGAGGCGTATCCAGCACTGACTTTCAACTATTCTTCAGAGTACACTCCAGTCATCAACTCTATCAACCCCGCCACTGGTAAATAAACACTACAGTTATGTGCATGTTTTGGAAAAAGTATGAACAAAGACTTTGTGTTTAAAATACAGAGAAAGTGAAGTGTTATAATGTTGTTTCCTCATCAAATACATAGCTGGAGTTGTGTTTTGTTTCATTCACACATGTTGAACAAACAAACCCTGCATATTTAGGCTGAGTTCTTCTCTCAAACTGAAAACACTCTGTCCTACATTGTGATGCCATGTGGTAATACTAGTGCAGCAGATTAATTGCATATTTCAAGAGAATCGTTCAAATTGGTATAAAAGCATGACATTTTGTACTGATACTCTCAAAGGGTCACTTTTTGGGAATAAAGGCCTTGGCCACCCAAAAATTTTTAATGGTGGCAATTTTTTCAAGATGGCCGCTGTTTTTGTCAAATGCTCATTATGTCGATCATTCAAACTGTGATGTAGATGTAACATTTTGTGAAAATACTCTGTTAAGAATGTTTTTTTGGAAAATGGTGCTTGTCCCTCAAAAAATCAAGATTACAACATTTTTTCAAGATGGCCACCATTTCTCTTAAATCCTTATATCAGTTTATCAAATGGTGATGCTATCATCAAGATTGGTACAAACATTCTTCAAGGAACATTCTCATGGATAAAGTGTGTCCCACTCACAAATTCAAGATTGTGACCATTTTCAAGATGACCACCATTTTTATCAGCGCTCAGTTTAATGTGTTACGGAAGGTTTAGTTTAATAGAGTGAACGTCATTACACAACCAGGGCATTGGTGACTTCGCTGCTGTGAAACTCAGCGTGGGCTTCAGTGTCAGCTCATCTAGTTTTACTTACACTGTAGTTCTTGCCTAGTAGTAATAGTATAGCTAAGTTCAGTGTCCCAAAAGTTGTCTAACAGCCCCTCAACAATTAGTGACAAATATATGTAGTTAGATAGCCGCATCTGAATTGACAGATTGAGCTAGCGCGGGAGAGTAGAGCCAAGGTAATGAAATGTTGTCTTTGCTAGAAAGACACAAAGGAACCCCTCCACCGTCTACCCATCATGTTTCTCAACATGATGAGAGTATATGTGCCAAATTTCATGCTTTTATACCAAAGTGAATGATTTTTTTTTTTTACTAATCTGCTGCACTATACAGGAAATGCTCCACTGTGTTTTTAAACTCCATACAACTTAACTAGAATCATTTGGGTAACTTCAGCCCTGGAACTCGATTTTCTACCAAACAAAAGGTCAAAGATAGATGTTAACCTATGAACTACTGCTTCATGACATCACAAGGTCGAACAGAGCATTTAAATCTTTGGGGATGTAGTCAGACTACTAATACAGTACAATAATAATACTCAAACATGTGTAACACAAACGGGTCTGTTTTTGATGAGGTAACAACATTATAACGTGGCTAAAAGTTCACAAGAGTCTATTTTGTGTAATATAGGACCTTTAAGCTATTGATAATTGCTTGATTCATCTTTAACCAAACCTATTATGATGAGAAGCTTTTTCTACAGTCTTATCTTATCATAATTAAACTACAATGTAAACATGAAAAAGCATGTGATTCTTACGTGTTTCTTTAATATTTTGTTCTTCAGGCCCCAGTGGGACCATCATCACAATGACTGGCTCAGGATTTGGCTCTGATCAGCAGCTGGTCTCTGTTAGTTTAAATGACGTTGCCTGCTCCGTCTCCTTTGTCTCCGAGTCTACGGTTAAGTGCTCTGTAGGGAACAACCCAGGAGGACCATATCCCATCATGCTTCAGCAAAAGGTCAAAGGTTACGCCAAGTCTGAGGTCACTTTCAACTACGAACTGACTCTGAACACTGTCCAGCCTAACGAAGGTCAGTCAAGAATCATTAAATTTTCTCCAAATGTTGTGGCACTATATTTCAGAATTGTAATGTAATTCATAACATTTATAGTAGAGATCGACCAATTTTTCATGGCAGATGCTAATAATGATTGTTTAGAATTCAGAGAAACTGATAAGTGCAGATCAGAACCAAGGTTATGGAATGAAGCATTGCTGTGAAAGTCAATTTATGGAATAGTCTTGACAAATTAATCAAAGGATCAAATATAATAATGGCATTTAAAACTGTATGGAGTTTAAAAACACAGTGGAGCGCTTTCTGTATTGCCTCATGACATGAGAAAGTGGAAGTTTGAGAGAAGAACAGCAGAAATATGCAGGGTTTGTCTATTAAACGTGTGTGAAATAAACAAAACACAAGTCCAGGTTTGTTGGTGATGAGGAAACTATTTATAACATATATTTAATAGTGTATTATGAGCTTTTTAATGTCTACACTGAAAAAAGTAACTTGCAAGATTTACTAGAAAAAATCCTCGTAACAATTTGCAGTAGCACTTTTTAAGTAAATTTTACTGCTGTAATATCAGGCACAATTTACTTGTCACTATTAAGTAAAATGTACTCACCACCATGATTAACAGTCATGAATTTACTGAGTAATTCTTACATTTTTAATTAAAAGTCATATTCATGTAAATAAATTAAGTAAAATATATAAAATATTATCATAATTAGTTGCATTGCTGTGATGAAATAATTAAGTAAATATTATATGTCTAATATTTACTGATGTATAATAAATGGTACATTTTTATATAGCACTTTTCCACCATCAATGCACATAAAGCACTATACAATAAGGAAACATTCACCCATTCACACATGCATTCATACTCTAGTGTACGCAGACACTGGGGACGAGGTGGGTTAAGTGCCTTTCCCAAGGACACAACAACAGCTTTCATCTGTGGGAGCTGGAATCACACTGACAACCTGTGGGTCAGTGGATCTGACCACTCTCCCAATGATGTTTTTCTTTTTTTTTTCTTTTTTTCATCTTGAAAGCAGGATTTGAACCTTTGGGTCAGTGGATAAACGCTCTTACCAAATTAACTACTGCCACTCCAGCCCAAATACGTAGCCGGCGATAGCAGGACTTATCTAGAAGGACTTTGGTAGTACTTAGTATTTCTGACTTTGTGAGCACTGACTGTAAAACCTTTAAAACATATTGGTAATTCTAGTAGAACTTACTCATTAAACACAATACTTTGACTACATGAGTAAAATTACATTTTGTCCATTGCTATGAAATAAGTTATAGTTCTCACAGAATTATGTTATTTCAGTGCAAAAATTACCCCAGTTGATATAATATAACTTTATTAACCCCAGAAGTTATTTTTTTTCAGTGTATATATTTCTGTCAAATTGGGTTTCATATAAGTTTGTAGTCACATTCATATTTTTTAATAATTTTGTTTTCAGGTAGTTTTGGTGGTGGTGCCCTGCTTGCCGTGAAGGGTTCAGGATTTGACCCCCAAACTGCCAAAGTCCAGATCTGCGACAGAGAGTGTGAAGTGGACAGAGCATCTTCAACTTCCTCCCAGCTCTCCTGCTACGCTCCGTATAATAATGGTATGTTATATAAAAGTACTGAGTAACTTTTCTGATGGAGGGTTTGTCAAATGCTTTTCTCCATGGAGATGTTATTGCTGTGTCTGGAATGTTTCATAGTATCGTATTAACCTTTCAATCATGAAGACAGCACCTGACCAAGTTACAGGTCAGATCTGTGGAGAGGTGACCCTGCTCACAGCCAGAATCCTTATTTTGTTTTGTTTTTTAGGTATTTTTGAGCTATAAAACCACCTGTAACTGAATAAATGTAAGGTAGAGCTATTTAAGGTTATACTGTGGAACATTCCAGAGCGATGACATATCCATAGAAACAAGCAGGCGACGGATCCCCAACCAAAAATTACATAGTACGTCTTTAAATCTGAATTATTCAAATTTTTTAAATTTATTTTTCAAATTAGGAGTAAATGGCAATGCTTTCAAATGTGGAACTCAAAAGGGACAAGAGGCCAGAGTGCAATAAACACAACCAAAAAGAAAAAAAAAATACATGCTTTTATTTTAGTGGCTAAAAAGTTACATACTGTGGCTTTAAAATGAAAGATAAAACTCCAGTAATAATAGAACATTGTATTTGAACACATTACAAGACAATGTCTAAAAAATACAATTATACAGTGTACAATAATAAAAAATCCAGATACTCATGCTAAAATATTTATGAGTACAGGAAGTAGGAGTGTAAAAATCAATACCCAGATACTTATTAACACTAGTATCAGTATTCATTCATTCATCATTTCATTTCACAGTTTTAAAATGATCTTTATCTATTGCAGAATTAGTATGACAACATGGTAATCTATAAATAAAGTCTTGTTTTGTATTGAAAATGACTTTCTATTTTATGAAAATGGGGGTTTAATGATGGTTTTAGTAACAATATTGGTGTTATCACGACTTTTCGTTTGTAACGGGAATGTAAAATTTTAATATTATGACACTAACATACAGTGGGATAAGTCTAATTTAAGTATCTATATGTGTAAGTTAGTTTGGACCAGGAATTTGTATTGTATCAGCTACTACTGCTAAACGTTCTTCAGTAATGTAAAATATGAATAGATAGATATATTTAAAATAGTCTAAAGTCTAAGTTATTTTTCAATCAGTATTGTTACCTAATATTTTGAACAGGTTTTGTAACAGCTAAAACACCTATAATCCTGCTAATTTTAGCTTTAGTGACAGAGAACTTGTAAAAATTCCTGTTTTTAAAGTTGTCTAATTACATGTTCTTTAACAGATCTTACAGATGTCAGTGTAACTGCGTAAAGTATGAGTCTCTACCTGCTAGTGCACATTTGTCATAATTGGAAAACTATGAGGAAAGCTGTTTTGCTCTGAGCTAAAGAATTAACTGTGCAATGATTATAGGTTATTTCTGCTGTGAATATAAATTAAAGGTTTGCACCAATCAAAAAGCAATTTGTGAAGAAAAGTTGGAGTCCCATATTGATAACATCACACTGGGCAGAGTTCTATCCATAAATTCACAAAAAGGCACAATTTACATGCAAGAAACACATTTTTTTGATAATTTAAACTTTATTTCAACAAAATAAACGTGTTTTCTTATATTTTTATTTGTCAAATCTAGAAGTAGTAGTAGTGAGTAGTTTAACCTCTCATAGGCACTTGAAGACAGTATTTTGACATTTATGGTATCATTATGTCATTGTATATTTTAAAAACATAATTGTGGGAATGTACATTGAATTCATGATGATGCAATTTTAGTCATCCATCCATTTTCTTCCGCTTATCCGGAGCACTTTTAGTCAGTTTTAGTTTTATATGAGCCAATACATTTTCCAATGTAGACTCACTGTGGGCAAAAAGTATAATTGCATTGCCCCACTTTTCTTCTGGAGGGTCCGTCACCTGCCTGTCTCTATGGAGATGTGCCTAGAATGTTCTACAGTATGGCCCTAAACTTAAGAATCTCTATGGAGACTTGGTTAGATTTGTGGAGAGGCAACCCCACTCACAGTATGAATTAATGTTTTTGAAGACAATTTTGAGCAATAAAAAGCACATGTAGTTGAATAAATGCAATACAGATTAGTTTCATGCCATACTGTGGACGATTAAAACCAAAGCATTAACATCTTCATGGAGATAAAACAGGTTGCAGACCCTCTCCAGAAATGTTACACAGTGCACAGTGCAAGTTTTAATAGACTTAGACTTGATTGATTATTACATAAACCATAACAGACAATGGAAATACAGTGTTTTTGTTTTCTTGGCTGTTCCATATTCTTTATTAATCACTCCATCGTCTTTCTGTTTTACTTGTAGCCACCGGGTCAGAGGTCAGTTGTGTTGTATCTGTCTCTAACCCGACCCAGACCGTGGATCTCTCTAACGGTTACACGTACAAGTCTGCACTGACCCCCCTCATCTCTGACATCTCCCCCCGACGAGGAGGAACAGCCGGAGGGGTCCTCCTCACCATCACCGGCTCTGGTTTTAGGTATTTTTTATTATTTTTTTATTTTTATTTTTTATTAATATATTATTTTTATTTTGTATTTGTTTGATAGGGACAGATAAAAACATAGATTAACACTCAGTTGTCTTACACTAATTCTAATCAGTTAAAACACCCACAATTGAATAAATAGTATAGCAATGACACTTCCACTGAGACAAGCTGGTGTGGCGTATCCTCCACTAGAAAAGTAACACTGTACACCTTTAAAAATATTGACTATACCCAATTTTTGACTATACCCAAAGACTGTATGTATAAATGTATCTCTGGCTCCAATTGACTCCTCATTTTGGTGTTAAAATGTTCATATTAACCCGCTCTACATGCTTTTGTGTTTTTATTTTGCTATTTTGACTGTAAATGAATTCCTATTCCCAATAAGGAACTCGCCTCTAAATTCGCCTGTAACTGCGAGCCTCTATGAGCTTCATTTGACTGGAGCCGAACATTAGTCCACTTCTTTATACAGTCTATGGCAGGGGTGGGCAAACTTTTTGGCTCGCGGGCCACATAGGGTCCTAAAATTAGACTGAAGGGCCGGACAGAAGGCAGGACATGACGTGTTAAGAGCTCGGTTTCATTACATTCATAGTTCATGTAGGTCATAGGAGACACACTACAATTTTGAAGCAAAACATACAGAACACTTAAGAGTGTATAGATTTGCTCCACTACACATCAGAGGTGAATGTGTATAATGTGTTAACATCACACAACACAGTTAGGCATTCACACACCTGCAAGTGCAGTTGATCAGACTCTATGAGTTTCTTTACATTGAGAATCACATTAAGAGTCTATGAGGTATTCATGTTTAAACTTCAACAAATTAAAAGCCTTATATCTTGAACACCACTATTTCACTCATGGTCTGAATAACTCCTGTAAGAACACTTTCCCAAAAAGCCTTGCGGCCAACATAATACGCCGCACCTCAACATATATATAGTGCGCCATCTACTGGGAAACGCCGGAAATGCAGGACAAATAAAACATCAACAAAGTTTATGAGTGTAATTTATTCCAGTTCGGCGGGCCGGATTGAAAGGTTTAAAGGGCCACATACGGCTCCGGGCCGTAGTTTGCCCACCCCTGGTCTATGGCTATAACAATGTGTTCCTATGTATTTATTTCACTGTCTTTCTGTATTTCCTCTGTGCAGTTCGAATGTGAACGATGTGAATGTGACAATCGCTGGAGTAGTGTGTGATATTCAGTCCTGTAACTCCACGCACATCCTCTGTGTCACCAACGCTCAGCCACAGTCACAGAAATCCAAGGTCCACGTCAGCATCAAAGACCAAGGAATGGCACCACTGGTAAGAGTCATGTTATAGCTTAAAGAAAAGGTGCACTGTGTAACTTTTCTGGTAGAGGGTCCGTCACCTGCTTGTTTCTATAGAGATGGTCATTCCTCAGCATCATATTACTCAGCTCTACCTTAAATTTATCCAATTACAGGTGGATTTACGGCTTAGATACATAGAAAAACAGACATTCTGTGAATGGGGTTGCCTCTCCACAGATCTGACCTTTAATTTGGTCTGTTTTAGTCTCCATGAAGATAGAAATGTTTAATGACATACTGCGAAACATCCCAGACAAAGTATTAAGATTTCCATGGAGAAACGCAGACTCTCCACCAGAAAAGTCACACAGTGAACCTTTAAAAGGTCCTATATTACACAAATTTGACTCTTGTGAGCTTTTAGCTATCCTATAATGTTGTTATCTGCTCAAAAACATACCTGGAGTTCTGTTTTATATCGTTCAACAGTTGAACACTGTTGGATTACTTGAATAATAAAGTAATCCTTTATTATTACTCTACATCTCCACAGCTCAAAATGCTCCGTTCCAGCTAACTCATTTTCAGGTATCTATACTGAAAAAATATATAACATAGGATAAAATCTGACTTTTAAAAATGGTTTTAGAATCATCCTTATCTTTATCTATTATTTTTCTTTCCATCATTTTGAAGATTTTGCTGTGATACAATTGAATTGGATGATCTTACATTCCTGATCATTTCTACACACTCTTCTTTGTCCAGGATAAAGCAGACTTTTTCTACATCGATGTGTGGTCATCCCGGTTCACGTGGGGGGGACTGTCTCCTCCAGAGAAGGGCACTTTTGCTGTTATCACCAAAAACCAGACCATCCTCCTGGACACCAGTACACCTGTGCTCAAGATGCTGCTCATTCAAGGCAATACACACACACATCCACGCACTCAGCTTAATTATATTTTATCAACAGCTATTTTGTAACATTTTCTTGTCTTTTCTTAGTATAAGGAGAAAAATTATATATATATATTTTTTTAACGTTATTATGAATGCCATGAAGGAAATAATGTGTATTGATCACAGGCTCCTGAAAGTGTGTTGTTTAAATGTATTTTCAGATTCATACATTCTTATTTTGTTACTGTCACATCTATAGTGTATTCTTGGATAATAGTAAAATCAATTGCCATCCCTAGTTCCCTATAGTTGATATATGTTGTATTATCATATTTGTCGTGTAAATAACATTTTGGGGACAATTTGCCATTCAAAAGCTGTAATATTGAGTGTTTATTTGGTTATCACTATGACAACGATGCTCTTAAACCCATGGATAAAGTTGATAAATGTTGTATTGTCTCCAGGAGGGACTCTGGTGTTTGATGAAGCAGATATTGAGCTTCAGGCGGAGAACATCCTGATCACAGACGGAGGAGCCCTTCAGATCGGCACAGAGGAGCAGCCCTTTCAGCACAAAGCCACCATCACTCTCCATGGCAACCTGAGGTCCCCTGAAATCCCAGTGTACGGCGCCAAAACGCTGGGGGTCCGGGAGGGGACTCTGGACATGCACGGTACAAACACACACAAAGTATTTAAAGGTCCTATATTATGCAAAATAGACTCTTGTGATCTTTTTAACCATGTTAGAATGATGTTATCTCATCAAAAACAGACCAAGAGGTGTATTTTCATGTTCATCACATGTTTGAGCAATCTTTTATTATTGGTCTGTCTACATCTCCAAAGCTCAAAATGATCCATGTTTTAAATTTTTCGTTAGAGACTGGCAATTCCAGGTCTGAAATTAGCCAAATGATAGTCATGATAGTGAATCTGCATGGAGTTTAAAAACACAGAGGAACACTTCTTGTATTTCCACATCACAAAGTGTCAAATCCAAATCCACTTTATATTTCTATAGCACATTCCACAGACAAAGCAGTTTCCAAAGTGCTGCACAGACATCATAAAATTAAGACAAAAAAAAGTAAATTGCTAAAATTTGGTCATAACAGGCCTAAAACAATAAAACCAGCAAAATTAAAATAACAGCAAAAAACGTCAAAATCATAAAATAGCAGTAAATAAGTCAAATAAATAAAGTAAATAAAATAAATAAAAGACACAGCGTTAAAACCCAGAGAATAAAAGTTGGTTTTAAGACAAGACTTAAAACACTCCATTGTGGGGGCTGTTCGGACGCAGAGGGGCAGAGCGTTCCAGAGTTTAGGGCTGGCCACAGAGAAGGTAGTGTCCCCTCTGGTTTTAAATCTCGTTTGAGGCAACACGAGCTGGAACTGGCCCTCGAACCTCAAAGCACATGCTGGGGTGTAAATTTAGATGAGATCTGAGATATACTGTGGGGCCAGTCCATTCAAAGCTTTAAAAACAAACAATAAAATCTTAAAATCAATTCTAAAACGGACTGGAAGCCAGTGCAACAACACTAAAATCGGGGTACTGTGCTCACGTTTTTTGACGCGCAGCAGAATTTTGGACTAATTGTAAGCGAGAAAAAGAGTGTTTTCAGTCTGAGAGAAGAACTCATGAGGAAATGACTTTATAACATAGATCAGAAAATAGCTTAATACAAGTTATTTCTGTTATATTATGTATGTAAAGTTTCACAGAATACAGTTTTGTTACATACATAATAAGAAATAGAATAAAACACAAATATTTCACAGGAATCCAGTTAAGCCCTGATAGTATGTTCTGTATTTTGAAACACTGGAGCTGTGTCTTTTGAGCTGGGAGCGGGCTCATAATCGATAGCACTTCAACCCCTCCTCCTCCTGGGGGCGCTGCATTCATCATAACCTGTTTGTCCAGGTATTCCCGTTCCTGTCCCCTGGACCCGTTTGGCTGAGACCGCCAACAGTGGCTCCACTGAGCTGAAGCTGATGGATGCTGTGACCTGGAAAAAAGATGACGAGATTGTCATCGCCACCACTGGACATCGGTACAACTTCAGAATTATATATAAACAGTATATATAGTAAGAAAAAGTTAGAATTAGAAAAAAAAAAGATTGCCATTGTCAGTGAACACCAAGAATGTGCTTTAGTGAAATGGTGCAACATAAAACAATGAGAACTTATAGGAAAATAGGGTACAGTGTGCATAGAATATTGCAAAACACTGTTTCTATTTAAAAAGATCTATTTCTTTCATGCATAGAACATTGTTTTATCTACATCTGTTTAACTTTTCAATGCACCAGCAGATCCAGAGCCAGCTACTGTTTTGTTTTTTTTGTAAAATGGTCTGAAACTCCCTTAAGGACAGTATCAGGATAATACCAGGTCGACTTAATCCTGTAGAGTAACTGAATCTTGAAAAATGTCTCCAGTGTAATTTGAGTAATTTGAGAGCTAAAGCAGCATCAGGCTCAGGCCTTAAGGGGTGAATGGGGAAATACACAAATGTCAATGTCAAAAATGTATGTTTATAGTATAGAATATCAGTATATCATATCAATTGACCAGATATAATTACAATAGAAAAAAAAAACAAAAAAACAATGTTCATGGGTATCACACTGGGGGGTAAAAATGTACTGTAGCTCAGGGCAACAATGAAAAGAAAGGCATCAAATGAAATCTGAATTTGAACAGTCGCAATGTAATGCATTTATTTATTTATTGGTTTCTTTTATTACTTTTGTGAAGACTATTTTATACCCGGGCTCCATATATTAAAAACTTACATTGAGTGTTTTTTCAAACCCATTCACACCCCTTTAACAACTTCTATTTGAATTTTGATATTTTAATCATCAGAATGAATTTATGAAGTTTGCAAACAGACCGTGCCCTTTGTGTTGTTTATTTATTATTTAAGACATGTGTGGAATTATAAATAAATATAAATATATATAAATTGTTAAGTATTTTTAAATGGACCCTAGAAAGATTTGTTGGTTCTCTGGTACTGCTATTGGCGATATCAAGGATAGATTAGTTTATAGGCCATTTGTAGTTAAAAACCACATTGAAAAAGTATGTGCAAAAAGGTCAAAGTGCACCATGAAGCACTGAAAACACAACTATATGAACAACAATAGATAATCATTACAGAGGACATATGACACTGTGAAATAACCAAGATACAAAGATTAAGTAGCCAAAATATGAAGGTGCTAAGCTCAAAGTGCATTGTTTAAGATTATAACCGCTTGTGGGAAGAGGTTCTTAGCATGGCGAGACATCTTACATTTAGAAGTCTTGATAAACACACAAATAAACTAATGTCTTTAATATATTTTTTCAGGCACAGCCAGAATGAGAATGAGGTGCGGATCATCGCCTCTGTGTCTGAGGACGGTCGAACTTTGACTCTGACTCAGCCCCTGGACTACACCCACATCGGGGTCCAGGTCACACTCCCCGACGGGACCACATTTGAGGGGCGCGCCGAGGTGGGACTGCTCACACGAAATATCAGAGTGAGAGGATCCGAGAAAATGGAGTGGGCAGACAAGATCGAAGCTTGTCCCGATGGTTTCAATACAGGTTCAGTCTTTATTTATCTCTATTTTAGTCAATTGTATTTATTTATTTTATTTTTTTGAGCAATTTTTTACACAATGTAACTACACAAAGAAAACATTTTTAAACGTGTATTGTGTGGGGGGTCCGTCAAATGTTATTGCTTTGTCTGGAAACCTTTCTATCTTCATGGAAACCAGACCAGACCAAGTTACAGATCAGATTTATGGAGACACAACCCTCCCTCTTCATAAAGCTTGTCTATTTTTCTAGGTATTTTTGAGCTATAAAAGCACATGTAATCTAATAAATGTAAGCTGGATCTGTTTAAATCATACTGTGGAATATTCCAAGCAGGGCAATGACATTTCCATAGAAACAAGCAGGTGACTGACCCCAAACCAAAAAGTTAGTGCAGTTTGCTGCAGAAAACACAGCAATGGTCAATAAGGGTAGGCAGAAGCAAAAGCTTATATTGAGTCTAAACCCTTTCACATGTAACAGAAAAAGTTGTTGTTACATCCAATGCCACATCAAAAGGAGAAAGCCACATTCAATACCCACGTGTGGTTACAATGAAAATAAATAAATACGTTCAAAACAAAAAATGCTATTCCGTATATGCATTCTTTTGTAATGTATTTGTTGTTATTGTTTATCAATCATTTTGTGTTGTCTTTAAAAGAGGGCCTTATCATGTTTTTAAATATGATAAAACTCACTGAGGCCAAGAAACAACAACACAAATTTAAGGAAAATAACAAAAACATACATGACACATACAGTCTTAGCGCCCTCTTCTGGTCTTTTGTATAGATATTTTAAGTTGTACAGGGAGTACCTAAAGTATAAGTCTCCAAAGCAGTTGTAAAATGTCAAAAAACAAACAATCATCTAATTTAATAATAATTTTTTTTTAAATCATTTTATCCATAAGGAAGAAAAAGGGTAAAAATGTATGAACTCCAACCTGTGTTATAGTCTGTGTAGTGTTTGAATTGATTGTGATTTTCAACACCATGTACGTTTTTGACTAACATGTTTTGTTTTTTAGGTGAATTTTCCACACAGACTTGTTTCCAGGGCCGTTTTGGTGAAGAGACGGGCAGTGATCAGTTTGGGGCCTGTATAATGATGCACGCTCCTGAACCAAACAAGAATCTGGCCATAGGCAGATTTGAATATGTTGAGGTAATTGTTTTAAATTGTTCTGCCCTATTCTCAGCTGAAAACAACTTACTAAATAGTCTAAATAGTAGCAGTAGTTAGCATATTTATAGTACCAGTTGTATTAAAGGACCCATATTACGCTATTTTCTGATATATGTTGTTAAATGTTGTTTCCTCATCAAAAACATACTTGGAGTTGTGTTTCGTTTCATTCACACATGTTTAACAGATAGATCCTGCAAATTTAGGCTGAGTTCTTCTCTCAAATGGAAAACACTCTACTAAACTGAAGGTAGTGGTTAACTTAAAAACTACCACTTCATGACATCACAAAGTGCAACAAAACATTTTGAGCTTTGGAGATGTAGACAGACTAATAATAAACAAACTCAAACATGTGTGAATGAAACAAAACACAACTCCAGGTCTGTTTTCGAGGGGGTAACAGCATTCTAACATGGCTTAAAGCTCAGAGGAGTTGAATTTGCATAATATAGGACCTTTCATAAAAAAAAATCTCTTCTTATTTGTTCCTAGATCTCGCATGCAGGACAGGCCTTCAGGCTGGGCAGGTACCCCATCCACTGGCATCTGATGGGGAACATAAATTATAAGTCTTACGTGAGGGGCTGTGCTATCCACCACACCTTTAACCGAGCAGTGACCATCCACAACACTCACCGCTTACTGGTAGAACACAATGTAGTCTACGACGTCATGGGAGGAGCCCTGTTCATCGAAGACGGCATCGAAACGGAAAATGTTTTGCAGTATAATTTAGCTGTGTTTGTGAGGCAGAGTACGAGTCTTTTGAACGATGACGTCACCCCCGCTGCTTACTGGGTCACCAATCCAAATAATATAATACGCCACAACACAGCGGCTGGAGGTACTCATTTTGGGTTCTGGTACCGAATGCACGAACACCCAGATGGACCCTCCTACGACCCAGATATCTGTCAAAAGAAAGTTCCTCTTGGTGTATTTGAGAACAATACAGCTCACTCACAAGGCTGGTTTGGTCTGTGGATCTTCCAGGACTACTTCCCAATGAAAGACGGAAACTGCGGGTCAAAACAACCAGAACCTGCAATCTTCAACTCTCTCATCGCCTGGAATTGCGAAAAAGGGGCAGAGTGGGTTAATGTAGGCGCTATACATTTCAATGGGTTTATCATGGTCAACAATGAGAAAGCTGGAACAGAGCACAAGCGCATCCTGCCATTCGCTGTTAATTCATTCACTCCAGAAGGGGGCGCTGTGGTGTCTAACAGCACCATGGTAGGACATGTAGATGAACTGGGCCTGGGACAAAAATACTGCACAGGCAGAGGGATCATTGCCCCTCTAGATGATGGACTGAGTGTTATCAATACCAAATTTATAAACTTTGATCGACCTTCGTGCGCAGCGTTTGGAGTGGCCAGGATAGATGGGACATGTTTGGATAATTGTGGAGGATGGGCAGTGCACTGCTCAGGTATCCAGTACTTCAATACCCCAAATAAAGCAGGATTCAGGTGGGAGCACGAGGTACAGCTGGTGGACATGGATGGAACCCTCACAGGTAAATTATTATGGCAAAAACTACATTGAAATTAAAGGTGCATTATGTATCTTTTCTGGAGGAGGTCACCTCTCCACACATCTGACCTGTAACTCTGTGGCCAAACCTCCTTGTCAAAGCCGGATCTCATCAGATCTCAGAAGCTAAGCAGGGCCTGGTAGAAGCCTCACTTAAGAATAATCTTAATTATTAATTATTATCTTTTTCAAGGTGTTTTTGAGCAGCACCTATAATGAAGCAAAGGTCTCCTTCTAGAAAAGTTACATAGTGCACCTTCATTATTGATTATATATTAATAATGCATAAATACTATTGACAGTTATGTATTTACTTAATATTAATGAAACAATGCCATTAAAACAAAGAAAAGAAAAACTATCCAAATAGGACCATAAGCAGTAGATGAACAATTTTGTATTTTAAATGATAAATAAAGTTCTATCATGCACTTTTTTCTTCTAACTGCATGTATTTATATTTTTCACACGTTTTTCAGGAAAGAAAAATTACAAAGTCGTACCAACCAGCGGCCTCCTGGACCCAGCCCACTGCACTCAGAGCACAGAGTGGAGCGCTGCTTTTAACGGATCTGTCTGTGACGACTCTGTGAAGTTCCATCGTTTGGCCTTTAATAACCCTTCTCCCACTTCACTGGCTGGACACAACGTGCTCATGTCCAACAAACACGGTATAAACTCACTCCAAACAGACTCTAACAGGCAACTATGAATACATGAGGTGTGATAATTGCTTTGTTGTTTGGATGTACTTAGGCACTTAGTTTAATGGTCTAGAGACAGCTGTATTGTTGTGAATGGAGAGTATGACAGATTTAGATTCTTGCTTAAAGGTCCTAAATTACACAAAATTGACTCTTGTGAACTTTAAGCCATGTTAGAATGTTGTTTTCTCCTCAAAAACATACCTGGAGTTGTGTTTTGTTTCATTCACACGTGTTTGAGGAATCCTGAATGATTAGTCTGTCCATAACTCCAAAGCTCAAAATGCTCTGTTTACCCTGTGATGTCATGTAGTGGTAGTTTTCAAGTTAACATCTACCTTATAGCTTTTATTCAGTAGAGATTGGCAATTCCAGGGCTGAAATTATCCAAATGATTCTAGTGAAGATGTATAGAGTTTTAAAAATAGTGTGAGAGAAGAACTGAGCCTAAATTTGCAGGATTTTTTGAGTTAAACAAGGTCTAATCTATACTGAACTAAAATAAAGGGTAACTTTTAACTTGATAACTACCACTTCATGATATCACAAGGTGGAATTGAGGATTTTGAGCTTTACACAGACAAATAATAAAGGATAAAGGATTACTCAAACATGTGTGAATGAAACAAAACACACGCAATAAAATTATACCATGACTTACAGTTCCCAAGAGTCAGTATGGTGTAGCATAGGACCTTTAATGTATCCTTTCTTCACAAATATTTGATTTATATTTTAAATCTTCCCCACAGGCAGCAGCGTGGTCCCCTACATGAAGAAGAGGATGACTCATAAACTGGGCTGGATGGCCTTGTTACCTTCAAAGGACACCTTTCTATGGAGCTTCATTGATGGAGAACAGATCACAAACATCTCCTATGTCTCCACCTACTACGGATTCAAAGTATGCAGAAATATCAAGTCTGAAAATTATCACATATTATAAAACTGGAACATATATGAGTAAAGATGACTACGGTGTTTCATTTGAAATACAACTTTTTATTGTATTAAAGGTCCTAAATTACAAAAAATGCTCATATAAACTTTAAGCCATGTTATAATGTTGTTAACTCATCAAAAACAGATGTGGAGTTGTGTTTTGTTTTAGTCACAGATGTTTGAGTGACCCTATAATATTAGTCTTGCCATGAAGTGGTCGTTTTGATGTCAACAGCTACCTTTTACCTCCTTTAGTTGGAAATTCCAGATCTGAAATAGTCCAAATGTTTCTAGTGATGCTGTATTTAGTTTGAAAGCACAGTGGAGTGTTTTCAGTTTGGCAGATCTCAATATGCAAATAAATATGCAGGGTTTGTGTGTTAAATATGTGTGAATGTAACAAAACACATCTCCAGGTATATTTGTGATGAGGAAAAAACATTATAACATTGATCTATCTAAAAATACTAATTGAACTTTGTGTACTGCAGCCTGACGAGTACATAATCATGGGACATAACTTCACCCAGAGCCCGGACAGGTTTCACATTGTGGACGTCAGAAATGGCTCCTCGGCGCCTCTCTCCTTCAGTCAAAATGAAAACGGAGATTGGTACTTTGATGAGAGTAACAACATACTCTACTACATGGGTTTGTGCAGACTCATTATTCATCTATTGAAAATGTATTTACTGATTTATGTGTGTATGTATGTATTTATTTATTTTACTAAAGACAATGGAATAAAACATTAAACATTACAGTAAGAATAAACATGAAAACAAGACACAAATACTTAAAACGATACATAAAACAACAAAGCTCTCAACCCACTCCTTTCCCCAAAACACAAAAAATACAACATAAAACTAAATCAAGCAAATATATTAAAAAATGATTAATTAATACTGACATTATGGAGAAATATCACATTAAATTAATTATATAATTTCTAGCAATTTTATGGTAACACCTAAGTTTAGAGAACAGACATTAATGACTAACCCTAGGAATGGTCACTTTTGTACATTATTTGCTCTTCTTCCTTAAATTGTTAGTATTAATTATTAGTAAATAGGGATGTAACAATAACCGAAATATTGTGATATCGTATTGTCTAAAGTCTCACAATAATATCGTGGGCTGTCACAATATATTGAATTACAAGTTCCTGTGCTTAAATGCATAGATTTATAGTAGCAACAGCTTATAAACATAGGGAACTACATATCCCATGATTAATTTCAGTGCAGACAACATGAAGATAAATATTATTTACTTGAATTCTTGGGATTATGGCGGAAATAATTCACACCAAAATCTTGTCAAGGTATTTTAAAAGCAGAAACGTGTCCTATCGATTATAAAATATCGCAATAAATATCGTACCGTGAGATTTGGATTTCATTACATCCCTATTAGTAACCCTTTATTATTAGTCTGTCTGCATCCCCATTACAACGTAGATCGGAAAATAGTGTAATATGGTCCTTTAATAAGTACTTTTATAGCTGTTTTTTTAGATAAAGAATTTATAGTATTTATTTTTCTGTAGAAACTGTCATATTTATAAAATGAACTAAGTAAAATGGACTGGATTCATTCTAAACAATTAACCTAGAAATTACTGTATGTTATTCTGAGATCCATTTGTATTTTCTATCGTTCTCAGTGTCTGGTAAATCGAGTAACCCAGCGCCCATAGCCAGCGCAGACAGGTCTCTCGCTGATGTCGACGTCACGCTGAAGGTTTACAGATGTTTTTACCCCAAATGTGTAAAGCCCACTGGCCCCCCTCCTGCCACTCTGCCCCCCCTGCCCGACAAGAGGCCCGCCAACTTCATGTAAGACAATATTCAGTCTATAAATGTTTTTTTCCCATAGTATATTATTATTATGAAGAAGAAAATTTCATACAGAATTTTTGATGCAAAGACTAAAAACACTAAACTAAATTAAAATGCTTCATTCATTCTGACAAAATCAAATCAATGTTACTTTTTAAAATCTTCGTCAATACAATACGAAAATAAATAAATTAAACAGATAAACATGCCACAGTAAAATATATACTTTGAATTAAATATACTTAAAGATGCACTATGTAACTTTTCTAATTGGGGAAGCTGCAACCTGCTTGTCTTCATGGAGATGTTTAATGTTCTGCAGTATGACATTAGACTTATCTATCTCCATGGAGACAAGGAGGTAGCACCACCAGACCCAGTAACAGGCCAGATCTACGGAAAAAGGGACCCTGGTCACAGCAGAAAAGTGACATAGTGCCCCTTTAATGTACTAAATAGACTAAAGTGCAGTAACCAATTTAACCTAGAATTATTTTTTAATTCTTTTCATTGTTGCATCCAGCCGGTGGTCTGACTCGTCTTTCTGGACCAAGTCTCCTGAGAATAACAACACTGTACCAGCAGAGGGCACTGACGCGGTCATCCCAGCAGGTAACGTTCACTATTTAATCTCTACTTCACTTTTTCCCATTCAAAAGAGATAATATTTTGTTGTTGTTGTTATCGCCTAATTTTGTAATCATTCTGGTCCTATTTATATTGACAATCTATTCAAACCTGATTATTCTCCATCCTCAGGTCAGTGGGTGGTTTTGGACGCCAGCACACCACCTCTCAACAAACTCACAGTGATCGGAGTTCTGGAAATTCCTGATGACTTGGACACAACGAGCAGCAGAAGGAGGCGGTCGACGGGCAGCCCTGTGGTCATCAACGCCATTCACCTCATGATACAGGTCTGTCCAGTCCAGAGAGATCAAAGGCTTGTGTTATGATTGCATTATGAAGAAAAAATACAGATGACAGATACAGAATGCCAAGACAAAAAATAAAAGAAATCAACTAAACTATAAACTAATATAATTCACTACATTAAACATCTGGAGAAGTTTGCAAACAGGTCAAATTTCAGTTATACTATACTATAAGATGCTATATACAGTAACTATAATAGGCGAGCAGTTTCATTAATGGTCCTATATTATGCTAAATTGGCTTTTGTGAGCTTTAAGACATGTTATAATGTTGTCGCTTAGTCAAAAACAGACCTGGAGTTGTGTTTTGTTTCATTTACACATGTCTGAGTAATTCTTTATTATTAGTCAGTCTACATCTCCAAAGCTCAAAATGCTCTGTTCCACCTTGTGATGTCATGAAGCGGTAATTTTTCAAGTTAACAGCTAACTATTTACCTTTTATTCAGTAGAGATTGGCAGGTCCAGGGCTGAAATTATCCAAATGATTCTAGTGAAGGTTTGAAAACACAGTGGAGCACTTCCTGTATTACCATGACATCACAAGGTGGAACAAAGTGTTTTCTGTTTGAGAGAAGAACTCAGCCTAAATATGCAGTGTGTTTAAAATGTGTTAATGAAACAAAACAAAACTCTAGGTATGTTTGTGAGGAGGAAACGACATTGTAACATACATTAGAAATAACATAATATGGGCCGTTTAAATCCTTGTCCATGATTATTAAGACCATTAAAAGTGTAGTTATTATAAAGTGTTACCTAATATTTGAATGAACTGTATATTTCATTGTATCATTTTCGTTGTATTTGCAGGGAGGTCGGTTGATCGCTGGTTCTCCTGAGTCTCCGTTTAAAGGAGAGCTGCACATCAAACTGAGAGGAAACCACCACACTCCAGACTGGCCCCTCCCCAACGGACCCAACCTCGGCTCCAAAGCTCTCGGTAAACGCGTTTTATATACTGTATACTGTATATAACTCAATGTTTTATATTTTGTTGAACTTATTTTTAGCCTTTAAATCATGTTACAGTATTGTTCTCCTTCAAAACATGTGTTGTGTTGGAGTTGGACAAAAACTTTGAATGAAGCATACTGTAGAATACACCCTTTAAATGTTTCTAAACAAATACATTCTAAATTTCACAATGGAGGCGACAGAAGGTGGAAGTGGAAAATAATGTGACTTCAATAAAAATTTGAAACTTGTTTTAGTTTCAGAATATTACAGAATTAGAAAAATCTTTTTGGCGGTGAGCTTGGTTTGAAAACATGTACAAATGCATTTTTGTTTATTTAATAGATTTTTAGGTTTGTTAGTAGTTAGTTTACTTTGCATTTCAGGTGCTGACTTTGTAATAGTTCATCATTTTACAGATATCCTTTCAAATACAGAATGGAGATTAGTATTATTTATAAGAAACAATTTACCTTTCTGCCCTGGAAATTCAAAATTGTAGCTCCTTTATGTTGAAAAAAATATGTACAATTATTACCAATTTTTAGGGGCAGTGCCTGGGGGGCTTGAGGGGGCACTAGCCTCCCCTAGAATGGCCAATGCTCCCCCAAAGATTTTAATCTCTTTTTCATAGGAGATTCAGTCTCGACTAAAATTTTCAAATGGCAACGACAATGTTTAAAAAAAAAAAACATATTTAATTCATTGTTTAAAACAGCAAAGCAAACATGGTAGGGGGCGGGGGTGTGCTCACATAACATAAAAATGTTTAAAAATCTGAATAAAAATGTTTGTTTTCAGGCGTGTTTGGAATTCTGGAGCTCTACGGAAAACCACCAAATGTTTACCACACCAAACTGTCAGCCTCCTCTGCAGCTGGAACCAACACTCTGACCCTGGCCAAGGCTGTGGACTGGCAGGTCTGCTCAATTTCTACTTTTATTCTATTATTATTTTGACAATTTAGTTTTTCAAATCTACTTTACTTAAACAGCACATTTTACAAACAAGCAGTTTTCAAAGTGCTGCACAGAGATCATAAAAAGAAAACAACAAAAGGTATAATAGCTAAAAAATGGTGCATACTATTCCTAAAACAACAAAACCAGTTTAGAATCAAATAAAAGCAAAACCATAAAACCATAAAATAGTGATAAAAACAACTTAGCAGTTTTGATGTGTGCTTCAGCAAGGCACATAATCTATCTTGCCTTTAATATCTATGCCTGTGAATTGGAGACAAAGTAATTCGAACAGTTTGCAGCATAATAAAGATACATTAAAACCACAATACAAACAGATAAAAAAACATAAACTGGCATTATGAAATTTTTTGTCAACGATTTAAAGATAATAATTACTTACATGTGTGCAGGTTGGGGATGAAGTGGCCGTCTCCACCAGCAGCTACGACGTGTGGGAGACCGAGAAACACGTCATCTCTGCAGTGTCTCAGGACGGGCTGGTTCTGACTCTGGAAAAGCCCCTCGCTTACACTCACATCGGTCAGTATCAAACATCTACACAAAAAATAGGGAAGTTTACAGGTCCTATATTACACAGAATTGCCTCTTGTGAGTTTTAAACAAAGTTATTACCTCATCAAAAACATATCTGGAAATGTGTCTTTTTTTATTTACGTGTTTGAGTAATTCAGGTTTATTAATCTGTTCAGATTAACAGCTCCTTTTACCTTTTGTTCAATAAAGATTGGCAATACCAGGGCTGAACTTATCCAAATGATTCTAGTGAAGGTTTATGGAGTTCAAAAACACAGTGGAGCACATCCTGTATTACCACAAAACATGTGTGAATGAAACAAAACACAACTCCAGGTTTTTTTGTTTTTGATAAACAAACAACATTGTAACATACATCAGAAATAGGGTAATAAGGGTCCTTTAATGTGGCGAGAAAAAATTAGATAACCAGAATAATTAGATAACCCAATAATTAGATCTGATTTTTGACAGAGAGAAACATCTGGAGACATGTGTCAATTAATGAATGGATTTTAAAGTATCTGTTGTATTTGGAAAACAAAGTACAGTGAATTTTAAACCAACTCTGTCAATCTTTAACATTTTATCTTTCATTTTTGTGTTGTGTTTGTGTGATTATGTTGATGATATTTCAATAATCTGTTAACTCAGGAATCAGAGGATAATTTTTTGTGTGCATGTAAACAAACCCAATGACGTTTTAAATGATAATGTCTTTTTTCCTGTAGGTGAAACCCACTCAGTCCCTGGTACAGGTTACAGCTACACTCTGGCTGCTGACGTGGCTCTTCTGTCTAGAAATATTAAAATCATTGGTGAAGAATACGCAAACATCAATAAAGAATCGTTTGGGGCCAGAGTATTGGTGGGCAGCTTCTCCTTTGGGGGAATAGACTACAAAGGTACAGTCCCACATTTTAAAGGCTTCCATGGAGATCTTATTGCTTTAGAATGTATGTTAGTTTGGAATTAAACTTCTAACATGCACTAATTTTGTTTCTCACACTCACATTCTTATTGTGAATGTACACATACACATATCAGAATCAACTCTCCGCAGATATGACATGTAACTTGGTTCGGTGGCTCATTCTGCTCGTCTCTATAACATTCTAATCACATAGTCCACCTTTAAGATGACTTTGTTAGACATTGTTCTGTAATATTGTTATTTTTCTGTTATATTGTTGTGTCTGAAATGAAAATGTGTGTTTTTTTGTTTGTTTGTTTTTTCCAAAAGGCAAAGCTCAGATCAGAAATGTGGAGTTTGAGCGCACTGGTCAGGAGGGCTGGACCGATGACTACGACCCTCGATACTCTGTGGCCTTCCTCAGTTTGGAAAAGGTACAGAATAATTTAGACTTTTGACCTAGACCTACTTTGACTTGGCCTTGGACAAACTTTATTGATCCACAAGGGCGATTATTTGGAAACAGTAGCTCAGTCTTTTTCTAGAGAAATATTGTCGTATCTGTAATTTAAACCTCTACAAACATGTTTAGAAATGCATTAGAATCTTGTATTAGTTAGTCATGTTAACGCTCCTGTTAATCCTTCTTTTTAAACATATATTTTTTGCCAAAATTGTGCAGCCCTGTCCATTTTACATTTTACAGTAACAATGCTTTTATTTCTGATTGTGTTCCAGGTGGAGGACACGTACCTTCAGGGCTGCTCTTTCCATGACGGTTTCTCTCCGGCCATCGGTGTCTTTAACACTGAGGGACTTTTCATTGACGACAACGTGATCCACCACACCATCGGAGAAGGTACACACTACACACTATAAATTATAATAATATAATAATAATAATAATAGTAAATCTTTATTTGTAGAGCATCTTTAAAAATAAGGCTTACAAAGTTCTGTAAAAATAGCATATAGAAAAAGAGACAATGAAGCAGACAGTCAGAGAACTAAATAAATTAATAAAATACAAATAAATAAAGGATAGGGGTGTACAAAATAAACAGAATAGAACAATCTAATATTTGAGAAAAGAAAAGACAGATAGATGGATACACACGACACTCTGTTACTTCTTATAGAAAAACAAAGTAAAGTCTGTCTATCTGTCTATTTATATTAGATTATTCTGTTTAATTTGTATTTGTTTTGTACATGCCCATCAAAAGGGTGTTTCGTGGTAAAAAAGGGTTTGCAGGGGGAAAAAATTTTTGTTTTTTAAAATTTGCAACATACAACAAGCATTCAGACATTAGAAAGGACAAGACAGCACAAAAATAACACACAATACAACAGACGAAGTGCATGTGTATATAAATGTGTAAGGGTACGGGATTTCAAATGTAGATGACTATTTTATGTTCAGTACAGAGGTTCTACAGTATATTGTTTCTTATATGTAGGGATATTATAGAAAGGAAAAAAAAAAAACATGGAGAATCCCGCTCCTGGCATTAAGATAGTTGGTAAAGTGGTTTAAATCCAGCTCCCACAGACGCATACTATTGTTGTGCACTTGAGCAAGGCACTTAACCATTTTGCTTTGAGTGTTACATATACTGGTGTGTGAATATGTGGGTGTAACTGCTAAAGAAAGCTTATACCAGGCTTAAAAAGAAACTTATATGTATATATATTTTTTCATTTTAGGTATCAGAATTTGGGGGCACAACATCACAGCGAGGAGAAACCTGGTGATGATGTCCCTCTGGCCTGGATCGTACCAGGACCGAGAGGAGACCTATAACTTTGAGTGGAACGCCGCCATAGAGGTTCGTTAATGGGCCAATATCTGAGCTATGTCTCTGAGCTATGTTATAATGTTGTTTCCTCATCACAAACATACCTGGAGTTTTGTTTCATTCACACATGTTTAACACACAAACCCTGCATATTTAGGCTGAGTTCTGCTCTCAAACAGAAATCACTCTTTTCCACCTTTTGATGTCATGCGATAATAAAGGAAGTGTGTTTTTAAACTTCATACACCTCCAGTAGAATCGTCTGGATAATTTGAGCCCTGTAATTTTCTACTGAGCAAAAGATCAAAGGTAGCTGTTAACTTGAAAACAGTGTCTTATTTGGACTTGACTTTGACTTTGAATTTATTTGTTTGGAGGATAGGCCCCTTGAGATGTCTCGCAATCTCTTTTTTGAAGGGGTCATCAGAGTTACAACAACAAAAGACCGTTACAGTACGGCAGACAGTAGGCTGCATGAATTAAAATAAATATCAAAACAACAAAATCAACACCCGTTAGACACATAATAAATCAAATCTGAACAAAAACTAAGACAGTTCAGAGAGACAGTTCACAGAGAGTTCAAATATACTCATATAGTCTTCATGACATCAGAAGCAGGAACAGTGCATTTTGAGGTGTGGAGATGTGGACAGACTAATAATAATATAATAAATTATATACAATATGATACAATAATAGTGTTTATATAGTAAATAGAATGAAAAAAATGAAACAAAACACAACTCCAGGTATTTTTGTGATGAGTAAACAACATTCTAACATAGATCAGTGTAAAAGAGACCTTTAAACAAATTGAGAAGGTGATAAGTTAATTGTAAGAAATATTCATTCATTTATTCATTTGTAATTTTAGGTGAACAAGGGAACAGCTGTGGTCCTGCAGAATAACATTGTTGCAGGTTTTGAGAGAGTTGCATATCGCATCAAGGGTGAACCATGTCCAGGTATAACACCATAATTTGACTTTCTCCCCCAAAGTTGTTATGTGTTATTGTACTAAATGACCAAGAATTACAGAATGACATTTTCTTTTAATTGTTTTGTAGGAACTCCTAATGATAGTGAGATGTGGCGTCAGAATGAGGCCCATGGTGGTCTGTACGGAGTCTATTTGAACAAAGATGGCCTCCCACAATGTTCACTCATCAGGGACTTTTTTATATGGAAAAGTTACGACTACGCCATCTACTTCCAGGTATTATCCTATTACATTTACTACTGAACACTGAAGTTTTCTCTACACTCAGATACTCTCTATATAATTATAATTCAAGTATTGTATTGGTAGAAATTGGTACCACTTTAACATTTACATCTTAATTAGTCTTAATAAACATGAACAAAGACTGAATTCATTATAAAAAAGTACTTTATTACAGGGCCCATATTATGCTATTTTCTGTTCTGTTTTATATAATGAAATGTGAAGTTATGATAAAGTTTTAGCTAGAAATTAATCAGTTTTCCTTTTACAGGTGACTCAGAGCATGTCCATCGCAAATGTAACTCTTGTGGACAACGGCTTGGGCCTGATGCCTCTGATCTATGAACCGCCCTCTCTCGCTCACTTATTTGCAGATAAAAAAGTTACAGTTGAGGTGCGAAGACTTTTCTTATCTTAACTTATCTTTTTTGTTAATCCTTTCTGGAAAAAAAATAATAATAATAACAATAATACATTCAACATTAATACAATTTAAGAACATGAAAAACTATATGTACTTTGATTATATTTTTAAAGGGTTGAAAATGTGTGACGTTTATCCCCACAGTCTTCCCTGATCGTTGGGAGCAGCCCCAATTTGAACTGTTCTGAGACAGTGCCCAGTGCAGACTACAACATAATAAACTCTGCGAACAGCCGTGTTGGGAGACCACCCACAGGTACAAGCGATTTCTCTCATTTAGACAAACCTCTAATCTCAAAGTGAAACTAAACACTAAATCAAATTTGCTTTGCTACTATATAGTGTATATATATATTTATTTTTTCTCAAATATAACATAATTGTGAATCAAACATACAACCACCTACTCATCTATTTCCTTTAGAAATCTACAGAAAAAGTATTAACCCAAAATACCTAAAAAAGTATCTGAAAATGTTACCTATATAAATCCAGTACCAATATTAACAATTATCATTACAGTGACAATAGAAAATTTACATTAAAATGTACACAAATTGGTAAAACCCCAGCCCAAGTAAAGATACCATTTTTAGACTCAACGTGATTCTAATCTCATTGTTTTTCTTAAGGTGGGAGGTCCGGTTTGTGCTGGCCCAGTTTTAACTCTGGACACAACACAGCTCCAGCCAAGCCCCACCCACTCAACATGAACTACAACGCCATCAAAGGGTTAATGACTGTCACTGGTCAGTAGAGGTTATTGTGCAGCTTTAGCTGTTGTTTTTATTTGTTTTAATGCCACGGTCTGTTCCTTCAGACACCACCTTTGTCGGGTTTAAACCAGTTTGTTCTGGAGAACAGAATTATATGTTTATCACAAACGTCATGAATGAGGATCTTCAGCACCCGGTCCAAGTGTCCGGGATCAGGACCATAGACAGCTCCAAGGACAACAGAGTCTTCATCCACAGAGCCAGCCTCGGGTAAATACTCCCAATATGTCAGATCATATTTTATAACAGCAATAAAAATGTGCTTTTGGACACTTAAAGAAGCTTTATTCATTCACTTCACACACAGTGTGGTCATATACAGTTATAGTCACAGCTTACATGGGACAGATTGATAGAAGTTAGGCTGCCAATCTGCACCATCAGCCCCTCTGACTATCACCAGTCACTCACCACACTGATACTGGGCACTGAGAGGCTGAAGTGAACCTAAGAAATGATAGTTTGCAGTAGAGCCGCTGCTCCACTTTATATTCAATAAATCTAATTATTAAAATATTGTGTTTCCATCAATATTACTAATACATAAGTAGGAATACATGATTGATATACTAGTGTATCACATTCACTTTTATCGACCTAGAACCTGCTCTGTAGGTTCTTCTGGAGCTGGTAAAAAGTGCCTCTAACCTAATTCTCATGTTTCTCAGTAAAGTGAACCCCTCAGACTGTGTGGACATGGAGTGTGACGCTAAAAAGAAGACTCTTCTGAGGGACCTGGACGGCTCTTTTCTGGGGGTGGTGGGGACAGTGATCCCTCACTCTGAGTACGCATGGGACGGAGATGCCAGGAGAGGTCTGGGAGACTACAGGATCCCCAAGATGATGCTCACCCACCCCAACGGCAGCCGCATCCCTGTGGAGCAGATCGCACCCAACAAAGGTCTGACTTTTTTGTTAAAAAAAAAAAAAAAGAATTTTGATCATCTGCAAAACCACGGCATGGCCCGCGGTCTGAGCTTCTCTCATTTTAATTTTAATTTTATTCACTTAAATTATTAAGAATTTTGAATGATCACCAATGTACAGTACACAGTAAACCTGTTGACCCTGTGTGTTGTTGTTTCTTCTCAGGTGTGATCAGAGACCAGTGCACGTACATGGCCTCGTGGCAGAGTTATAACTGCACTTCACTGAACTACAGACTCATGGTCATTGAGAGTATGGACGCAGACACAGAGACCAGACGCTTGTCCCCAGTCGCTCTGCTCGGAAATGGATACGTGGACCTTATCAACGGTGGGGCTAAAATTATATTTATTTAAAGGGCTCATATTATGCTGTTTTATGATTCGTGTTATTGTTGTTCGTGTTGTTTTCTCAGAAAAAACATACCCAGAGTTGTGTTTGTTCTTCTCTCAAACAGAAAATACTCAACACCTTGTGATGTCATGTGGTAATTTAAGAAGTGCTCCATACTCCATCACTAGAGTCATTTGGATAATTTCCAAAATCTAATGAACTAAAGATAAAAGGAGTTGTTAACTTGAAACCGAATGCTTCATGACATCACAAGGTGGAACAGAGCATTTTAAGCTTTGGAAATGTAGACAAACTAGTGATAAAGGGTTAGTCCTACATGCATGACTGAAACAAAATACAACTTCAGATATGTTTTTGAGGAAGTAACATGGCTAGAGTATTTTTTTCATAATATTGGACCTTTAAAATATGATGAATTGCTCTATTCTGAATCCATGCCGCAAACATAATTATTTCTTTGACTTATAACTGCCTTTATAGCATCACAATCTCAGCTGAATAAATCATCCAATGAATGTATCCATTTGTTATTATTGATTCATTTGAAGTTGCTGTGCTCCTGTTTAGGCCCACAGGACCACGGCTGGTGCGCGGGTTACACCTGTCAGAAGAGACTGTCCCTGTTTCACGCCATCGTCGCCACAGACCATGCCTTTGACGTTTTCTTCAGCAGCGTCACTCCACAGAAACTCCGCCTCATGCTGCTCAACGCTGCCCCCTCTGATGTCAGTGCTACATGACAGCTTTTAATCCAGTCATTAAACAGATTTTTACTCTTAAAAACATGAAAAATAGAAACAGTACTATTCCATTTCAAACAGTTTACAGTGATCCAAAGTTATTCCTCACTTATCTTACACAACAAACCAATTAATTATTCACAGCAACCAGTCTATTGATGCTTTGTGGTGACATCAGGCTAGGGGTGTGCTACATGTATCTCTAAATATGGAATGCTTAGGAGTTACCATGGTGACACAATGCACACTTAAGCAAACACTGACAAAAAAGAAAAAAAAAAACAAATAAACAGAAAATGGATTTTACATACTTTTGGTTGCCTGTGATCAATGCGAGTATGGCATTAAACCTTTCTATCTTTATGGAGACCAAACCAGACAAAGTTACAGGTCAGATCTGTGGAGTCAGTCAGAATTAGGGTGACCAGACGTCCCTATTTACCTGGGACAGTCCCAGTTTTGAGCGCTGTGTCTCTTGTCCCAGCAGAATTATACAAAACCAGTGATGTGTCCCAGTTTTATACAAGAAATGTCACAGTGCTTAATGCATAACAATTTTCCTTAATTACCCACTCGTTTTACAATTTTATGATTACCAACTGATGTCCCAGTTTTTTATTTTGAAAATCTGGTCACCCTAGTTAGAATGCCAGTTTTTCTCTGTATTTTTGAGCTATAAAACCACCTGTAACTGAATAAATGTAAGGTAGAGCAATGACATCTCCATGGGAACAAGCTGGTGACATACCCTCCACCAGAATAGTTACACAATGCACCTTTAAGTGTCGATTAGATGTTATTTATTATTTATTGTTTGTTTTTTTACAGAGTGTTTTGGTGTCCGTGTTCTACTCCAAGCCTCAGCGTCTGGATGTTTACGTGAACAACAAACTGATCGCTCCGACCAATGCAGACTGGAACGACGACAAGACAGACTTTGATCTGAAAAAGCCCATGACACCAGGTACAGTGGAAAAATAACTAAGACAAAGCAAAGACAGGCATTATTACTGTGAGCAGGCCCACTTCTCCACAGATCTGACCTGTAACTTGACCTGGTGATATGGCCTGCTTGTCTCCATGGAGATAGTTCAATTAAATGCCATACCAGGAAAAATTATAACATCCACTTGGAGTCAAACAGGTGGTGTTAAACCAGAAAAGTTATATAGTGCACCTTTAAGAGATAATATTTAGTTTCTTATTTAAAGGTGGACTATGTAACTTTTAGTTTGGGGTCCATCACTTGCTTGTTTCTATGGATACATCACTGTTCTGCCTGGAATGTTCCACAGTATGACATTAAACAGCTCTATCTTAAATGTTAGGGATGTAACAATAACTGAAATATCTTGATATCGTATCGTCAAAAATCTCTCAATAGTATCGTGGACCATCACAATATGTCGATTTATAAGTCTGATTGCTTAAATGAATAATTATGGTGCAGTAATAGCTAAAAATCAGAGAGAACTACATAGACCATTATCCTTTGCTCTGTTTCAGTCCAGACTTCATGAAGAAATAACTGTTATAAGCACTTTTAAATGTTAGTGAGTTGGATTATGACAGAACCAAGGGCATTTTAAAAGGAAAAAGTATTCACAGTCTCCAAAAATATCTCAATAAATATTGTACCCTGAGATGCAATGTCGGGAAAAAATCTTATGGTATTATCACGATATGCATCTCATGGTACGATATTTATTAAGAGAATTTTGGAGAGACTGATATAACTGTAGACAGGACGCTTTTTTGCTTCTAAAATACCTTGACAAGATTTTGGTGTGAATTATTTCCATCATAATCCCCAGAATTCAGGTCAAAAACATGTTTCTTTATGTTGTCTGCACTGAAATGAATCATGGGATATGTAGTTCCCGATGTTTATAAGATGTTACATTTATAAAAACCTGCATTTAAGCAAAGGAACTTGTGATTCAATATATTGTCATAGCCCACGATATTATTGTGAGACTTTTGACGATACAATATCACAATATTTTGGTTATTGTTACATTGCTAATCCCCATTAAGTGTATTAAATTACCAGTGGTTTTATAGCCAAAAAAATATCTGGCATTCTGACTGAGCAGGGTCGCTTATGCACAGATCTGAGCTGTAACTTGGTCTGGTTTAATCTCTGTGAAGATAAAAGGTTTAATCCCATACTGTGAAATATTCCAGACAAAGCAATAACATCTACGTATATGGATAAAAGCATTTGAAGGACCCTCCACGATAAAAGTTACACAATGCACCTTTAATGCTGATGTTTTTTTTTCTTATTTAACATATAACATCAACAACACATTCATCTTGGCCTCTCTTATTGTGTTTTAGGTCAATACGTCCCTAAAATGAATGAATCGCTTGGAACCAACTTCTTTGACCAGAACAACAAAATGCTCAAAGTTCTTCTGCGAGGCTCCCAACCCGTGGAGATCAGAACATCTCCTGTGCTGGTTCTCTCGTTCGAACTCCCCGCCATGACGGAGGCAGAGTTCTTTGGAGACAACCTGGTGAATAATCTAGCCAAGTTCCTCAAAGTGCCCGCTAATATGATCCGGGTCACAAAGATAGTCCGAGCAGATGGAGGCCTGAGGAGGAGGAAGAGATCGTCTGGACTGACAGTGGAGGTAGAGATCAAGAAGCCCCCAGTGCAGGAGACAACCAACACCACCACCGGTAAGAGAAGGAAATATGTTGGAAGAATTATTAAAGGGCCCATATTACACCATTGTCTGATCTGTACCTAAGGCTGTGCAATTAATCGAATTTTGATCGCGATTTCAATTTGTGTGTCAAACAGTCTCCAAACTCACATAGTCGAGTTGAAACGATAAAGCCTAACAAAGTTTATTTTGGGATATTTATTTTATTTTTTAAATATAGACCTTGTAGAAGCTGGATATATAGTTTATTTTGGATACATATATTTTTTTCTATGCCTTATTTCATGTTCAAAGTATATTTTATTAATTTTTTGTTTTATACATTGCAAAACTGCTCCAGGTACATATTTGCAGCCTATATTTAATTTCAATTTGAAAGGTTATCTTAAATTATCAATAATAAAGTGTTTGGGTTTTTTATTGAGAGAGAGAGAGAAATTCTGAATAAGTAATGAAATAATAATCGTGTAACAAAAAAATAAGAATTTGAATAATCATGATTTCAATATTGACCAAAATAATCGTGATAATGGTTTTTTCCTTAATCGAGCAGCCCTATCTGTACCTACTATCAAGATCTATTTCATCTTCTGCGGTTTGAAAATCAGATTCCTCAGTTTCAACAGACAAACAATCGAGGGGAGATTTTCTCCACTGCTGCCCCCAGCCTCTGGACCTCCCTGCTCAAACACATCAGAGACCATAGGCAAATACCATTAGGCAAAAGTAGGCGGCCGCTTAGGGCCCCCTAACCTGGAGGGGCCCCCAACCAATTGTCGTTGCCATAATGTTCCTCAGAGCAATTTGATTTTCTCTCAGTATGACATTAAATGAGAGTAATTTGCTTTTAAACAAGAACCATCAAACCATCAAAATAGTCAAAGCATCCCCCTTTTCTCATTAAAATGGACCAGTCAGCTTGATCCTGATCAACACATAACACTTGTATAGCTCTTCAAGAAGCCCCCATTGCAGCAGACTATATCATAATCATATATAATGGATGTAAACAAAAATGTAATTGTACTAGCAAGAAAACTGAACTAATAAGACAAGTTTCCAATCCATCGTAATTCAAATAGAGATGTGCGTGTCTCAAGAACAATGGGGAAAAACTGAGAATAAAAAGACAATTTAAAAAATACAAAACTCCACCACTGACCTTTTATTAACTACCTGATTTCTTTTGTTTGCCTTCGTTTGTCCCTTCATGTAAAGCGTCTTTGAGTATCTTGAAAAGCACTATAAAAGTGTTGTGTATTATTATTATTATTAGTACAACAGTGTTAAAATTCAGTTGTTTTCACTCCCCAAATTGTTTTTTTTTTAAAAATTTCACAGTTCATAAAGTGGTGCCATTATTCAGTCACAAAAGCAGGAACGTAGGGCTGGGTAATTACTCGAATTAATCTGAGTTTGAAAAATTGCTAAATCATGAATTCGAGGACTCTTATGAAGCAAGTTTACTCCTAACTTTCTTACTTGCAAAGCGGGGGTTATTGTGCAGATATAATTAGATCTGTACAATCTAATCTCTACAAATGTAATTAAAGGCGGTTTACATTTTCTTACATAACAGCATATGATAAGAATGAAAACGTAAAGAGCTTCTGCTGTTTGAAAGATAAGCAGTCCTCTACTTTGATTAAAATTTATTGAAGTAAATTCAATTCTATTTATTGTCCAGGCATTATTTTTTAGCCATAAGAGGTTTTTTTGCCATAAGATGAGTAATTTGTCCATGAGTCTAATGCTTGTTTTATGCTTATTTGCTTTTTCTATGCATGTCACCTTTAATCAGAGCTCAGACAGTATCTGCACATGTCTAACTCTTGTTTTTTTGTGCGTTTTCAGAAGAAGATGACTTTAAACTTCTCCAAGACATTGCAGACGACCTGGGCCAGGCTGCTGTCTCTGGAAACCTGAGTCAATCCATTGGGTTTAATGTGTCCTCAATGGGCATGGTCCCTCCTCCGCCCTCCGCTTCCGACCCAGACTGGAACGAGGTAACAAGACTACGCTGATTTTAGGATTTATTATTGAATATTACAGGGTCTATGATAATTACATAAGAGAGGTCGTATAGTTTTGTATCTGTTTATTACTGTCTTTTGATTATATTTTTAATTTCTTATCTTTTCCAGTTTAATGGATACCTAAAGGTTCTGTGTTACGAAAAATTGACTTTTGTGAGCTTTAGCCATGTGAGAATGTTGTTACCTCATCAAAAACAGAGTTGTGGAGTTGTGTTTTTAATTTGTTTCATTCACACACCGAGCAACCTTTCATTATTAGTCTGTCTACATCTCTAAAACTCAAAATTGTCTATTTGACCTTGTGATGTTGTGAAGCTGTAGTTTTCAAGTTTACAGCTATATTTTATCTTTAGTTCCATAGAGATTGACAATTCCAGGCCTGAAATTATCTAAATGATTCTAGTGAAGGTGCATGGAGTTTAAAAACACAGTGAAGCATTCCAATCCACTCTAACCAATCCAACTTTATTTGTCTAGCACATTTTATAAACAAGACAGTTTCCAAAGCACTTTACATAGCAATGTAAATCAGCAGAATTATGTTCCAGCCATGAGGAAACTAATAGAATCAATCAGTAAAATAATAATAATAAAATTAATGAAAAAAATAAAAAATCAATACATAAAAGCAGTACTAAAAAACTAAAATGGAAAAAAAAAATCAATCAATCAATAAATAAAAATAATAAAAGATACAGAGGACCACACAATTCACACGGTGTTAAAAGCCAGAGAATAAACATGGGTCTTAAGACGAGACTTAAAACACACTGTGGGGGCTGTTCAGTGTCTGTTGTTCCCTGTATTACCACAATCAATTAAATCACAAGTTGGGACAATGTTTTCAGTTTGCGAGAAGAACTAAATACCTAAATATGCAGAGTTTGTGTGTTAAACGTGTAAATGAAACAAAACACAACTCCAGGTCAGATTGTGATGAAGAAATAACATTATAACTATAATAGTGTAATATAGGTCCTTTAAATTATTTCTTGCCTTGTTGATGCTAAATCAATATGTTTCTCTCTTCTTCCTGTAGGTGGCAACAGTGGAGGAGACGAGGGAGGAGACCACAGTGAGTTACGTGTCCAGTGTGTCTGAGCTACTGCTGATAGAGGAGCCCATCGCTGGTGTATATGTGGGTCCTCTGTCCCAACAGCCCAGTCTGAAGGCTGTGGATGAGAAAGTAAGAAACATACACAGCATACACACATAACTACTGCACTGCTCTTTTATCAGTGTCTCTCTTTATTTCCTTTAAAGGGGACGTATTATGCAAAATCAGTGATTTACTTAACAGTTTTCTGTGTAACATTTCATATATGAGTGATAAAGAGCAGCGGTTTTCAGTAGGTGAGGCCCACCTCCCCTGTGGTGCGCCAAAGAGCCACTGGGGAGGTGCAACACATGCAGACTAAACCCCAGACTGATCCCAGGACTAAATAAGGACTGAACTAGGACTAAAACAGGACTAAACCAGAGCTCCACGGCCCACGGAGCTAAGTGCAGCTGTCGGCTGATTGCAGTTTGTGGACACTCTGCTTTGCTGGCTTGGGGTTCTCCTCCTCTCTCAAGTCCATGATTAGTCCTGGTCTAGTCCTGGTTTAGTTCTGGTTTAGACCTGATTTAGATCTGATTTAGACCTGGTTTAGACCTGTAGTAGCCTCAATTAGGCCGGCATGAAGTTAGAAATGATTTGCTGTTGCAAAAATCATTTATGAAGGCACTTTTAAAAAATATGAAAATACAATATTTAAAAAATATAGGATCAGTTGTTATTGAAACTCATCACTGTAGGAACACAAAAATGCATTTACTTCAAAGTCCTGTGTGAGGCAGGGCAGGCGGATGGGATTTTGGGCAAGAGGGGGACGCAGTTGTCTTTACCTACTCACCTAATTTGAAAACCACTGATATAGAAAAAATACACTTTGCAGAAATATTACACAAAATCAACTATTTTTCACTTTAGCACATGTTGCAATGTTGTTACCTCATCAAAAATATACCCTGAGTTGTGTTTTGTTTGTCCTAAAGCGGTAGTTTCCAAGTTAACATCTAACTTTAACCTTTAGTTCAGTAGAGACTCAACAACTGACAATTCCAGAGCTAAAATTATCCAAATGATTCTAGTGAAGGTGTATGGATTTAAAAAACACAGTGGAGCATTTCCTGTACTACCACGTGATGTTTGAGAGATAAACTCCAACTCCAAAAACATTATTAGTATAACATAACAACAGAAAATAGTGAAAAATGGGGCTTTAATATCAAATCAGGTCTAAAACTGCCCCAAAGCAAGTCTACATCTTTTAAAAAACATTTGAATCAAGTGTGTACGTTTTTGTTTTCTTGACTAAATATAATCAAGTGCGTCTTTCATCCGTGACGTTGTACATGTTGCTGTTGCCAGGGCGACTGTGTCTCTGTGGGAGTGACGACGCTCACAGTCACCGCCAGCTTAAAGGACGCAGGCGGAAACGCAGTGGACGGTCTCCAAGGAAACACCACCATCAAGTTCAAGACCTGCTGGGCCAACTTCACCGACCTCGGCCTCTCCAACAGCGGTACACCTCACATACTCTGTTTATGTGGCGTCTCAAAGTTTAGACCTGGTGTAGTCCTGATTTAGTCCTGGTTAATCCTGTTTTAGTCCTGGTTTAGTCCTGGTTCAGTCTTATTTTGGTCCTGGTTTAGTCCTAGTTTAGTCCTGGTTTAGACCTGGTTTAGACCTGGTTTAATCCTGGTTTAATCCTGGTTTAGTCCTGGTTTATTCCTGGTTTGGTTCTGATTTAATCCTAGTTTAGTCCTGTTTTAGTTCTAGTTTAATCATGTTTTAGTTCTGTTTTAATCCTGTTTTAGTCCTGGTTAAGACCTTGTTTAGTCTTAGTTTAATCCTGGTTTAGTCCTGGTTTAGACCTGTTTTAGCTCTGAATTAGATTGAAATAAACAAGACCCAAAGAATTATTTTAAAAGTTTTACCAGGGTGAGGACTGCATCATTCCTGCTAATTTTAAAGTTGTAACTCTGTAACTTTTCCAGTAAAGGTTTTGCCACCTCCCTGTCTCCATGGAAATTGCATTAAGTCTGTCTCCCTTTTTTGCAATTATCAGTGTCTTTATCACAAATCAAAGTATATGTTGAATTCCTAAAATATTCCAGGCAATGCAATAACATCTCCATGGATACAAGCAGGTGTAAGAAAAGTTCCACTGTGCACCTTTAAACTATTGTTGTTATAGTTCTGTAAATTTAGAAAGCTGATTATTTTGAACCTTTGATTTTATTGTTGATCAAAATATGTAATACTTATATTTAAGTTAATGTAACTTCTGAAATACTGTATATACTAAAATTGTAAGCACTTTGATATATTGGTTTAATCTTTGTTTTTTGGTTGTTGTTTTTTTGCAGGAGAGAACCTGACAATGGTGTTTACTCTGAAGGACTGGGGCGCTGAGTCTCAGACTTTCTCTGTGAGAGCTATGCCCACCGTCGCCCCCTCCACCACCAGCGGCAACAGCACCACCAACAGCACAACCCCCGCTACTGCAGGAGGAGGTACGGGAATAATAACCACTCATGTGTCTATTTATTTTTCTATGGCACTTAAAGGTGCACTGTGTAACATTTCTAGTATTCACGAGATTATTAGTATTAATAGTATTTGCTCGTTTTCTCAGTTTGGAAGTTTTTTAGACTTAGACAAACTTTATTGATCCACAAGGGAAATTATTTGGACACAGTAGCTCACACATCACAATATATTATAATTTAAAAAGACAAAAAATATAAATGGTAATAATAAATTCTAAATAAGTAGCTAAAAAAAAGGCAAATAAGACATAATTATATAAATGTAAATGTACAAGTGGGGGGGGGGGGGGGGGGGGGGGGGGGATTAGGGAATTCCATAACTTTTACTCAGCAAAACGCCTCTGAACAAAGAAATTATATTTATTTTGAATATTATCTGACAGACACAAACATAAGAAAAGACCGTTATTTTGTTCAAATAATGTTTTAAGTATCAGAAAAAACTCTTTACTTCCTGTAAATTTTAAACATTTCTTCACAAACTGCTTCTTGATTTGGATAAAATTATAATTTAAAAATCTTATTTTATATTTACTATAGTTATTATTTCTCCATGGAGATGTTAATGCTTTGCCTGGAATGTTTCACGGTATGGCATTAAACCTTTCTATCATCATGGAGACCAAACCAGACCAAGTTACAGGTCAGATCTGTGGGGAGGAAATCCCGCTATAAAACTATAAGTAAAATAAAGCTATTTAATGTCATACTGTGGAACATTCAAAGCAGGGCAATGACATATCCATAGAAACAAGCAGGTGACGAGGATTCCACCAGAAAAGATACACAATGCACCAGTGTTTTGTTTATGGTGTAGTACTTAAATCTGACCCTCTGATTCTGACTCTTCAGGTACCTCAGTGTCCACCACAGACGGGAGTATTTTCAGCTCCAGCACAACCCCGGGGCCCACCGCTCTGTGCGCTGTCAGTGTCATCTACGCTGTGGCCTACTGCTCTGAAACGGTCACTCTCTATGGAAACTAAAACTACAAACACATGGTGAAAAAATACCACAAAAACTACAAATACCATGACAGCTTTCAGTGAAGGAAGAAAGCAAACGTTACATATATCTCAAAGAAGGGTTGGGGAAAATATTTGACTTGTAGTACCTCACTATTTTTATGTAGTTTTCTGAAGGAACTATATATTTTCTAAACTTGTAGGGTGATGTGAAGGATTTTGTTCTCTATATTGTGTTCTTACAAAATGCCAAAGTCAATTTATAGATAGACAAAAAGATAGAAATGTGTCTATAACTAGTCCATCCAGGAAAGTGCAATATAAACTATTTGTTAACTGTGAACATAATGTGAAGATTTTGTCACCTGACCAGCCAGAACCATACGCTTTGACAAAACTTTACAAAAACGAGTGGATTCTGTCCCCTTGATTTCAGAGAGTTTGACTGACAGTTGGATTAACCAATCAGAGAGGTGCATGCATATACCATTTGCTTCAAAAACAAACTTGGCGGTTTACATGTAAAAAAAAAAAAAAAGTGGAAAAAAAAAGCAACATAAACGATTGAGAAACAATCAAAGCATTCAACTGTTATTTATCTCAGGTAAAGTTATAGTCATAAATTTTGTTCTGAATATTATGTATGAATATTATATTATGTTTTCTGCATTTGAAACACGTGATACAAATTAGGAGCTGTGGTTGGATCCTCTCATTTTTTAAGATTTTTCACCCTCTATGATCCAACTCCAATCTCTTCTGGATTCAAACAGAATGTAGAAGGAACTGGCTGGTCAGGCAAACAAGTTTTCAGTTTTTAAGGGCCTGTCTTACATAAGAATGCTTGCAGGGTAAAAACAACAAAATATTTTATCAGAAGTGCCTTTCGTTTAGACGGTGATGGGGTTTTGGGGCTTAAAAACACAAAAATCTGAAACCACCCTCCGGAGTGGAAAAGTTGAACACGCTCCACCATAGCGTTTCCATCTACACTGCCCAAGACGCAAAACTTTGGTCAGATCTACTCACGTCGCGTACACGTTCACGTCACATACATCACCACCGAGCGTCACCACCAAGCCGCCTGGCATGCATACACAATCGAATTCCACACACTTTTGCATCACCGTATGCACGCAGATTTCCTCCTGAAAACATCTCATCTTAAATGCAGAATAAAAAGTGAAGATGCGACGCCACTTTTGCGTTTTCTATTCAGACCATCATCATATGAACGTAGCCTAAGAATTGTCTTGGTCGGCAGATTTTACATGTCATACTTATCAGTTTAAAGCAAAGGTTCCTGAAATATGTTTAGTATCAGCCCTAGTCATCAGGGGATACCTTCTGTAGTTGGATCAGGTGCAACATTTTTTCCTTGTAAACTAAATAATTGAAGGATTTATGGTTGTCTGTACGAAGTCTGTTTTATGGTGTGGTCTTTTTGCTTTTGGTTTTATGAGTGGAATAAACAGTTCTCAAAATATACAAGCCTCAATGTAATGTTTTTTTTTTCTTGAAGATATTTTGATTAAATCTCAAATTAGAAATGAAGTTGATTTTAGTTTGTGCATTTATATGTGTTAAGTTTAAAGATGCACTTTTGTGGTGGGAGTCTGCCATGTGCTTGTCTCCATGGAGATGTTCTAGCTGTGCTAGGATGTTCCACAGTATGGTATTACACTTCACTGTCTAGCATTATTTAATAAAAATTACCTTCAAAAATATCAGTTTTTTCTGTGAACACGGTCGCCTCTTCACAGATCTGATCTGAAACTTGGCTCCATGGAGGTAGATAAATCAATGCCATACTGTGGAACATAGTAATAACATCTTCATGGACAAGCAGGACCAGAAAAGTTACATGGTGTACCTTTAATGCTCCACAATTTATTAACAGTAATTGAAGCTCTTCCCGCAATCATGGAAATTGAAAATGTCATTTTCCAGACCTGGAAAAGTCATGGAATTTTGTAAATTCAATGAAAGTTTTGGAAAAGTCATTGAATTTTAGTATCTTTTTCACGCAACTACAGCGTTCTGTTAAGTTATCATTAGGCTATGATGATTATTTTCAAATGTTTGTGCCTTTTGTTTAAAAAAAGTGACAATAAATGCCCTGACAGGATTTTGAATGTTAAAAAACTATAATACGGATAAATAAGTGGAAAGGGTTAACATTTCATACTTACCCCTAAAAGTCTGATCAATTCTACACATGTAGGTGCTATAAAGTCATAGAAAATTTACTTTAGATCATGAAAAAGTCATGAGATTGAAACTGAAATTTTGTCTGAAATATGCACTACCTGTCAAAAGTTTTAGAACACCCCAATTTTTCCAGTTATTTATTACAATTCAAGTCATGCAAGTCCAATGAAGAGCTTGAAATGGTACAAAGGTAAAAACTGAACAGCCAGGGGTTAAAAAAAAAAAAAAGATACAAAACACAAGTCCAAGCTCTGCCAAAACTACCTCAGGAAAAAAAGAACAAGATGGTAAAGCTTGAAAACATGGAGCGTCCAGCACAGTCTCCAGACTTAAACCCCATCGAGCTGGAGTGAAAGCCAGGCAACCTACAAGTGCCACACATATGGGAACTTCTGCAACAGACTTGGGAAGAATTTTCTGAAGAATATTTGATTTCTATTGTAAAAAAGAATGAGCCACAAGTGTGTTCAGCTGTTATGTCTGCCAAAGGTGGACACTTTCATGAATCAAAAGTTTAGAATACGTTTTGGTCAACAGTAAAAAGTAAAGAATAAAGATCTAGAAAATGTGTGATGTTCTAAAACTTTTGACTGGTAGTGTAGATGATAAAAGTCTGAACTGTTGTAAAGTTTACCAGTGAAATCATTTAATTTGGTATTTTAATCTCAAATAAATAGTTTTAATTATCTCTCTAAACCTAAATCGTACGGGAGGTCACAGTTGTCCCTATCCGTGGTGCTGAATGTCTGGTTTATAAGTGTAATGATTGTTTTTGTCCACCAGATGGCCCCACACTCCAGAATAGGCCACACTGACAGGCCTTACATCTTAACGGGGGGAAAGTTGCCTCTACTTTACATTAAAACTAGACAGTGAGCGTGCACGGTATCAGTTAGAGGTCACGTTTTATGTCTCCTCATTTGTCCAGTAGTTGTGTTTGCGCAAATCCACACTGCGCATCTTTTCAGCACGCACATCTGTCTTTGGCGCTAACGGCTGACAGGGGAACAATTAGTTTTACAACCTTAATTTGTGAAGCCCATTAAACAGCGGTGTTAGGAGCACAATGCTGTGGGCGTGTACGGTGCGGGGGGCTTTTTAACCTTGCGCTATCTGTGCTGTTCTTTGCGGGACTTCTGCCACTTGTTGCGGGTGGGATGCAGGGTTCACCCGCTCGGAGGATGGATCTCCAACACCTGGCTCTTCTCTGCGGGGCTCTTATCATTTTACGAGACAGTGTTTGCGTCCAAAGTTTGTCCATTTTTCCTCCATCTGCGCCAAAACCGGGCAAAGTTGCGAATATTTTTGACGGTCAAGAGGCGTCGAAGTATTTTAAGGAGTTTTACGCGCCTCCGGGTTCGCACAACAAAGCGACAGATCTGGTGGAACCTCACGACTACATGCTGTCCATCTACAAAACCTTCTCCACTGCCGAGAAACTGGGACTCAACGCGAGCTTCTTCCGCGCGTCAAAAGCGGCAAACACCATCGCGAGTTTTGTGGACATGGGACAAGGTATCGCACAATTACGCACGCCAAATTACGCACATCATGAACGCAAGTAGCCTGCGCTGTATTGCACGAAAATAGATTTAAATTTTATGCGTAATTTGAGGATGTCTTTGGCCTCATGAAGTAATTTAATCAAGGGCCGCAAACCACCCAATCTCTGCTTTATGTAAAAATATTGCATCAGTGGAGGAATGTAGCCAAGTACACGCAGTAAAGTACTCTACTTAAGTAACAATTGTGGGTATCTGTACTTTTACTTAAGTAGATTTTACAGCTGGTACTTTTTAGTTTTACTTCACTACATCTGAGAGCAGGTAACTGTACTTTCCACTACATTTTTGAACAGGACTGAAAAGTAAAAGTATTTTTTATTATAGTTTGAGACCTGCTGAAAAAAACTGAGTTTTTTTTTTTTTATTATTATTGTCATGTTTATGATTTGAATTTGATAATATGAGCAAACAAAAATATACAAATGAAACAGCTAGAAAAAACGACTGGCTGAATTGTTTCAACCGAACAAAATTCAGCACACACTTTAATCAAAAACTCTTTGAACCTTTTCTAGATCTCAAAATCTGTGTGAAAGACTTTTAAGTTTTTAATCTTTACGTATATTTTTAAACAGGTACTTAAATACTCTTACTTTTCATTTACTCTGGAATCTGTACTTTTACTCAAGTAACAAAATCAAGTTCATCTGTATAGCATCCCCAGCTTTCAACAATTTCATAGTAGTAGTAATAGTTTTTTCTCATTAGTTAGGCGAACATGTTTTGACTCTCAGTCTTGGCCCATGTGAAAAAAGGAATGGTACATAATCATAAAATATTCTGTATTTGCTGCTTTTTGATCTGTGATCACCAAAATAAAGCTGTTTTGCTGTAGAGAACATCACGGCTGACAAATTCCAGAGCAAACTGCTGATAACTGAGTATTGACTTCATAAAGCACAATAGTTTAGCAGCTTAAATTAGGCTACTTTTTGTCATTTTGTTACTTTAATGCTTGACCTTTAATGGTGTGTCATGGTATAATTTTGAAACATATATAGGCCTATTCTGTAAAACAAACAAACAAACTAAAATATTCCAGTTTATGCTTCACAATTCAGTTTCAGTTTTGTTTTTTTTCCCCCTAAATTATTATTTATTTATGTATTTACTGGGGGCAAAGGCCTTTTTAAAATAAGTTTCTTTTAAACTCCATTTACTGTTGGGACAATCACCATGAATATAGATAAAAGGCCTGTTGAAAACTGTTCTGCCTTTAGGTTTCTTTAACTCTTAATTATACAGTTTATACTGTTGTCCCAGGACTAATCTAGCCTCTTTATTCACTCATATTATTTTATAGTGAAAAAGATAATGTAATGTAATTATGTAAAATGTTAAATATTTCTAAAAGATACAGAAATTTAAAGGTGCACTATGTAACTTTTCTGGAACAAGTCCAGCACCTGGTTGCACTGCAAAAAACAATAGCTAAGTAAGTTAAAATGACTTAAATGATGTAAATTTAGTAAAATTAGTAAAATTATCTACCAATGGAATAAGTGTGTTTTTCTTAATTCAAGCAACATTGGATTTTGTTTCTTATTTTAAGCACAAAAAGTTGTTACTTTTCTTATTTTAAGCACAGCAAGATGCATTTTCATAATTTAAACACAAAGTGTCATTGATTTGGCAGATAATTTTACTTGCTGAGTGGAATTTACTCAAATCGTGGCCAAACTTTGTTAATTCAAGTCATCTTAACTTGACTAGATTTTAGTTTTTACACTGTGTGAGATACACTTGGGAGGTTGCTTTCCTTGAAATGTACCACAGTATGACATTAAACCTGTGTATTTTGTAATTACAGGTGTTTTTACAATAAAACAATCCCTTGAAAAATATGCATAGTTTAGTGAAAGCGGGCCCACCTCTCCACAGCTCAGACCTGTGAATTATTTTGGTGCTTGTCTCCATGGAATAAGATACGTTTAATATTAATAAATGGGGAAAAAATAAATATATAAACCAGGAAAAGCAACTGCATCTCCATGGTGACGGAGCCTCCAATATGAAAG